CTATCTGCCCTCGTCTCTGTACGGCAGTGCTGCTATCTGCCCTCGTCTCTGTACGGCTGTGCTGCTATCTGCCCTCGTCTCTGTACGGCTGTGCTGCTATCTGCCCTCGTCTCTGCACGGCTGTGCTGCTATCTGCCCTCGTCTCTGCACGGCTGTGCTGCTATCTGCCCTCGTCTCTGCACGGCTGTGCTGCTATCTGCCCTCGTCTCTGTACGGCTGTGCTGCTATCTGCCCTCGTCTCTGTACGGCTGTGCTGCTATCTGCCCTCGTCTCTGTACGGCTGTGCTGCTATCTGCCCTCGTCTCTGTACGGCTGTGCTGCTATCTGCCCTCGTCTCTGTACGGCAGTGCTGCTATCTGCCCTCGTCTCTGTACGGCTGTGCTGCTATCTGCCCTCGTCTCTGTACGGCTGTGCTGCTATCTGCCCTCGTCTCTGTACGGCTGTGCTGCTATCTGCCCTCGTCTCTGTACGGCAGTGCTGCTATCTGCCCTCGTCTCTGTACGGCTGTGCTGCTATCTGCCCTCGTCTCTGTACGGCTGTGCTGCTATCTGCCCTCGTCTCTGTACGGCTGTGCTGCTATCTGCCCTCGTCTCTGTACGGCTGTGCTGCTATCTGCCCTCGTCTCTGTACGGCTGTGCTGCTATCTGCCCTCGTCTCTGTACGGCTGTGCTGCTATCTGCCCTCGTCTCTGTACGGCAGTGCTGCTATCTGCCCTCGTCTCTGTACGGCTGTGCTGCTATCTGCCCTCGTCTCTGCACGGCTGTGCTGCTATCTGCCCTCGTCTCTGCACTGCTGTGCTGCTATCTGCCCTCGTCTCTGCACGGCTGTGCTGCTATCTGCCCTCGTCTCTGCACGGCTGTGCTGCTATCTGCCCTCGTCTCTGTACGGCTGTGCTGCTATCTGCCCTCGTCTCTGTACGGCTGTGCTGCTATCTGCCCTCGTCTCTGTACGGCTGTGCTGCTATCTGCCCTCGTCTCTGTACGGCTGTGCTGCTATCTGCCCTCGTCTCTGTACGGCAGTGCTGCTATCTGCCCTCGTCTCTGTACGGCTGTGCTGCTATCTGCCCTCGTCTCTGTACGGCTGTGCTGCTATCTGCCCTCGTCTCTGTACGGCTGTGCTGCTATCTGCCCTCGTCTCTGTACGGCAGTGCTGCTATCTGCCCTCGTCTCTGTACGGCTGTGCTGCTATCTGCCCTCGTCTCTGTACGGCTGTGCTGCTATCTGCCCTCGTCTCTGTACGGCTGTGCTGCTATCTGCCCTCGTCTCTGTACGGCTGTGCTGCTATCTGCCCTCGTCTCTGTACGGCTGTGCTGCTATCTGCCCTCGTCTCTGTACGGCAGTGCTGCTATCTGCCCTCGTCTCTGTACGGCAGTGCTGCTATCTGCCCTCGTCTCTGTACGGCTGTGCTGCTATCTGCCCTCGTCTCTGTACGGCTGTGCTGCTATCTGCCCTCGTCTCTGCACGGCTGTGCTGCTATCTGCCCTCGTCTCTGCACGGCTGTGCTGCTATCTGCCCTCGTCTCTGCACGGCTGTGCTGCTATCTGCCCTCGTCTCTGTACGGCTGTGCTGCTATCTGCCCTCGTCTCTGTACGGCTGTGCTGCTATCTGCCCTCGTCTCTGTACGGCTGTGCTGCTGTCTGCCCTCTTCTAAAAGGCTAATGACGGACTTAGGAACACTTGTATCACTCGCCCCAAACCACCCTCCACCACGACGACTGTTTGCTATGGTGGACGACTTCAATGCGAGAGTGGGCAGCAACAACAGCACCTGGGGCTACAGGGTTAACAGTGCTAAATACATTGTATTCGGTGATTCACGTAGACCTCGCTAGCTAGAGACAATTGAATTATTAGATCAACAGCTGATGTAAGGCTTCCTGAGACACCACACAACAGCTGATGGAAGGCTTCCTGAGACACCACACAACAGCCGATGGAAGGCTTCATGAGACACCACACAACAGCTGATGGAAGGCTTCCTGAGACACCACACAACAGCTGATGGAAGGCTTCCTGAGACACCACACAACAGCTGATGGAAGGCTTCCTGAGACACCACACAACAGCTGATGGAAGGCTTCTCTAGGGGACACCACACAACAGCTGATGGAAGGCTAAATACATTGTACTTGGTGAATTATTAGATCAACAGCTGATGTAAGGCTTCATGAGACACCACTCAACAGCCGATGGAAGGCTTCTAGGGGACACCACTCAACAGCTGATGGAAGGCTTCATGAGACACCACTCAACAGCTGATGGAAGGCTTCATGAGACACCACTCAACAGCTGATGGAAGGCTTCATGAGACACCACTCAACAGCTGATGTAAGGCTTCATGAGACACCACTCAACAGCTGATGGAAGGCTTCATGAGACACCACTCAACAGCTGATGGAAGGCTTCATGAGACACCACTCAACAGCTGATGTAAGGCTAAATACATTGTACTCGGTGAATTATTAGATCAACAGCTGATGTAAGGCCTCTAAGGGACACCACACAACAGCTGATGTAAGGCTTCATGAGACACCACTCAACAGCTGATGGAAGGCTTCATGAGACACCACTCAACAGCTGATGGAAGGCTTCATGAGACACCACTCAACAGCTAATGTAAGGCTTCCTGAGACACCACACAACAGCTGATGTAAGGCTTCTAATGGACACCACTCAACAGCTGATGTAAGGCTTCATGAGACACCACTCAACAGCTTATGTAAGGCTTCTTGAGACACCACTCAACAGCTGATGTAAGGCCTCTAAGGGACACCACTCAACAGCCGATGTAAGGCTTCATGAGACACCACTCAACAGCTGATGGAAGGCTTCATGAGACACCACTCAACATCTGATGTAAGGCCTCTAAGGGACACCACTCAACAGCTGATGTAAGGCCTCTAAGGGACACCACTCAACAGCCGATGTAAGGCTTCATGAGACACCACTCAACATCTGATGTAAGGCTTCCATGAGACACCACTCAACAGCTGATGGAAGGCTTCATGAGACACCACTCAACAGCTGATGTAAGGCCTCTAAGGGACACCACTCAACAGCTGATGTAAGCCTTTGGTCAATATCAGAAAACTATTGGAAGATCTCTGAGTTGTCTTCAACAACTGGACGTCGTCAATGATGTATAATACGATACATGAAATGGGAGACGTCAGACATGCAGAAGACGTCAGTGGCACCACCGGTACATATATGTGCCCATGATCCGGCTGACTGAGAGGACCTGTCTGTACAAGTAGTGCCCCAGTATATAGGTCTACCAGTACATCCTAAACCTGCTCTAACTTACTCTAAGATAGTTGTTTGGCCTTAGTCACTACACGATAAGCCAAAACATACTCTAAGACAGTTGTTTGGCCATAGTCACTACACGATAAGCCAATAGCTAAAAGAATGGTCACTGATTCAAATATTAATGCCGCCCCTCTTGTGTTTTAAAATCCCATCCCCACATTTGTCTTCCATTCCCCCGGGACCATCCAATGACGTCATTTAAAAAACTGATTGTGAATTTCCTCTCAGTTAAGTTCTGTTAAGGAATGCTTTAGCAGGCGTCTGAGAACAATGGCTTCGGTAGGTGTTGAACTATGGTGTATGAAAACTGAAAATGTTTATCTGACTTGCTACTAAGGTCTTCTCAGGCCTTTATGTTGCATTGTACCGTCGGACTTGGTACCGTCGGGCATTGTACTGTCGGGCATTGTACCGTCGGGCATTGTACCGTCGGACTTGGTACCGTCGGGCATTGTACCGTCGGGCATTGTACCGTCGGGCATTGTACCGTCGGGCATTGTACCGTCGGACTTGGTACCGTCGGGCATTGTACCGTCGGGCATTGTACTGTCGGGCATTGTACCGTCGGGCATTGTACCGTCGGGCATTGTACCGTCGGACTTGGTACCGTCGGGCATTGTACCGTCGGGCATTGTACCGTCGGACTTGGTACCGTCGGGCATTGTACTGTCGGGCATTGTACCGTCGGGCATTGTACCGTCGGACTTGGTACCGTCGGGCATTGTACTGTCGGGCATTGTACCGTCGGGCATTGTACCGTCGGGCATTGTACCGTCGGACTTGGTACCGTCGGGCATTGTACCGTCGGGCATTGTACCGTCGGACTTGGTACCGTCGGACTTTGTACCCGGGTCGGCTGTGGTGTTGTCAGAGCTGTATCGTCCCACTCCGCCAGTCAGAGTGTCCGTGTTTTCTATCAGTTAATGTCCCTACCAAAGTAAAGTCACCATTGCACTGCACCTAGTTTTAAACTGCTACTAGTGCTAGTCATTAGCCAAAGATATGTTGCAGTTTATTTTAATAAGTGGCAAAAGGACACTTTTAGTGAAGAATGATCCTATGGGGACCAGTGCTTCAACAACTGTTAACGTCTGACGACCGGTTCAGTTATATCGTTTGTTTGGGTGTGTATGTTGGGCCATGTGACCATCTGACCAATGGGTCAGTTTCAGATGTAAAGCCGCCTCTATATTTTATAAAAACATGTATGTTTTGTCTGCCGCCAATACTTTGGTCGGTTTTTTCTTTTTCTCGAAAATTCTACATCTTGTTTAATCTTATAGAACGTATTGGTGACGTCACTGTAGTGTACCTAGGTCTGGTTACTCAAGTTAGTCGTGTGGAGGTTTCCAGCTATAATGTAAGGACAGGGGACGTCAAAACTTTTTCCAGCGCTGGTTTAAGGACAGGGTCGGGGGCGTTAAAACTTTTTCCAGCGCTGGTTTAAGGACAGGGTCGGGGGCGTTAAAACTTTTTCCAGCGCTGGTTTAAGGACAGGGGACGTTAAAACTTTTTCCATGTAGTGTGTAATCAGCCGATAATCTCCCATCTGACCAATGTGTAACCACAAATTACCTGTTTCAGTGATGCGGCTGACCAAGCCTGTAATCACGTAGTATCTGATGTAGTGTGTAATCAGCCGATAATCTCCCATCTGACCAACGTGTAACCACAAATGACCTGTTTCAGTGATGCGGCTGACCAAGCCTAGTCTGATGCCCCACCAGCCGCTGATCGCCGAGTCTAGAGACCTGTGTGGAGACGTGCTCAGTCGCCTCAATGATGCTGAGATCGCACGAACGCCGGGGCTATGTTCATTCCCGCTGGGCAACCTCTTGACCTTACCCCAAAACTTCGGGTGAGTACCGTCCATCCACAGTGTTAGTATAGCCATTTTTTTTCTTCTAGGGCCAAGTTTTTGTCAGCTTGTGTTTGTCTAGGAAAGACTTGTTGGGAACATGGTCAACTAGCCCTGGACAGGTCAAGTAGCCCTGGACAGGTCAACTAGTCCTGGACAGGTCAACTAGTCCTGGACAGGTCAACTAGCCCTGGACAGGTCAAGTAGCCCTGGACAGGTCAACTAGTCCTGGACAGGTCAAGTAGCCCTGGACAGGTCAAGTAGCCCTGGACAGGTCAACTAGTCCTGGACAGGTCAAGTAGCCCTGGACAGGTCAACTAGTCCTGGACAGGTCAAGTAGCCCTGGACAGGTCAACTAGTCCTGGACAGGTCAAGTAGCCCTGGACAGGTCAACTAGCCCTGGACAGGTCAACTAGCCCTGGACAGGTCAAGTAGCCCTGGACAGGTCAACTAGCCCTGGAAAGTTCAACTAAAGTTGGTGGAATAGTTGACCAGATCACGTCAGACCTGCAGCGGATGGACTAACGGTCAGACAAGCTGGAGCTCCTACTCTCATACCATTGGTGGAATAGTTGACCAGATCACGTCAGACCTGCAGCGGATGGACTAACGGTCAGACAAGCTGGAGCTCCTACTCTCATACCATTGGTGGAATAGTTGACCAGATCACGTCAGACCTGCAGCGGATGGACTAACGGTCTGACAAGCTGGAGCTCCTACTCTCATACCATTGGTGGAATAGTTGACCAGATCACGTCAGACCTGCAGCGGATGGACTAACGGTCTGACAAGCTGGAGCTCCTACTCTCATACCATTGGTGGAATAGTTGACCAGATCACGTCAGACCTGCAGCGGATGGACTAACGGTCTGACAAGCTGGAGCTCCTACTCTCATACCATTGGTGGAATAGTTGACCAGATCACGTCAGACCTGCAGCGGATGGACTAACGGTCTGACAAGCTGGAGCTCCTACTCTCATACCATTGGTGGGATAGTTGACCGGATCACGTCAGACCTGCAGCGGATGGACTAACGGTCAGACAAGCTGGAGCTCCTACTCTCATACCATTGGTGGTGGAATAGTTGACCAGATCACGTCAGACCTGCAGTGGATGGACTAACGGTCTGACAAGCTGGAGCTCCTACTCTCATACCATTGGTGGTGGAATAGTTGACCAGATCACGTCAGACCTGCAGCGGATGGACTAACGGTCAGACAAGCTGGAGCTCCTACTCTCATACCATTGGTGGTGGAATAGTTGACCAGATCACGTCAGACCTGCAGCGGATGGACTAACGGTCTGACAAGCTGGAGCTCCTACTCTCATACCATTGGTGGAATAGTTGACCAGATCACGTCAGACCTGCAGCGGATGGACTAACGGTCTGACAAGCTGGAGCTCCTACTCTCATACCATTGGTGGAATAGTTGCTGCAAAACAAACAGGGAATGGTCAAGGTGTCCATTTCACTGACCACTACTTTACCATCCCCCCTCTGTTTATCTGGCCCATCTTTTGTGTGCAGACAGCGATCAGATCGATACGTCTGATGTGTGGGAGGCTGTATCTGATACTAGACAACCTCAGCCTGATGTGTAGGAGGCTGTATCTGATACTAGACAACCTCAGCCTGATGTGTAGGAGGCTGTATCTGATACTAGACAACCTCAGCCTGATGTGTGGGAGGCTGTATCTGATACTAGACAACCTCAGCCTGATGTGTGGGAGGCTGTATCTGATACTAGACAACCTCAGCCTGATGTGTGGGAGGCTGTATCTGATACTAGACAACTTCAGCCTGATGTGTGGGAGGCTGTATCTGATACTAGACAACTTCAGTAGCCATTACATTCTGGGCCTATAGCCATTCAAACCTAGACCAATAGCTTAACGATCTAGCCCTGTAGCTATAACAATCCAGCCATGTGGCCATAAAAACCTTGTCCAATGACCAGAACAATGTAACAAGTTATTTATGGAGTTTTCTAATTATAGGTTGTCAGTCGTTCATCACAAGGTTGTGCATGCATTAAAAATTTTCCTATTTGATATATGACCAGAATCTATTAGGGTCGGCATGGTCGAGTCGGTAAAGCTCATGGTTACTAAACCGAAAAGTCTCGAGTTCGAACCCTCGGGCAGATGAGGCTCGTTAGCTGGGGACAGCCACTCTTCTAGGAGAGACAACTCCAAAATCAAACAACTGTTGCCTTGTAGTTGGTTCTTGGTTGGCAAATCCAAAAAGAAAAGCAGGCTGAAATCGGAGTCAATGGCCTCATTGGCGCATTTGACACGTAATCCTTAATTGTGATGGAAGCATGGTCGAGTCGGCAAAGCTCATGGTTGATAAATTTGAAAAAAGTCTCGTGTTCAAACCCTCTGGCAGATAAGGCTCGATCCCTCCCAACACTAAAAATTAAAAAGAAGATTTATGGAGTTTTCTAATTATAGGTTCATCAGTCGTTCATCACGAGGTTGTGCATGCATTAAACATTTTCCTATTTGATTTATGGCCAAAATCTACCTCCCCTATAAAAATTAAAGTTATAATCTACCTCCCCTATAAAGATTAAAGTTATAATCTACCTCCCCTATAAAGTTTAAAGTTATAATCTACCTTCCCTATAAAGATTAAAGTTATACTCTAACCTCCCCTAACAAGTGATACTTCCCTTTCTTGCCAGCAACATATTTCTGGGTGAGACGTTCTCTAGTTACATAAGTGTCCACAACGATAGCAGTCAGCTCTGTAAGGAAATAACTCTCAAGGTAAGTCACTCTTTACTCACTCAGTTCAATAAGTTAAACCTCATCCTGAGTCATTCCCCTTGGATGACTGGCCCGCGCCATACTGAAGCCAAACTGTTAAGGCTCAAGAGGCTCCTTACAAAGGTCCCACTCCACGATACAGTCGTGTCGGAGTCTATTGTTTTCTTACTTCAGGCTGACTTGCAGACAGGCTCCCAGCGCTTGTCTTTGTCCACTCTCAGTTGTTTTCTTACTTCAGGCTGACTTGCAGACAGGCTCCCAGCGCTTGTCCTTGTCCACTCTCAGTTGTTTTCTTACTTCAGGCTGACTTGCAGACAGGCTCCCAGCGCTTGTCCTTGTCCACTCTCAGTTCTCAGCCCATTCCAGAACTCCAACCTGACCACAGCATTGATGACGTCATACATCATGAGGTTAAAGAACTTGGCACACACATGTAAGGCTTATGTCAAGTTTTGTTGTGTGTGAGCTTATGTCAAGTTTTGTTGTGTGTAAGATTTATGTCAAGTTTTGTTGTGTGTAAGACATGTCAAGTTTTGTTGTGTGTAAGGTTTATGTCAAGTTTTGTTGTGTGTAAGACTTATGTCAAGTTTTGTTGTAAGACATGTCAAGTTTTGTTGTGTGTTAGGCTTATGTCAAGTTTTGTTGTGTGTTAGGCTTATGTCAAGTTTTGTTGTGTGTTAGGCTTATGTCAAGTTTTGTTGTGTGTTAGGCTTATGTCAAGTTTTGTTGTGTGTAAGACATGTCAAGTTTTGTTGTGTGTTAGGCTTATGTCAAGTTTTGTTGTGTGTTAGGCTTATGTCAAGTTTTGTTGTGTGTTAGGCTTATGTCAAGTTTTGTTGTGTGTAAGACATGTCAAGTTTTGTTGTGTGTTAGGCTTATGTCAAGTTTTGTTCTGTGTTAGGCTTATGTCAAGTTTTGTTGTGTGTAAGACATGTCAAGTTTTGTTGTGTGTTAGGCTTATGTCAAGTTTTGTTGTGTGTTAGGCTTATGTCAAGTTTTGTTGTAAGACTTATGTCAAGTTTTGTTGTATGTAAGATCTATGTCAAGTTTTGTTGTATGTAAGATTTATGTCAAGTTTTGTTGTATGTAAGATTTATGTCAAGTTTTGTTGTGTGTTAGGCTTATGTCAAGTTTTGTTGTCCACTTGTGTACCAAATGAGAGTCATCCCTCTCCCAACATTGGTTTGATCTGTCCCAACAGATTGGTGTGTGCTGTCAGCTATATGCTCACATCAGGCGAGAGGATGCAGTTCCGCAAGTTTTTTAAATTTCAGGTAATTTTTGTCACAAAATGTATAACAGGTACACAATAGCAATATTGGATTTGTTTACTTTCTGTTGATTGTGCACATACCAGAAAAAACTCTCCCCACACACCACATCTTTGACTCTTCACTCCACACACCACTCCTTTGACACTACACCCCACATACCACACCTGCCACACTACACCCCACACACCACACCTGCTACACTACACACCACACCTTCCACACTACACCCCACACCTGCCACACTACACCCCACACCCCACACCTGCCACACCACACCCCACACCTGCCACACTACACCCCACACACCACACCTGCCACACTACACCCCACACACCACACCTGCCACACTACACCCCACACACCACACCTGCCACACTACACCCCACACACCACACCTGCCACACTACACCCCACACACCACACCTGCCACACCACACCCCACACCTGCCACACCACACCCCACACCTGCCACACTACACCCCACACACCACACCTGCCACACTACACCCCACAGCTGCCACACTACACCCCACACACCACACCTGCCACACTACACCCCACACCTGCCATACTACACACCACATCTGCCACACTACACCCCACACCTGCCATACTACACCCCACACACCACACCTGCCACACTACACCCCACACCTGCCATACTACACACCACACCTGCCACACTACACCCCACACACCACACCTGCCACACTACACCCCACACCCCACACCTGCCACACTACACCCCACACACCACACCAGCCACACTACACCCCACACACCACACCAGCCACACTACACCCCACACACCACACCTGCCACACTACACCTTACACACTACACCTGCCACACTACACCCCACACACCACACCTGCCACACTACACCCCACACACCACACCTGCCACACTACACCCCACACCTGCCATACTACACACCACACCTGCCACACTACACCCCACACACCACACCAGCCACACTACACCCCACACACCACACCAGCCACACTACACCCCACACACCACACCTGCCACACTACACCCCACACACCACACCAGCCACACTACACCCCACACCTGCCACACCTGCCACACTACACCCCACACACCACACCTGCCACACTACACCCCACAGCTGCCACACTACACCCCACACACCACACCCCACACCTGCCACACTACACCCCACAGCTGCCACACTACACCCCACACCTGCCACACCACACCACACACCTGCCACACCACACCCCACACACCACACCTGCCACACTACACCCCACACCCCACACCGGCCACACTACACCCCACACCTGCCACACCACACACCACACCTGCCACACTACACCCCACACACCACACCTGCCACACTACACCCCACACCTGCCAAACTACACATCACACACCACACCTGCCACACTACACCCCACACACCACACCTGCCACACTACAACCCACACACCACACCCACCACACTACACCCCACACACCACACCTGCCACACTACACACCACACCCACCACACTACACACCACACACCACACCTGCCACACTACACCCCACACCCCACACCTGCCACACTACACCCCACACACCACACCTGCCACCCTACACCTCACACCCCACATGTGCCACACTACACCCCACACCTGCCACACTACACACCACACCCCACATGTGCCACACTACACTCCACACACCACACCCACCACACTACACACCACACCCACCACACTACACACCACACCCACCACACTACACACCACACATATTTTTGTCCCAGTTGAAGAGAAAAGAATTCTAAACACTTACCTAACCTGTAATTACTTTCTGGCCTCAGGTTTTGAAACCACTGGATGTAAAGACCAAGTTCTACAACGCTGAGGTAAATGCTTGTCCACCTTGAGTAAACCAGCCAGGTTACTTAGATAGCCCTTGCTGGACTGTGACTGTCCACTACAGTGTGGACCAGCAGTTTTCTCCCATCAGCTGGTCACAGTGTGCTGGCATGCTGACCTATTGGATCTGTTTGTTGTTGGACTTGTGGGCTGTCAGATTAGTTCATATCTTTAGTGGCTGTTGGTGTAAGTGTGACAAACCTTTAGGTGTGGGGCACACTCTTGGTGGCCATCTTTTGTCTCATCTGGTACTTGGTGGTTCATGTTTAGTTTGGTCAGTGTGTGGTCAGTTGCAGTCTATAGTTTGGTATGGGTGGTCAGTGGCAGTCTATAGTTTGGTCAGTGTGTGGTCAGTGGCAGTCTATAGTTTGGTATGGGTGGTCAGTGGCAGTCTATAGTTTGGTATGGGTGGTCAGTGGCAGTCTATAGTTTGGTCAGTGTGTGGTCAGTGGCAGTCATTAGTTTGGTATGGGTGGTCAGTGGCAGTCTATAGTTTGGTATGGGTGGTCAGTGGCAGTCTATAGTTTGGTATGGGTGGTCAGTGGCAGTCTATAGTTTGGTATGGGTGGTCAGTGGCAGTCTATAGTTTGGTATGGGTGGTCAGTGGCAGTCTATAGTTTGGTATGGGTGGTCAGTGGCAGTCTATAGTTTGGTCAGTGTGTGGTCAGTGGCAGTCTATAGTTTGGTATGGGTGGTCAGTGGCAGTCTATAGTTTGGTATGGGTGGTCAGTGGCAGTCTATAGTTTGGTATGGGTGGTCAGTGGCAGTCTATAGTTTGGTATGGGTGGTCAGTGGCAGTCTATAGTTTGGTATGGGTGGTCAGTGGCAGTCTATAGTTTGGTATGGGTGGTCAGTGGCAGTCTATAGTTTGGTATGGGTGGTCAGTGGCAGTCTTTAAATTCTTCAACAACTGGATACTTTAATGTGATTTACCCTCCTCCATAGGTTAAAAACATGGTTGCATGTCCTGTATGGACCAGTTAGTATTAAGTGTATGGACCAGTTGCCCTTAAATTCCCTTTAAGTGTATGGACCAGTTGGCCTTTTAAGCCTGTATGTGTATGAACCAGTTGACCTTAAGTCCATGTATGTGTATGGACCAGTTAATCTTAAGTCCATGTATGTGTATGTAACAAATGTTAACTACCGAATAGCATGGTGTTTTGTTTAGTCTCTGGAGTATTGAAATAATAGAGATGAGAAATTGTTGTGAACTTGTTCAAATTGCAGTCATGAGAAATTGTTGTGAACTTGTTCGAGTTGCAGTCATGAGAAATTGTTGGAAACTTGTTCAAGTTGCAGTCATGAGAAATTGTTGTGAACTTGTTCAAATTGCAGTCATGAGAAATTGTTGGGAACTTGTTCAAGTTGCAGCCATGCCTTCCTAATGGTTTTATTGATACCATCCAATCTATTCCATTTGCTCTGGGGAACTAATACCATCCCACCAATGCACCCTTTGAAGAAAATCTGGTTGTCTAAGGCGTTGTTTAACTATTACTAGAAAGGTGTCCTAGTACACTTAAGTACTAATACAAATCTTTTTCACCTTCATTTATTTTAGCCATAATTTTTCAATAAAATAAGCACACAGTTGTAATAAATTAGTTTAGAATAAAAATGAATGTTTTTATGTTTTAAAATACCATTTGACATTAAAGAACATTTTTAGTTAAGTTACTGAGACAAAGATTAATTATAGTTGTACAGACACAGACTAGTTTAGTTTTTTAACTGCTGAACTTTCTTGGTTTTTAGAACATCAAAGATGTACAGGTGACTTTGGTTTTACCCTAACACAAGTTTTTGCCTGTTCTTCACACTTTGCCTTGCCTGTTTCTAACATTACTGGGGTTGTACAGTCTAGGTGCAGTCAGTATAGGGCACCATCCTGAGCTATCCAACTCCCCTCCCCCCTCTATCCCCCCCCCCCCCACACACACACACAAACATTAGTTGAGGAGTTAACATACAGTCTGCAGAAGCTGACATCACCCTAGGCCTAAAGTTTTCATTTTCCCAAGTTGTCTTACTTCAGCCATCTTTTTAAAAAAAAATCATATATGTTCATTACAATCCACACACACAAACCAGCCATCTTTCTCTCCTTGACCCGACCCCTGACCTCTAGACCAAAGTTTGAGCTTTGACTAACAGAATAAGGTTGCTGACAAGTCCTGACCAGCATGCTTGTAAACTCCAGACAAACTAAGTGCACATCAAACTTTGCATGATTGAGATCTAGTCCTAGAGAATACCACTAGCCTCTGGTAGTAATGTGTTATGTTTGTTACAACTTGCCAGGATTTTGTCGTAAGTCAGGCTTGCTTTTCTCTCACACTTTTTATTTTCTGCAGGACAAATGTATCACTTTTGTGGCTACAATTAATCACTGCCCATTTTCCTAACTAGAAGAATGTGTTTACAATTTTCACTGATCTAGTGTGGGTTGCCTGAGTCCCTGCTTGTCTTGCTGCCAGTTGGCTCTATGGCATGGTGTGTCTGTGTCTGTCTGCATGTAATGTCATGCTGTCTGTCTGCATGTAATGTCATGCTGTCTGTCTGCATGTAATGTCATGCTGTCTGTCTGCATGAAATGTTCTGCATGTACTTTTTTTCTGAGTGCTCACTTTGTCACTGAGATGCTCTCTGCATTATCTAGCAGCACTTATGCAAACATCTAGATCTAAAGACAGATATGCACAAACTGTACATAGAAACACATCTTAACAGATATACACAAACTGTGGTATATATACAATTCATAAATAATAAACAAATTCATATATTATTGATCATTGATAACTTATCTATACACTAACATATTTGTAGAGATGAACAAAACATTTTTACAGAAAAAATATATTCACAAATAGACAAACTCATTTAAAGACACCCTTCTTTATGGATATTTAATAAAAATCTGATAAATATAAACAAATATGTATATATAGAAACCTAGTTATATATGGAATAGCATTTTTTAATACAGTATTTGTAGATAAAAGTTAACAGATATAGGCAGTTACATTTGTGTATGCAAACATTGACATATATAGCCATATTTTTACATGTATTTCTAGATGAGCATGTTGATAGATATTGTATTTCTTACTCCATGTACCTGCTTGTGAACACCTGGTGTTGCTACCTTGTGTGTTCACCTGCATGTAACCAACAACTGCATGCCTCAACAAGAACCTCCATCTGCTGTTTTCTACCATCATTCACTCTCTTCAATCAATCTTTGGAAATACTTTTTTTTCTCAGTTGACATCCTTGAGATATTTTGCAACAATTGCTTTAAATCTTCAATTCACATTTAATAATAAGTTTAATGCTTAGTTTTACAATTTAAATGACATCAACCCATGTTTTAAATTTTAATTCACATTTAATTAGGTTTAATGCATACAGTTTTACAAATTTATATGACAATCAAATGTTTTTAACCACATAATTATTTGTTTTGATATTTATCTGTCTATGAATGTAACTTTCACAATATAAATCAAAGTAAATCTAATTGAAGTTGGGTCCACACTAGATAAAAACCAGAACTCATTAGGTAGTTATTGATGATTGACCAGAGTTTCTTCCAGGCAACTGTTTGGGGGGGGGGGGGGGGGGGGGCAGCTCTGTCTCAAACACCCCCCCCCCCCCCCACCCCCCGAAGGATGTCTACCTCTACCTACCCCCTACCTCTTCCCCCTCCCCGAGCGAAATGGAATTTATATAGTAAATATATACTTTTAACAGTGTCCTTCTTCCCCCCCCCCCCCCCCCGGAGAAAAAAGTCTGGAAGAAACAGATAGAACCTGAACTCATAAGGTAGTTATTGATGATTGACATCTGGTGTAGAGTGTGAGGACGCCAATATTAGAATCTGGCATGCAAATATTTATCACCATTTTATTTTTAACTAATGGTCTACTATTGTTTCATTTGTTTTAGAATAATTTTAACACTCTCACCTCAATCTTAAGTGACTGTTTCCTGAGTGGCTGTTTTAATCCTCACTCCCCTCTCCACAATCCTCACTCCCCTCTTCATGATCCTAACTCACTATCTCAGTTCTATCTTATTATCCTTTGAGCTATTTTTAAGGCATGATTGTCTAATTACCACTGTTTTTCTTAATTTTTTTGCTAATAATGTCACATGTCTGAATAATTATGTAAAACTGCAAGTTTAAACTAAGCGTAATTAATCCTCTAATGAATGTCAAATAAACTTTAACCTTTGTGATATAACATTTATTTTTTATTTGGTCCAATGTTTTTCTTGCTAGTTAGAATTATCTATTAGTTGCAAAGTTTACAGCCATTTAGGCCTGCTTATTATAAAAGTATTTTATTATCCAGGAAATAGTGTATTACTCTAATGGAGATAAATCACATTCAGTCTGAATATCTATTTTATAATAGCCTTAAAAAGGAGTAGTTAAAAAACCATAACAGATATATGCCTTGTATGTTTTTAAAAATTAATTATAAATTGTTTTTTCCCAAAATTAAAAAAATAATGTTTAAAACTGTTTAATAATGTGTTTTTTAAAGATTTTTTTTTCTGATAAAAGAAATACATTATTAATCTTCACCTACTTTCAAGATAATATTTGAGAAATAAAGCACCTGTAACAGGACAGTGTTAGTGACAAGAGCACAATTTGATGTGGGGCTTATCTGTTTCAGTCTGATGAGGTCTACCTGGAGGCTCAGATCCAGAACATCACACCTGGCCCCATCTACATGGAACATGTCAGTCTGGACCCTTCACCACAATACACAGCCCTGGAGCTTAATGCCAAGGATGGAAAGGAAGGGTCAGTCCACATTTCTCTGTCCCAGCTAGTGTTTGGTACCATGGACTGTCCACCAGACCTCACAGATAGGTACCATGGACTGTCCACCAGACCTCACAGATAGGTACCATGGACTGTCCACCAGACCTCACAGATAGGTACCATGGACTGTCCACCAGACCTCACAGATAGGTACCATGGACTGTCCACCAGACCTCACAGATAGGTACCATGGACTGTCCACCAGACCTCACAGATAGGTACCATGGACTGTCCACCAGACCTCACAGATAGGTACCATGGACTGTCCATATGACACCAGACCTCACAGATAGGTACCATGGACTGTCCACCAGACCTGACCTATTGACCTCTGTATCCCAGGTCCCAGCCAGTGTTTGGCACCATGGACTGTCTGAGCCCTAATGACACCAGGCAGTACCTGTACTGTCTGGCTCCCAGACCTGAGCTGTATGCAGACACGCGACTCCTCAAGGGTGTGACCAATATTGGGAAACTGGACATCGTTTGGAAGACAACCATGGGAGAACGAGGTCGTCTGCAAACAAGTCAGTTACAGAGGGTGGTAAGTTACAGAAACCTTGAGTAGACCAGTCAGTTACAGAGGGTGGTAAGTTACAGAAACCTTGAGTAGACCAGTCAGTTACAGAGGGTGGTAAGTTACAGAAACCTTGAGTAGACCAGTCAGTTACAGAAACCTTGAGTAGACCAGTCAGTTACAGAAACCTTGAGTAGACCAGTCAGTTACAGAAACCTTGAGTAGACCAGTCAGTTACAGAAACCTTGAGTAGACCAGTCAGTTACAGAAACCTTGAGTAGACCAGTCAGTTACAGAAACCTTGAGTAGACCAGTCAGTTACAGAAACCTTGAGTAGACCAGTCAGTTACAGAAACCTTGAGTAGACCAGTCAGTTACAGAAACCTTGAGTAGACCAGTCAGTTACAGAAACCTTGAGTAGACCAGTCAGTTACAGAAACCTTGAGTAGACCAGTCAGTTACAGAAACCTTGAGTAGACCAGTCAGTTACAGAGGGTGGTAAGTTACAGAAACCTTGAGTAGACCAGTCAGTTACAGAGGGTGGTAAGTTACAGAAACTTTTAGCTCATAAGACAGAGTTAATACCCTATACCATGTGCAATTTTAGTTTATTTTGTATAAGTAATTTCTGTCTATTAACTGAATGGGACAAGATTCGGTGTTCTTATCAATAATTGTGACATTTTACAAAAGAAATCTCTTTTACAAATGTGAAGTCTAAAACTTTTGTTCAAAAAGAATTTTTGTAAATTTGAAAGTGTGACTATCACACTTTATACAAACCACATATCAACTTGGCATCACAAACGTCTGAACCCACCATACACCATTAGGGTGGGCCATCATGTGTGTAGACCCATAGCTCTGTTGGTAAGTTATGGGGACATACATATGACAGTGGAGTGTGTTCCTGACACTGTAGCACTTAACTTTTTCTGTTTGCAGGCCCCAGGTTATGGGGACATACATATGACAGTGGAGTGTGTTCCTGACACTGTAGCACTTAACTTTTTCTGTTTGCAGGCCCCAGGTTATGGGGACATACGTCTGACAGTGGAGTGTGTTCCTGACACTGTAGCACTTAACTTTTTCTGTTTGCAGGCCCCAGGTTATGGGGACATACGTCTGACAGTGGAGTGTGTTCCTGACACTGTAGCACTTAACTTTTTCTGTTTGCAGGCCCCAGGTTATGGGGACATACGTCTGACAGTGGAGTGTGTTCCTGACACTGTAGCACTTAACTTTTTCTGTTTGCAGGCCCCAGGTTATGGGGACATACGTCTGACAGTGGAGTGTGTTCCTGACACTGTAGCACTTAACTTTTTCTGTTTGCAGGCCCCAGGTTATGGGGACATACGTCTGACAGTGGAGTGTGTTCCTGACACTGTAGCACTAGAGTCTAACTTTTTCTGTTTGCAGGCCCCAGGTTATGGGGACATACGTCTGACAGTGGAGTGTGTTCCTGACACTGTAGCACTTAACTTTTTCTGTTTGCAGGCCCCAGGTTATGGGGACATACGTCTGACAGTGGAGTGTGTTCCTGACACTGTAGCACTAGAGTCTAACTTTTTCTGTTTGCAGGCCCCAGGTTATGGGGACATACGTCTGACAGTGGAGTGTGTTCCTGACACTGTAGCACTTAACTTTTTCTGTTTGCAGGCCCCAGGTTATGGGGACATACGTCTGACAGTGGAGTGTGTTCCTGACACTGTAGCACTTAACTTTTTCTGTTTGCAGGCCCCAGGTTATGGGGACATACATATGACAGTGGAGTGTGTTCCTGACACTGTAGCACTAGAGTCTAACTTTTTCTGTTTGCAGGCCCCAGGTTATGGGGACATACGTCTGACAGTGGAGTGTGTTCCTGACACTGTAGCACTTAACTTTTTCTGTTTGCAGGCCCCAGGTTATGGGGACATACATATGACAGTGGAGTGTGTTCCTGACACTGTAGCACTTAACTTTTTCTGTTTGCAGGCCCCAGGTTATGGGGACATACATATGACAGTGGAGTGTGTTCCTGACACTGTAGCACTTAACTTTTTCTGTTTGCAGGTCCCAGGTTATGGGGACATACGTCTGACAGTGGAGTGTGTTCCTGACACTGTAGCACTTAACTTTTTCTGTTTGCAGGTCCCAGGTTATGGGGACATACGTCTGACAGTGGAGTGTGTTCCTGACACTGTAGCACTTAACTTTTTCTGTTTGCAGGTCCCAGGTTATGGGGACATACGTCTGACAGTGGAGTTTGTTCCTGACACTGTAGCACTAGAGTCTAACTTTTTCTGTTTGCAGGCCCCAGGTTATGGGGACATACGTCTGACAGTGGAGTGTGTTCCTGACACTGTAGCACTAGAGTCTAACTTTTTCTGTTTGCAGGCCCCAGGTTATGGGGACATACATATGACAGTGGAGTGTGTTCCTGACACTGTAGCACTTAACTTTTTCTGTTTGCAGGCCCCAGGTTATGGGGACATACATATGACAGTGGAGTGTGTTCCTGACACTGTAGCACTTAACTTTTTCTGTTTGCAGGTCCCAGGTTATGGGGACATACGTCTGACAGTGGAGTGTGTTCCTGACACTGTAGCACTTAACTTTTTCTGTTTGCAGGTCCCAGGTTATGGGGACATACGTCTGACAGTGGAGTGTGTTCCTGACACTGTAGCACTTAACTTTTTCTGTTTGCAGGTCCCAGGTTATGGGGACATACGTCTGACAGTGGAGTTTGTTCCTGACACTGTAGCACTTAACTTTTTCTGTTTGCAGGCCCCAGGTTATGGGGACATACATATGACAGTGGAGTGTGTTCCTGACACTGTAGCACTTAACTTTTTCTGTTTGCAGGCCCCAGGTTATGGGGACATACGTCTGACAGTGGAGTGTGTTCCTGACACTGTAGCACTTAACTTTTTCTGTTTGCAGGCCCCAGGTTATGGGGACATACGTCTGACAGTGGAGTGTGTTCCTGACACTGTAGCACTAGAGTCTAACTTTTTCTGTTTGCAGGCCCCAGGTTATGGGGACATACATATGACAGTGGAGTGTGTTCCTGACACTGTAGCACTTAACTTTTTCTGTTTGCAGGCCCCAGGTTATGGGGACATACGTCTGACAGTGGAGTGTGTTCCTGACACTGTAGCACTTAACTTTTTCTGTTTGCAGGCCCCAGGTTATGGGGACATACGTCTGACAGTGGAGTGTGTTCCTGACACTGTAGCACTAGAGTCTAACTTTGATATCATCTGCAGAATCACTAACTGCTGGTAAAGTTATCTTGTTTGTTGTGACAGGTCTTGGCATGTGCACTGTGTCATCATCTCACTTTGTCATTTCTCTATTCTATGCTAATGCTAGCTTAGGATGTTTAGATGGGCAAATGTAAGAGAAGGATACTGAAAGTTTACCACTCCCCAGTGAGGGAATGATATAGTTTGACCACTCCCCAGTGAGGGAATGATATAGTTTGACTACTCCTCAGTGAGGGAATGATAGTTTGACCTCTCTCCAGTGAGAAAGTGATAAAGTTTGACCACTCCCCAGTGAGAGAATGATAAAATTTGACCGCTCCCCAGTGAGAGAATGATATAGTTTGACCACTCCCCAGTGAGGGAATGATAAAGTGTGACCACTCCCCAGTGAGAGAATGATATAGTTTGACCACTCCCCAGTGAGGGAATGATAGTTTGACCACTCCCCAGTGAGGGAATGATAAAGTTTGACCACTCCCCAGTGAGAGAATGATAAAGTTTGACCACTCCCCAGTGAGAGAATGATAGTTTGACCACTCCCCAGTGAGAGAATGATAAAGTTTGACCACTCCCCAGTGAGAGAATGATATAGTTTGACCACTCCCCAGTGAGGGAATGATATAGTTTGACCACTCCCCAGTGAGAGAATGATAAAGTTTGACCATTCCCCAGTGAATGATAAAGTTTGACCACTCCCCAGTGAGAGAATGATAAAGTTTGACCATTCCCCAGTGAATGATAAAGTTTGACCACTCCCCAGTGAGAGAATGATAAAGTTTGACCACTCCCCAGTGAGGGAATGATAAAATTTGACCACTCCCCAGTGAGAGAATGATAAAATTTGACCATTCCCCAGTGAGAGAATGATAAAGTTTGACTACTCCCCAGTGAGAGAATGATAGTTTGACCACTCCCCAGTGAGAGAATGATAAAGTTTGACCTCTCCCCAGTGAGGGAATGATATAGTTTGACCACTCCCCAGTGAGAGAATGATAAAGTTTGACCATTCCCCAGTGAATGATAAAGTTTGACCACTCCCCAGTGAGAGAATGATAAAGTTTGACCATTCCCCAGTGAATGATAAAGTTTGACCACTCCCCAGTGAGGGAATGATAAAATTTGACCACTCCCCAGTGAGAGAATGATAAAATTTGACCATTCCCCAGTGAGAGAATGATAAAGTTTGACCATTTCCCAGTGAATGATAAAGTTTGACCACTCCCCAGTGAGGGAATGATAAAATTTGACCACTCCCCAGTGAGAGAATGATAAAATTTGACCATTCCCCAGTGAGAGAATGATAAAGTTTGACCACTCCCCAGTGAATGATAAAGTTTGACCACTCCCCAGTGAGAGAATGATAAAGTTTGACCATTCCCCAGTGAATGATAAAGTTTGACCACTCCCCAGTGAGGGAATGATAAAATTTGACCACTCCCCAGTGAGAGAATGACAAAGTTTGATCATTCCCCAGTTAGAGAATGATAAAGTTTGACCACTCCCCAGTGAGGGAATGATAAAACTTGACCACTCCCCAGTGAGAGAATGATAGTTTGACCACTCCCCAGTGAGAGAATGATAAAGTTTGACCACTCCCCAGTGAGAGAATGATAAAGTTTGACCACTCCCCAGTGAGAGAATGATATAGTTTGACCACTCTCCAGTGAGAGAATGATAACGTTTGACCACTCCCCAGTGAGAGAATGATAAAGTTTGACCACTCCCCAGTGAGGGAATGAATAAGTTTGACCACTCCCCAGTGAGAGAATGATAAAGTTTGACCACTCCCCAGTGAGAGAATGATAAAGTTTGACCACTCCCCAGTGAGAGAATGATAAAGTTTGACCACTCCCCAGTGAGAGAATGATAAAAGTTTGACCACTCCCCAGTGAGAGAATGATAGTTTGACCACTCCCCAGTGAGGGAATGAATAAGTTTGACCACTCCCCAGTGAGGGAATGATAAAACTTGACCACTCCCCAGTGAGAGAATGATAGTTTGACCACTCCCCAGTGAGAGAATGATAAAGTTTGACCACTCCCCAGTGAGAGAATGATAAAGTTTGACCACTCCCCAGTGAGAGAATGATATAGTTTGACCACTCTCCAGTGAGAGAATGATAACGTTTGACCACTCCCCAGTGAGAGAATGATAAAGTTTGACCACTCCCCAGTGAGGGAATGAATAAGTTTGACCACTCCCCAGTGAGAGAATGATAAAGTTTGACCACTCCCCAGTGAGAGAATGATAAAGTTTGACCACTCCCCAGTGAGAGAATGATAAAGTTTGACCACTCCCCAGTGAGAGAATGATAAAAGTTTGACCACTCCCCAGTGAGAGAATGATAGTTTGACCACTCCCCAGTGAGGGAATGAATAAGTTTGACCACTCCCCAGTGAGGGAATGATAAAACTTGACCACTCCCCAGTGAGAGAATGATAGTTTGACCACTCCCCAGTGAGAGAATGATAAAGTTTGACCACTCCCCAGTGAGAGAATGATAAAGTTTGACCACTCCCCAGTGAGAGAATGATAAAGTTTGACCACTCCCCAGTGAGGGAATGATAAAAGTTTGACCACTCCCCAGTGAGAGAATGATAGTTTGACCACTCCCCAGTGAGGGAATGAATAAGTTTGACCACTCCCCAGTGAGGGAATGATAAAACTTGACCACTCCCCAGTGAGAGAATGATAGTTTGACCACTCCCCAGTGAGGGAATGAATAAGTTTGACCACTCCCCAGTGAGAGAATGATATAGTTTGACCACTCCCCAGTGAGGGAATGATAAAGTTTGACCACTCCCCAGTGAGAGAATGATAAAACTTGACCACTCCCCAGTGAGAGAATGATAGTTTGACCACTCCCCAGTGAGAGAATGATAAAGTTTGACCACTCCCCAGTGAGAGAATGATAAAGTTTGACCACTCCCCAGTGAGAGAATGATAAAGTTTGACCACTCCCCAGTGAGGGAATGATAAAAGTTTGACCACTCCCCAGTGAGAGAATGATAGTTTGACCACTCCCCAGTGAGGGAATGAATAAGTTTGACCACTCCCCAGTGAGGGAATGATAAAACTTGACCACTCCCCAGTGAGAGAATGATAGTTTGACCACTCCCCAGTGAGGGAATGAATAAGTTTGACCACTCCCCAGTGAGAGAATGATATAGTTTGACCACTCCCCAGTGAGGGAATGATAAAGTTTGACCACTCCCCAGTGAGAGAATGATAAAGTTTGACCACTCCCTAGTGAGAGAATGATAGTTTGACCACTCCCCAGTGAGGGAATGATAAAGTTTGACCACTCCCCAGTGAGGGAATGATAGTTTGACCACTCCCCAGTGAGGGAATGATAAAGTTTGACCACTCCCCAGTGAGAGAATGATAAAGTTTGACCACTCCCCAGTGAGAGAATGATAGTTTGACCACTCCCCAGTGAGGGAATGATAAAGTTTGACCACTCCCCAGTGAGAGAATCATGGACCTGACACTGGTGCTACAGAACATTGCTCCATCCTCTGGCTTGCTGTGGTGTGGTGTGTCAGGCAGACAGCTGGGCAAGCTACCACAGAATGAAAGTCTGGACATCCCATTGTCACTCATTGCTGTAGTGCCTGGTCTGCAGGTCAGTTCTAAAAGATTTTCAACCCTAACCAATCTATCTATATATATAATTCTCTTCTGGGAGACGCTAGAAAACAAGCTGTAAACGCGCTCCCTACCACCCCCACCCCTACATGGTCTGGTGAGCGGTGGTTCACTCTAAATGTTTACAAACAGAGCCGGGTTTAGTGACGACTATTAAGGGCAGATAATTTAGTTTGAAACAATTTTAAATGTGGGGGGGGGGGGGGAGGGTAACTAAGTGGAGTTTACTTTAACGGAGGGGGGGAGGAGGGGGTATCGTCCTTAACGAGCTACTTATAGTGTTTTAAAGAAATATTTTCAGTAGCAGCGTTGGTAGTGTCGAATTCACAAATTATGAATAATTGAAAAGTAGAAAAAAACAACAACTAAATAGCGGCGTATGATATGCCGCGGGTCGGCTCGTTGGTTTATATTAGTTGAGTTAGAAGGAAGTATTTTTTTAACAAGTCAGGAAAAAGACAATGAATTTATTTGTTAGTTTTGATGGTAAAAACTATTTGTTTGTTGAATGCATTGGGTTTAGTAAATTGAAACAGCTGAAATCCTTTCCTCTCCTGCAGACAATATCAGGCCTGAGACTGACAGACAATTTTTTGAAGAGAACTTACGAACACGATGAGATCGCTCAAGTTTTTGTTGTCTCTGCTTGCTCTTAAAGCCAGGAACTTTGTCATTAGTTTAGAACTTGAATGGGACTTTTTTACATTGAAATTATTTTTGAACTAGAATGTCTTTAACTTTTTTTGATGCTTCATAGCTCAAGTTCTAGAACTTTGTGTTTAACTCAAGTTCTAGAACTTTGACTTCCAGCTTAAGTGTAGGCTGTCCTTGACTTACTACTTGTGATATTTGTTGTCCTAATTAACTATTACATGTTCAATGTTAGCTACTAGGTTTAAAGTTGCGTGATAGTTGGGTTGGTCAGATAGATTGATGTGGTACTTGGGTTGGTCTGATGGATGGATGTGGTACTTGGGTTGGTCTAATTGGGTTGGTCTGGTGGATGGATGTGGTACGTGGGTTGGTCTGATGGATGGATTTGGTACTTGGGTTGGTCAGATGGATGGATGTGATACTTGGGTTGGTCTACTTGGGTCGGTCAGATGGATGGATGTGGTACTTGGGTTGGTCTGATGGATGGATGTGGTACTTGGGTTGGTCTGATGGATGGATGTGGCACTTGGGTTGCCTGTACATTCCATTAGTTCAGTCAAGAAGCAAAGGTACCAATTGACAACCAGTAATTGTTTGATCATAAAATTGTGTCCTTACAAGAAGAACGTACAAATTGACTCATTCCATAAGGTAAGGTTGTGCTGGAATACAAGTCTAGTAATTACCAAATCATTTATACATGTATTCTAGTGTCAATTTTTTGTATTGTAAACATAAATTTAAAACACCAATGGAATAAAACATCTTGGGATATACAGGGAGCTGGACTTATGCCTGAAATAAAGGCACATGCCTGAATGGCATTTGTCTGAAGCTTGGTTCCCTAAAGTTACCTCAAAGTCAACACATGACTGAATGGGACAAATGCATGGAAATGGAAGTCATTATAGATAATCCAATAGAAGTTCTAAAAGCAAGATTCTGGTTAATAACTCATCTAAGCTTACAAAAACAAAGTTTTTAAAAGATTTTTAAGGTTTAATTGATGCGTTGAGGTGGTAATACCAAAGCTACTATTTTATAAAACATCTGAGAAAAAATGGTGATTTATTATCATTTCATAGCTAGAAAAAGAAATTAATTCTCTGGTTTATTTTTTATACTTTGTTACACTTGTTTTTTCACCACAAAACAAAAAATAAGTTTAATTTTCAGTGATTTATACGTAAGTTTTGGTCCTTAAAATATTTTCAGGCCAATGCTTTTTGGGCATATGGCTTTGGGCTCTTTGTTAAATTGAGGCAAACTTCTATTGGGCATTAGACCAAGATAAACATGAGTTAGTGAGCAGGCAGTGAGTGGCTCACACCATCACAAGTTGTCTAGAGAAATGAGAGATTTATGTGGGCTCTTTCTGTTTTTATCATTTTATATTCCAAGTCAAGGCATATCAGGGGACTTTACTCTGATTAATGCTTGTTTTATTTAATTTACAACCCTTGTTTTTTATGTATAGAATGTTTATCTGATTGTTGTAATTGGTTGTCATCACAACAAGCAAAGATTTTCACCATGTGCAATACAATAGGTTACCTATCAGAGATAGTGTTGTGTTGTTAGTGTCTGTTGAGTTTTTCCTCCTATTATGTAGCCTGTAGAATGTGACCATAGTTTGGGGTATCAGCATCAGCTGATAACAGGAACTGGTCATTGTAGCAGTCGTGACTGCAATTATTATACCTCACACCCATGGGCAGTCATGTCTAGGCTGACTGCAACCATTATACCTCACACCCATGGGCAGTCATGTCTAGGCTGACTGCAATCATTTCATTATACCTCACACCCATGTGCAGTCATGTCTAGGCTGACTGCAACCATTTCATTATACCTCACACCCATGTGCAGTCATGTCTAGGCTGACTGCAATCATTTCATTATACCTCACACCCATGGGCAGTCATGTCTAGGCTGACTGCAATCATTTCATTATACCTCACACCCATGGGCAGTCATGTCTAGACTGACTGCAATCATTTCATTATACCTCACACCCATGTGCAGTCATGTCTAGGCTGACTGCAATCATTTCATTATACCTCACACCCATGGGCAGTCATGTCTAGGCTGACTGCAATCATTTCATTATACCTCACACCCATGTGCAGTCATGTCTAGGCTGACTGCAATCATTTCATTATACCTCACACCCATGGGCAGTCATGTCTAGGCTGACTGCAACCATTATACCTCACACGCATGTGCAGTCATGTCTAGGCTGACTGCAATCATTTCATTATACCTCACACCCATGGGCAGTCATGTCTAGGCTGACTGCAATCATTTCATTATACCTCACACCCATGTGCAGTCATGTCTAGGCTGACTGCAATCATTTCATTATACCTCACACCCATGTGCAGTCATGTCTAGGCTGACTGCAACCATTTCATTATACCTCACACCCATGTGCAGTCATGTCTAGGCTGACTGCAACCATTTCATTATACCTCACACCCATGTGCAGTCATGTCTAGGCTGACTGCAATCATTTCATTATACCTCACACCCATGTGCAGTCATGTCTAGGCTGACTGCAATCATTTCATTATACCTCACACCCATGGGCAGTCATGTCTAGGCTGACTGCAATCATTTCATTATACCTCACACCCATGTGCAGTCATGTCTAGGCTGACTGCAATCATTTCATTATACCTCACACCCATGTGCAGTCATGTCTAGGCTGACTGCAACCATTATACCTCACACCCATGTGCAGTCATGTCTAGGCTGACTGCAATCATTTCATTATACCTCACACCCATGTGCAGTCATGTCTAGGCTGACTGCAATCATTTCATTATACCTCACACCCATGTGCAGTCATGTCTAGGCTGACTGCAATCATTTCATTATACCTCACACCCATGTGCAGTCATGTCTAGGCTGACTGCAACCATTATACCTCACACCCATGGGCAGTCATGTCTAGGCTGACTGCAATCATTTCATTATACCTCACACCCATGGGCAGTCATGTCTAGGCTGACTGCAACCATTATACCTCACACCCATGTGCAGTCATGTCTAGGCTGACTGCAATCATTTCATTATACCTCACACCCATGTGCAGTCATGTCTAGGCTGACTGCAATCATTTCATTATACCTCACACCCATGTGCAGTCATGTCTAGGCTGACTGCAATCATTTCATTATACCTCACACCCATGTGCAGTCATGTCTAGGCTGACTGCAATCATTTCATTATACCTCACACCCATGTGCAGTCATGTCTAGGCTGACTGCAATCATTTCATTATACCTCACACCCATGTGCAGTCATGTCTAGGCTGACTGCAACCATTTCATTATACCTCACACCCATGTGCAGTCATGTCTAGGCTGACTGCAACCATTATACCTCACACCCATGTGCAGTCATGTCTAGGCTGACTGCAATCATTTCATTATACCTCACACCCATGTGCAGTCATGTCTAGGCTGACTGCAATCATTTCATTATACCTCACACCCATGTGCAGTCATGTCTAGGCTGACTGCAACCATTTCATTATACCTCACACCCATGTGCAGTCATGTCTAGGCTGACTGCAATCATTTCATTATACCTCACACCCATGTGCAGTCATGTCTAGGCTGACTGCAACCATTTCATTATACCTCACACCCATGTGCAGTCATGTCTAGGCTGACTGCAACCATTATACCTCACACCCATGTGCAGTCATGTCTATGCTGACTGCAACCATTTCATTATACCTCACACCCATGTGCAGTCATGTCTAGGCTGACTGCAATCATTTCATTATACCTCACACCCATGTGCAGTCATGTCTAGGCTGACTGCAACCAGTATACCTCACACCCATGTGCAGTCATGTCTAGGCTGACTGCAATCATTTCATTATACCTCACACCCATGTGCAGTCATGTCTAGGCTGACTGCAATCATTTCATTATACCTCACACCCATGTGCAGTCATGTCTAGGCTGACTGCAACCATTTCATTATACCTCACACCCATGGGCAGTCATGTCTAGGCTGACTGCAATCATTTCATTATACCTCACACCCATGTGCAGTCATGTCTAGGCTGACTGCAATCATTTCATTATACCTCACACCCATGTGCAGTCATGTCTAGGCTGACTGCAACCATTTCATTATACCTCACACCCATGTGCAGTCATGTCTAGGCTGACTGCAATCATTTCATTATACCTCACACCCATGTGCAGTCATGTCTAGGCTGACTGCAATCATTTCATTATACCTCACACCCATGGGCAGTCATGTCTAGGCTGACTGCAATCATTTCATTATACCTCACACCCATGTGCAGTCATGTCTAGGCTGACTGCAATCATTTCATTATACCTCACACCCATGTGCAGTCATGTCTAGGCTGACTGCAACCATTATACCTCACACCCATGTGCAGTCATGTCTAGGCTGACTGCAATCATTTCATTATACCTCACACCCATGTGCAGTCATGTCTAGGCTGACTGCAACCATTTCATTATACCTCACACCCATGTGCAGTCATGTCTAGGCTGACTGCAATCATTTCATTATACCTCACACCCATGTGCAGTCATGTCTAGGCTGACTGCAATCATTTCATTATACCTCACACCCATGTGCAGTCATGTCTAGGCTGACTGCAACCATTATACCTCACACCCATGTGCAGTCATGTCTAGGCTGACTGCAATCATTTCATTATACCTCACACCCATGTGCAGTCATGTCTAGGCTGACTGCAATCATTTCATTATACCTCACACCCATGTGCAGTCATGTCTAGGCTGACTGCAATCATTTCATTATACCTCACACCCATGTGCAGTCATGTCTAGGCTGACTGCAATCATTTCATTATACCTCACACCCATGTGCAGTCATGTCTAGGCTGACTGCAATCATTTCATTATACCTCACACCCATGTGCAGTCATGTCTAGGCTGACTGCAATCATTTCATTATACCTCACACCCATGTGCAGTCATGTCTAGGCTGACTGCAATCATTTCATTATACCTCACACCCATGGGCAGTCATGTCTAGGCTGACTGCAACCATTATACCTCACACCCATGTGCAGTCATGTCTAGGCTGACTGCAATCATTTCATTATACCTCACACCCATGTGCAGTCATGTCTAGGCTGACTGCAATCATTTCATTATACCTCACACCCATGTGCAGTCATGTCTAGGCTGACTGCAATCATTTCATTATACCTCACACCCATGTGCAGTCATGTCTAGGCTGACTGCAACCATTTCATTATACCTCACACCCATGTGCAGTCATGTCTAGGCTGACTGCAACCATTATACCTCACACCCATGTGCAGTCATGTCTAGGCTGACTGCAACCATTATACCTCACACCCATGTGCAGTCATGTCTAGGCTGACTGCAACCATTTCATTATACCTCACACCCATGTGCAGTCATGTCTAGGCTGACTGCAACCATTATACCTCACACCCATGTGCAGTCATGTCTATGCTGACTGCAACCATTTCATTATACCTCACACCCATGTGCAGTCATGTCTATGCTGACTGCAACCATTTCATTATACCTCACACCCATGTGCAGTCATGTCTAGGCTGACTGCAATCATTTCATTATACCTCACACCCATGTGCAGTCATGTCTAGGCTGACTGCAATCATTTCATTATACCTCACACCCATGTGCAGTCATGTCTAGGCTGACTGCAACCAGTATACCTCACACCCATGTGCAGTCATGTCTAGGCTGACTGCAATCATTTCATTATACCTCACACCCATGTGCAGTCATGTCTAGGCTGACTGCAATCATTTCATTATACCTCACACCCATGTGCAGTCATGTCTAGGCTGACTGCAACCATTTCATTATACCTCACACCCATGGGCAGTCATGTCTAGGCTGACTGCAATCATTTCATTATACCTCACACCCATGTGCAGTCATGTCTAGGCTGACTGCAACCATTTCATTATACCTCACACCCATGTGCAGTCATGTCTAGGCTGACTGCAACCATTATACCTCATACCCTTGTGCAGTCATGTCTATGCTGACTGCAACCATTTCATTATACCTCACACCCATGTGCAGTCATGTCTAGGCTGACTGCAATCATTTCATTATACCTCACACCCATGTGCAGTCATGTCTAGGCTGACTGCAACCAGTATACCTCACACCCATGTGCAGTCATGTCTAGGCTGACTGCAATCATTTCATTATACCTCACACCCATGTGCAGTCATGTCTAGGCTGACTGCAATCATTTCATTATACCTCACACCCATGTGCAGTCATGTCTAGGCTGACTGCAATTATTATACCTCACACCCATGTGCAGTCATGTCTAGGCTGACTGCAATCATTTCATTATACCTCACACCCATGTGCAGTCATGTCTAGGCTGACTGCAATCATTTCATTATACCTCACACCCATGTGCAGTCATGTCTAGGCTGACTGCAACCATTATACCTCACACCCATGTGCAGTCATGTCTAGGCTGACTGCAACCATTTCATTATACCTCACACCCATGTGCAGTCATGTCTAGGCTGACTGCAACCATTTCATTATACCTCACACCCATGACTCCTGCCACCTCTGGCATGTCACCTCTGGTGTGTCACCTCTAGTGTGTCACCAGACTTTACTCACCACGTCCTGCATGTCACCTCTGGTGTGTCACCTCTAGTGTGTCACCAGACTTTACTCACCACGTCCTGCATGTCACCTCTGGTGTGTCACCTCTAGTGTGTCACCAGACTTTACTCACCACATCCTGCATGTCACCTCTGGTGTGTCACCTCTAGTGTGTCACCAGACTTTACTCACCATGTCCTGCATGTCACCTCTGGTGTGTCACCTCTAGTGTGTCACCAGACTTTACTCACCACGTCCTGCATGTCACCTCAGTTCAAGGTCAGCTAGCCAGACACAGCAGACCTTATGGCACAAAATAAATTGACAATTCTCAGTTAATGAAATTAAAAAAAAAAAACACAGTAATTTCAAAAAACTTTATTTCCTTGCCAAATATTATTTTAACTTTTCTTTTTAAAAATCCAAGACAAGCAAGAATAAGAATTTCACTTGTTCTAAATATTATCATTGTACCAATATATTTATGTTTGATTCTTTAGAAATTTAAAACAGTTTGATAAACAGTTATTATAATCAAGTTACTTGAAATAAAATTGGTGTTTTAGAAATGACTACCCCCAATTAGTCTGCCATCACTGACCAATGTAATTGATGCGGTATGACAATAGAACTTTGAGCCAACATTTGTTTTTGGTGTCATCCAAATATTGTTTTGCTATAGTTATCCAGATTACATAATAATTTGAAATAAAACAACACTGAACGTATGAGAAAAGCAATCAAAAGACAAAAATATTTACATAAAACTTTTCACAATTGAGATTTTGGGTCCTCCAATTTACAGCAGTACACATACAAATAAAAATATACATAAAAAGTATAATCACCAACATCAATTTATGTATACAATAAATAATTTTAAATTAAAAAAAAAAACATTTTTAACTAATAATTTATACTAAAATTAAATTGTACTTTGAATAGCCTTATTAAATTGGTTAAATCAAAATGTAATAATTGTAAAAACGAAATGTTTCTTTTGTAAAAATGTGCGAGATTATTAATTTAGAGCTGCGTTGTCATCTACTGTTTAGAAATATCTATGTAATCAACACAACCTTTGCATCACTTGTGAATATAATAAAATAAATTAAAGTAATCAATAATTACATCAAGCAATTAATCAATGTACAGACTTGCCACAGTTTTTTTATTGCACTGTTCCGGCCATAAATAATTAGTAGAATCATTTTAAATAATTAACAGTTCATGTCAAATCTCATTCCATTCATGCATGTTTCAGTCAGTCTCTCTGTAACCATGGCAATTATCCAATCAACGTTCAGGACCATCATTCTGTCAGTTCAACATCACTTACACGCTAAAATAATGCTCTCAAATGTCAAAATCACATCAGTAAAATACTTGCACATCCCATTCACATCAGTAAATTCTTGCACACCCCATTCACATCACTAAAATACTTGCACATCTTATTTACATCACTAAAATACTTGCACATCCCATTCACTAAGATTACAATACACCAGATGTAAGTTTACTGGCTTATGATACAACAATATTGCACGAATCCGGCCTTGGCGCCTTCAGGGTGATGTATGATGGGACAGTTATGTACAGGAAAATATTCAAAATTGTTTTAGCATCTTGTTAACTAACACTAATTCATTAGAGTTTTGGTTCAAAAATATTGACAAGTTACCTCCCCTACATCATGTGTCAACAAATGATGTCTGTAGTGTAAACCAAATTTAATGGGTTGTCAATTTGAAATACAAACTTAATAGTTGATGAAAAATTTGGAAGTTTTTCACAACTTTTTGGTCAAATAAAAAGAAAAGTGAATGGTGAGGAAGAAAGCAACATGAATCAATGGATGTTCTGTACACGATTGTACACATTTTGTACAGACTATGTACAGGGTTGACTAGAGTTTCTCATCCGATTGTGGTAACCACAAGTACATGAATAAAAGAGCAACACAAATCTTGCTCAAAAGGGAAAACACAAATACATTGGCTGCTGGGGCATTCTTGGAAATATTTTCTGGACAATGTCCGGGGTCAATTGTGGCGGACTTTAGTGGGGGTAAGAAAGTGATGTGTTATCTGTGGTATTGAAATATAATGATTTCTCAGTTTAAAAATATGTTTGTGGATCGTTACACTGACATGCTACACGTTGATCAAAGTAGGCTATATAATCTTGGAATTAATTTGCTAAAAATAATGTGATTTACTAATTTCGCCATAATGGCCCCAACTATAAACATTACATTAGTGACTAATTTATTTTAAAAAATTATTCTAGGGTGTAGGCCATATAATGACTATAATCAGGGGGGGGGTTACACACATTTGATGACCCCCCCCCCCCCACCATGTTCAACTTCCCCCGTGTAAGATCTGCTAGTGCTATGTGTGGCTGACTGTCGCCATAATGTGCCAGGTTGCACGATAGAGCGGATACAAAGCGGGGGATTACAAGCACCTGGTCCCGTTAGTACAAAGCCGCGCGTGGCAACCGCACGTGCAGACGTCGGGCCGTGCGTGAGTAACCCGCGTGCTATTGTGTGCGTTAATTGTAATGATCCCCACGGTAAGGAGTTGGGAGGGGCTGGTGGGCAGCACAACACGAAATAAACTTAGTCTAGTTAGTATTGAACTAAGGAGATGTGTGTCTTTTAGAGGGTCGCGCCGCCCCACCAAGTCAATCTTCATCTGGTTCTAATTCGCCGAACAATCCGATTCTACAGCTCTGGGCTAGTGAAATTTAAAAAAAAAAAAACTTTAGTGAAGATTGAAATGGGCCCCAAACTGTTCCATCCCTTAAAAAATAAATTTAAAAAAAAACCCTCATGAGAATAGACTTATGGGAACGAGGCTATTTTCAACTCACGGTATCGATTTTTCTCAGTATCGATTTCCTGCCGTGCCATCCATCTGTTGTTTTTCACGTCATCGTCTGCCACATGGCGGGCTACAGCGGCGACTAGCACGGCCATCTTGATTTACAGCCACTTTACGGCTGACCTACTTTTTGTTAACGGGATCTTTTTTTACAAGCGCTCATTAAGAATGAGGTGGGGTTTTTTCTTTGGGTTTTTTATATACAATTATGAAAAAGATGATACTTCCACAGGAAGTCAATAGTACAAATGGCAGTGGATGGTAGGTTGATGAACGTGAAATATGTCGCATGTTACAACAAGCTGACATCATACACACTCACACTAGCTCACAGCTGTCCATCCCTACCACTGATGTGGCATTACCATTCATTATGTAATCAAGTGGTGAGTTATACCATAGCTTATGTAATCTAGTGGCCAGTTATACCATAGCTTATGTAATCTTGTGTTATACCATAGCTTATGTAATCTCGAACCTTGCCTGGCAGAGGTAGGCTAGCGATGGCCCCCCGCCTCTTTACTCTGTTGACTATGACCTGTCGACACCTGTCCTGGAGGTTATGAAATGACCTTAGCCTCTTGCCCACTGCCATGGTTGTCTTGGCAGCAGTAGAACAGATGGTGGGATACAGATCGTCCTTGACACTGCTCATGCCGGTAAAAGCTACACCTGTAGACACAAAGGGCAATGGTCAAAAGATAGTTTGATTTCATCCTTATGGTTTACCGGGGATACATTTATGATTTCAATTTGTCTGGACTCTTGCTTTCATCAGCTTATGTTAGGGAGCAACTTTTTCATTTGCCAAGGAACTTGACGAAAACATGCATTATAATGTGCGTCAGATTGTAGCAGTTTCAACTGACAAGGAAGTTGGTGGAGGCATAACACAACCGACAGTCAACCAGCCTCAAAGTCGAACTTCAGAGACCGTCCCATCTTGGCTTTGTGTGGACTTGGTGTTTGTGTGGTTTTGTAGAGTTGTTTTGTGTGGGTTCGTAGAGTTATTTTGTGTGTGTGTGGTTTTGTAGCGTTGTTTTGTGTGTGTGTGGTTTTGTAGAGTTGTTTTGTGTGTGTGTGTGTGTGTGGTTTTGTAGAGTTTAGTGTGTTCGTAAAGTGTGATTATGTGTCTACTATCTACCCATGTCTAACTAGACAGTTGGCCCTCCCCCCCCCCCCCCCCCCCCATCGCCCAAAAAAAAAAGAATTTATATATAAATTTATATCGGGAAAGAATGTGTGAAAAAACCTGCCAGTGGGGTTCACAGCGTTGGTGGCAGCCTATGTGATTCACACATCATTAATTAACTGCTAATTAGATTCTGGTAGCCGACTGGTGTAAAATTACTGAGTTGCTGTTCCCCACCCAGTTCCCTCCTCCATACACACCCACCCAGCCTTGTGAACAAATCTGCTGCTGCCTGAGTCACGTCCATGGACATTGGAAAGGACATTACACAGAAATGAACTTGTTCTAAAGGTCACAAACAAATCATGCGTCCATTTTACCGTGTTGACATTTCTCAGGACTAGGGGAGAGTACTATGGCTGCACACACCAGCTCGGCTTGTGTGGCTTTGTTCCACCTATAGAGCTGCGCTAATTATGTAGCCTACAGTGTTCCAGACTTTTTTTCTCGTTCGGGGGGGGGGGGGGCGGTAGACTTTCTTCGGGGGGTCTCAGCCCCCCCCCCCCCGCCCCCGAAGAGATGCCTGGAAGAAACTCTGGTAGCCTACCATGAATAAATTCCAGACTGTGGTCACATCACAAAGTGACCGGATCAATAGACTGGACCAATAGACTGGATCAATAGACTGGACCAATAGACTGGATCAATAGACTGGACCAATAGACTGGACCAATAGACTGGACCAATAGACTGGACCAATAGACTGGACCAATAGACTGGACCAATAGTCTGGACCAATAGACTGGACCAATAGACTGGATCAACAGACTGGATCAATAGACTGGACCAATAGACTGGATCAACAGACTGGACCAATAGACTGGACCAATAGACTGGACCAATAGACTGGACCAATAGACTGGACCAATAGACTGGACCAATAGACTGGACCAATAGACTGGACCAATAGACTGGACCAATAGACTGGATCAATAGACTGGACCAATAGACTGGACCAATAGACTGGACCAATAGACTGGACCAATAGACTGGACCAATAGACTGGACCAATAGACTGGACCAATAGACTGGACCAACAGACTGGACCAATAGACTGGATCAACAGACTGGACCAATAGACTGGACCAATAGACTGGACCAATAGTCTGGACCAATAGACTGGATCAATAGACTGGACCAATAGACTGGATCAATAGACTGGACCAATAGACTGGATCAACAGACTGGACCAATAGACTGGACCAATAGACTGGACCAATAGTCTGGACCAATAGACTGGACCAATAGACTGGACCAATAGACTGGACCAATAGACTGGACCAATAGTCTGGATCAATAGACTGGACCAATAGACTGGATCAACAGACTGGACCAATAGACTGGATCAACAGACTGGACCAATAGACTGGACCAATAGACTGGACCAATAGTCTGGACCAATAGACTGGATCAATAGACTGGACCAATAGACTGGATCAATAGACTGGACCAATAGACTGGATCAACAGACTGGACCAATAGACTGGACCAATAGACTGGACCAATAGTCTGGACCAATAGACTGGACCAATAGACTGGACCAATAGACTGGACCAATAGACTGGACCAATAGTCTGGACCAATAGACTGGACCAATAGACTGGACCAATAGACTGGACCAATAGACTGGACCAATAGACTGGACCAATAGACTGGACCAATAGACTGGACCAATAGTCTGGACCAATAGACTGGACCATTTGAATAAAAACTGTCTCAAATAATGCCAAGAAATTTGTCCATTGCCTGACCCCACTCCCCATAGGGTACGTTACCATCCCTCTTGCCTGACCCCACTATCCATAATGGTTTAATTTGAACTGACCCAGGTTGACGCCATCTTTGAAAAAGCTCAGCTCCCCCTTGAGACGGTGAAACAGGACACCAACCAACACTGGGGTGTATTCCTTGAAGGGCGCGCAGTAGGGCGTGGAGACACCGTTGTGGTACAGCCTTCCTTTATGTGACAGGCCCCATCCGTTGGCGTCTTCACCTGCAGTAACAATAGTCACACAGTTTGTAGGGCGGGGGGGGTAATGTACCAGTGTAATAATCACTTTTGAAAACTTACTTGAAACTTACGGACGTAGGACTTAAACTTTGAGAGGGGGGGGGGGCGTACACCGGTTGATGCCTTAAAGCTCTGGACACGAGCAGATGTACATATCGTCTTGTCACGGTGCTCAGACCATTAGGGTTTGACCAAATATCCCCACACAAATCGTATGTGTGTGTGGAAGTCCCCGTCCCCCACCAGTTCGCAGGGCGGGGGTGGCCATCCATCGGCCCTCGGGGCCCAGCTACCCTGCCAGTCTGTGATAGTCACGTGGTACTCACCCTGCGCGTGGCGGCCATTTACTCGCACCGTGAGTACAACAAAAGAAAAAAAAATCTTTCTTATCGCGCGCGTGTCCCCCCCCCCTCCCCGTGTTACAGCACGTGCTGGGGTCGATGGTTGACACACGCCCAATATCCACATGTAACATCTGGATAATCTCATGTAACATCTGGATAATCTCATGCTAGCACGTTATGTACAGGTTCTATTCATCTCACCACCAACACGTTATATGGGGGGGGGGGGGGGGGGGAGGTTGCAACTAATTATAAGATTGGTTAAAGTATAATTACAATTGATATATTTTATTTTGTCCGGGTTGGAGGGGTGTCTGTTCGGGAGGGGGGGGGAGTAAATGTAAAGAATATATGAGCTTATCAAGAGCTTTTACATTTATTTTGCATACTTGTTTAAGTCCTACATCCGATGTTTTGTTGTAAAATCACTTGATGGACATTCGTACATAGGGTTATATATATATATTGAGCCCCCCAGCAACCACCCCCACTCACACACACACAGTATCAAAATGAAATGCTAAAACAAAATAGGCCTAGCATGTAATCTAACGAATTTGACCTAATTAATACTGTGAGTAAAATATCGAATTTGACCTAATTAATACTGTGAGTAAAATAACGGATTTGACCTAATTAATACTGTGAGTAAAATATCGAATTTGACCTAATTAATACTGTGAGTAAAATATCGAATTTGACCTAATTAATACTGTGAGTAGAATATCGAATTTGACCTAATTAATACTGTGCGAAAGGTAACGACGTTGACCTGATTGATTCTGTGAATAATACAAAGGGTTGACCTACCCAGCAAGTTCTTGAATTCTTTAGTGTCGAGTCTGGCCCGGGGGGTGCTGACGCCGAACATGAGGCTGGTGCCAAAGACTCGCTCCCCCACCTGGATCTCCCAGTAGTTGACCTCACCAGTCAGGGGCTCGGATGCCCTGATCCCGGCTGTTCCATTGCTCCAGTGGGGGTGGAAGGTTACCCCAAGCTTGTCGTCCAGGACTGAGACTTTGGTGGAGCTGTCCAGCTGGTTCCAGCTCCAGCCGGCGCTACAGCTGATGTCCAGCTTGCCAAGGATCACGTGACTGTCCGGCTGTGTGACCTTGACTGAGCTGTCGTCCTCCTGTGGGTTGACCTCTTGCATGCAGATGGCCAGGACTGGTTCTGGTGCCATGTGGCTGCCCAATTTTCGATAAGTGCCAGATAATTGATTCTAATAGCGGACTAGGTTCAGATGTCTGTTGGCCAGACTTTGGGCAGCTAGAACCAACTGTCAGAACACTTCTGTCAGAACACTTCTGTCAGAACACGAGTGTTAGAAATGAGTGCCCAAACTCTGTCAAGTCTCGTAATTTAGCCAGCACAACAAACCATGAAAATACCACAAGAATAATAGACTATAGCTAACGGTTTGTTTAGAATTAACCAACTCCCTGAATTATTTTCAACATTTTCAAAGTTTTAAACAACGTTGGTTAGTGGTGCCACATGGCAGTGAGCCACACGCCATCACCACAGCCTGTGAGCCCCGCCATCACCGCGGTCTGAAACAGAGAAAAGGTTACATTTATAACAAAGAGCAACACAAACAACGCATATCTAATGTGAGGTAAACATCCTTTAACACACGATACTGACACATGAGTTTAATAAAACACAGTACAACTATTTGTTTATATCGCAATACGAACACAGTGTGTTGAAGGCCTAAGGTTTGAACATCTTTACCTCACACGACCAAGAACATCGCTAGCTCACACGACCATGGGCTGGCCTGCCGGGGACTCACCCCCACATCCTGACGTGTGACACGAGCTGCGTGAGCACCCAGCTACACACGACTGCTCACCGTTAGCCGCGCGACAGGGGCGACTGGGGTAAGCGATCAATACACCACAGGCGGGGGGCATTTCGTTGCTTAGCAACCGGCATCAGGCCCTACATGGAACTAACAGGATTCTTTGTGTCATCGTCTGCTGATATCGATAGACACAGCAACACAGGCAACTCTTTGATCAGCGCGTCAGGTCAGACAGTCACGGCTATCTGAAGTTAGCTGTTTGATACTGCCACTAGCTTTTTGATACTGCCACTAGCTGTTTGATACTGCCACTAGCTTTTTGATACTGATACTAGCTGTTTGATACTGCCACTAGCTGTTTGATACTGCCACTAGCTGTTTGATACTGCCACTAGCTGTTTGATACTGCCACTAGCTTTTTGATACTGCCACTAGCTGTTTGATACTGCCACTAGCTGTTTGATACTGCCACTAGCTGTTTGATACTGCCACTAGCTGTTTGATACTGTCACTGGCTGTTTGATACTGTCACTAGCTGTTTGATACTGTCACTAGCTGTTTGATACTTTCACTAGCTGTTTGATACTGTCACTGGCTGTTTGATACTGCCACTAGCTGTTTGATACTGCCACTAGCTGTTTGATACTGTCACTGGCTGTTTGATACTGCCACTAGCTGTTTGATACTGTCACTAGCTGTTTGATACTGCCACTAGCTGTTTGATACTGCCACTAGCTGTTTGATACTGTCACTGGCTGTTTGATACTGTCACTAGCTGTTTGATACTGTCACTAGCTGTTTGATACTGTCACTAGCTGTTTGATACTGCCACTAGCTGTTTGATACTGTCACTGGCTGTTTGATACTGTCACTGGCTGTTTGATACTGTCACTAGCTGTTTGATACTGCCACTAGCTGTTTGATACTGTCACTGGCTGTTTGATACTGTCACTAGCTGTTTGATACTGTCACTAGCTGTTTGATACTGTCACTAGCTGTTTGATACTGCCACTAGCTGTTTGATACTGTCACTGGCTGTTTGATACTGTCACTGGCTGTTTGATACTGTCACTAGCTGTTTGATACTGTCACTGGCTGTTTGATACTGTCACTGGCTGTTTGATACTGCCACTAGCTGTTTGATACTGCCACTCTGTTTGATACTGTCACTAGCTGTTTGATACTGTCACTAGCTGTTTGATACTGTCACTAGCTGTTTGATACTGCCACTAGCTGTTTGATACTGTCACTGGCTGTTTGATACTGCCACTAGCTGTTTGATACTGCCACTCTGTTTGATACTGTCACTAGCTGTTTGATACTGTCACTATAGCTGTTCTCTGTTTGATACTGCCACTAGCTGTTTGATACTGTCTGATTGAAATCTCTAAAAGTTAGAGGTCTAGTAGGTTCTGATTGAAATCTCTAAAAGTTAGAGGTCTAGTAGGTTCTGATTGAAATCTCTAAAAATTAGAGGTCTAGTAGGTTCTGATTGAAATCTCTAAAAATTAGAGGTCTAGTAGGTTCTGATTGAAATCTCTAAAAGTTAGAGGTTTAGTAGGTTCTGATTTAAATCTCTAAAAGTTAGAGGATCTTCGAGTAGGTTCTGATTTAAATCTTTTAAAACTAATTCAAATGATGAAGTTTTTAAGAAGGAGACGAGATATCCAGTATTATAAATGGTTCTGCACCCTTATCAATGTTTATAATACTTGTATAACGCAGGAGCCACTGGTTAACTCCCCTGATTCTATTCGTACAACTCTAGTTTGTGCGGCTTGAATGTGGGTCTAAAGCAGGGGTCTCCAAACTTTTCAGTCCGAGGGCCGCATTAACTATCAATCTTCAGTTCGGGGGCCAGTTTCTTCCAGAAATGTCTTTGATTTTTCTGGTCAAAGTTCCTCAGCCATAACCAACAAACGCTTTTTCCGTGGACAAAAAGATCTCCGCGGGCCGGATGAGAGGACATCGCGGGCCGCATCTGGCCCGCGGGCCGTAGTTTGGAGACCCCTGGTCTAAAGGAAAATGGTTCCTTTGATTGTGTAGCCGTGCAGTTGATGAGAGATTCAGTGGGCTCGTTCATATCCTGCTAGCTTGTTGATTCAGTAGTTCTGCAGATGGAGGTCAAGGTCAGGAAGTCTACCTGAGGTTGGACATAGCCAGCCATGTGGCAGAAATGAGTTGGTTAGCTTTACAAGTGTGGGTGTGGGTGGTGTCGAGCCATCCCCCACCCCAGTGGGTGTAGTGTGAGCCGTCCCCCACCTCATCAAATACCTAGGCGTGTGTGTCAGTCGATCTGACAGCCTCTCTGTCTACCAATCAGTGTTTCTTCCAGACTTTTTTCATCTCAGTTTTTACCAGTCAAGACCTCAAGATCTGTTTCCACGTCCAAATAAACCAATAAATAACTTACCAAACCTGAATCAAAACTTCCAATTAACGAAATAATGACAAGATCTCATTCACCAAACCTGAATAAAAACCTCAAATTAAAGAAGTAATGACAACATCTAATTCACCAAACCTATTTGAAGAAGTTAACCACAAAATCGAATTCGCCAGACCTGAATCAAAATATTCAATCGAACAAAACCTACCTCCACACATTGAAATATTCAATCGAACAAAACCTACCTCCACACATCAAAATATTCAATCGAACAAAATCTACCTCCCCACACATCAAAATATTCAATCGAACAAAACCTACCTCCACACATCAAAATATTCAATCGAACAAAACCTACCTCCACACATCGAAATATTCAATCGAACAAAACCTACCTCCACACATCAAAATATTCAATCGAACAAAACCTACCTCCCCCCACCAGCCGTACAACCAGCAGACGACTGCTGAGCTATGAGCACACACCTAGATGCACGGTGCAGGTAAAAATGTGCTCACCTAGAGCCGGCAAAACTAGGCCAGACAGGGAGATCGCGCGCACTACCTTGTGCACGTGAGCAGCCAGTCATGATGGGATGCTACAGACAGTGAAATAACTGAGTTGTATGTGGGGGTGGGGGGGGGGAGAAATCAGGGTCAGATGGGTTGTATGTGGGGCGGGGGGGCAATCAGGGTCATATGGGTTGTATGTGTGGGGGGGGGGGGGGGAATCTGGGTCAGATGGGTTGTATGTGGGGGGTGGTGGTGGTGAAAGGGGGCAATCAGGGCCAGAGGGGTCGTGTGAGGTGGGTGGGGGGGGGGGGCAATGAGGATTAAGGAATGATATAGATTAGCTCTCTATGGATTCTTTCTTTTATTTTTACGATTTTTTTGAAAGTTTCAAAATAAAATCAAAACTTTTCGCTCATGCACTTTTTGCATCGTGGCGGGGGGGGGGGGGGGGGGGGGGGGGGGCTTATCAGGGCAAGATTTGATAGGTCTCCCGCCTACACATTTATAAATGGGTTCTTTTATGTGATAAAAGATTTCTCTATACACCAGTCTGGTCAAAATCATTCCGATTTTCGCTGGCAGGAAGGCGGGCATAAACGGCGCTTGAGTTTTGTCGGTCACTGACCATTGCCACTCACACTTCAGCTTAAACGGTATTTAAATTGATGCTAACAATTGATTTAGGAACAGTCAAATCAGTCTTTGCAACTATCTACATCAATAAGTCTGTTGTATGAAAATGAGCTTTTACAACAAGTGTAACACCATTTCAGCGCCTCTAGGTGACGGCACTCCTCTTGTATATCTTCACGTCATTTTGTTGGGGTGTAGGACAAAAGACCGACATCCAAAGGGCCGACAAGACAAATGGCCCACACGGTCAAAAGGCCGACAGCCGAAAGGTCGACACGACATAAGGCCGGCAGCCAAAAGGCAGACAGCCAAAAGGCCGACAAAACCGTGTCAGCCTTTTATCCATGTCGGCCTTTTGTGCGGATCCCATTTTGTTGGCAGTCGCTTGATATATCTAGATGTATCTAGCCGAAAAAACGCCTACACCCCCCCCCCCCCCCGAACGAAATAGAATATATACATAAAATATATGTATGCTTGTACCAGTCCGCCCCAACCCCCTCCCCCCCCCCCCCCGTCACGGAAATTTTAATCCACACCCCTCTCCCCGAAAATTTCAAACACTCAACCGCCGGAGAACAAAGCAGAGGCGTAGCGACCCTTCCCTGCGCCCGGGGACAAACTTTCGATTTGCATCCCCCTCTTCCCTCTCAAACTTTCAATTCGTTTTTCCAATCCACTTTGGCACCCCTAAGGTAGGCGCCCGGGGACATGTGTCGTCGTCCTCCCCCCCCCCCCCCCTTCGCTATGCCTCAGGAACAAAGGTCTGGAAGAAACACTGCGAGTTTATTCCCACGTTTTCTTTAACTTGCTTTCGCGTCCGGTTCTCCAATCAAATCTTGCGATCGAAATTTCTGGCACTTCCCAGTTAGCTAGCGCGCTGAAATTTTCAGGGAAGCTTTGTTTTGGATGACAATAGAATATTCAATTGTTATTATTACTAAATTGATCCATGGAAACATTTTATTGAGCATTTTAGACCGCTATATAGTTGTGGTAAAAACGTGGGGAGACGATATGGTCGAGTGGTTGGGTACACGATTGCTATCCCACTCGACACGGGTTAAAATCTATGTGTTCTAGTCAGTAACGTATTCACACAACGTGTTTTTTACGAGTTGTCTTTTTACGAGTTGTCTTCGTTTACCCAAAAAAAAAAGTGAAAAGATAAAATCGATAGCAAGATTTTAATGCAAACAAACAGACAAAGACTAAAAAGTAGAAAATAATAATCATTAAAAAAGTTTTTAAAAACCCACGTTTTCTGATTGAACTAAAAAGTAGAAAATAAATGCTATACATCACAATAATGCAAGCGATCACTCTACTATAAGCGATCAAAAACGTGGGGCGCCGTGATTTTCTTACAGTTTCTAATACTATTGACTCTCTACAAGCTCCTTAATAAAAGTCAATAGTATTATCTAATCAATAGTAATATAACTTTTACTTCGGCGCCCCACCTTTTTCATCGCTTATAGTAGAGTGATCGCTTGCATTATTGTGATGTATAGTATTTATTTTCTACTTTTTAGTTCAATCAGAAAACGTGGGTTTTTAAAAACTTTTTTAATGATTATTATTTTGTGCTCAATGCTTTTTATGACGTAATAGAGTCCTTGCAAACACGTGACCTAAATCACGTGATACCTACGCCCGCCGCCACAGTGGTGTACATCAGACGTAAACACAATCAGCTGTTCGCCAGCGCTGGACGTGTTCACCAGCGCTGGGCGTGTTCACCAGCGCTGGACGTGTTCACCGTATGTAAAGAATCGCGCCCGCGGAAAAGGAAAAATATGTTAAAAAACTTGAACTCTTAGGAATTGAAGATCCTTATACAGTTATTGACAGTTTCGTGGATAATATAAATATGTGGCTGAAATTTCTAAATAAAAATACTGTTAGTAATACCGTTTGCGTTTAGAGTTTAAGTAGACGAAGCTGATCAAATGCAGTAATATATTAGAGGTTATCTACTGTAGCAAACGTGAGACCACTTAATTCCTACAAAACCCACACTAGAACGGCTAATATAATCCATGGGTAATAACCAATCTGGGTAGCATGTTATACAATTTAAGACCCTTATAATCCAGCAGGGAAGTAATCAGACACATTAATACTGACGTTCAACCGTCATGATGGCTGCCCCCACCTGTATCTAGCCCACAATAAAACCAAAGAGGAGTCTGCCCTGCCCTCCCCTGAAAATGTCTCACCTCCGTGATACCCAGCCCCACAGAGATAGTATTTCTTATATAATTTTGACCAGCAGGGAGAACAAAGGGGAAAGTCCCACTGCTCTCCCCTCAACACTTCTCACCTCGGTGTCATGTTATGTCATTTATAGCACACACGGCTTATCAGGGGAAAGCATTAAGGCATTAAGAATCTTAACTCTGGACAGCTACACACTAGTATACTAGCTACACACTAGGTGCCTACTGTAAACTACTAGACTGTAGGCCCTATGTAGACCTGCAATTGTATCAATTGTAGACTGGGTCCATTGTTATTATTCTAAACCATCTCACTTATAATGTTTCTAGCTTGATTTGTTTCTTTTATAAACAGTGGATTTAAAAAAAATATTAGCCTAATCATTAACCTAATAATAATAATGTGGTTATTTGTTGTTGGCTGGTATGATCTAGATTGTACTACTAGGCTACAAAAACTTAGTAGACCAATTACTAGATATGAATTTGAATTTAATTAAACTCAGTCCAGTATCAGATACATATTGCTGTAAAAAGACAACAAAGTAGGTAGGCCTTAGTAATTTATTAAAGCCTTCTACTACAATAATATCAACTACATGCTTGTATAAAGTTTTTACAATTTAATTTAAGTAGCAGATTCTAGATCTAAGTCTAGTCATATAATCTATTTCAATTTCAGAAAATTTCGTTTGCTAAAAAAATGATTAGATAATAGAGCGAGATTTTAGATCTTAGAGATAATTAAATGCTTTATTAGGCCTATTATGACTACTTTTGATTTATTATGGGTGTATTTTGAATCGAATGTAGATCTAAAGTAATTAAATTTAAGTAAAGAAGTAGATTCTAGATTCTATGTCTACCCAGCGGAGCCAGGTATAAGCCTACTATTAGATCTTGTTATTCTTATTAGCCTATAATATTACTTTTGACTTTGTCTTTTACTATTAGTATTTGTGAAGGTCGAGCATATTTGTTTTATTAATAGTTATCTTTTATAATTAAAATGAAGTTTATTATTTTACTGTCCTTACATGAAACAAAGTATCGAGAACTGCATTTGATCAGATTCGGCTACTTTAACTCTAAACGCAAACAGTATTACTAACAGTATTTTTATTTAGAAATTTTGTCCACATATTTATTTATACGAAACTGTCAATAACAGTATAAGGATCTTCAATTCCTAAGAGTTCAAGTTTTTTAACGTATTTTTCCTTTTCCGCGGGTGCGGTTCTTTACATACAGTGAACGCGTCCAGCGCTGGTGAACACGTCCAGCGCTGGCGAACAGCTGATTGTGTTTACGTCTTGTGTACACCACTGTGGCGGCGGGCGTAGGTATCACGAACGGACGTGACGTCATATGAAAGGACTCTATACGAATTATTAAAAAATGCGTATAGGGGAGACCACTCCCGCTTTAATGTTTATCTAAATTCTAAGTCAGGAAGTGAGATCATCGTTTTTCTACAATAGTAAACAGTAGCAAACACGGCAGTAAAACAAGATTATTGGTTTTCAATTGACTAAACTTTGAAATTTTAAATAATCCTCTTAAAATAACACTAGAAGAATCTACTAGAGATCTAAACTAGATCTAGACTAGATCTAGATCTAACACATAGATTATCTAGATCTAGGCCTATAGTCACACTATAGTGAGTATAGAGGGCCTATTATATAGGCTAACATTTTTACTATTTTTACTAAAATGATTTTAGTCAAATGTAGTCTACTGACTAAGCGGGCTAAGGCAAGGCCATAGACATACTATAGGCCCCATTTTATTACATATTCATTTATGATTTATGTTATGATTTAATTTACTAGTATTAGGCTAGACTGCCACTGGTTACTGTGGCTGGTGGCTAGACTTATAAAATACAAAATGACTTCAGCAACTTAAAGGCAAAAGTAAAAGACCCAAATCTAAACTAAATAAATTGAATTATACTTAATATTACTTATAGTATTAGTATGCCTTAGTAAATAGTAATTATTAAATTAAGAAGTTACTACACTGAGTAAACTACATACAATACCATTAGAATCTAAGTATTTTATTTATTTAGACAGATCTAGACAAACTTCACAAAGCCTTCCCTAGGCTAGTTGGAGCGGTAATCTAGGCGATAGTATATAGTATAGTATAGATTCTATATTATTATATCATATTTATATTATATTTAGGGCCTAGGCCCCTATATGAAATGAACTTTTTTTTAACAACTGTGTTTGAGACAACTGTGAGTTATTTAATGTGTAAATACAAGGAGCTTCCATCTTTCCAAATACCGTAGTAACTTAGTAGTAAGCCACAGTTTCTGCTTCAAAATTGTCTATTCGCATGTTTGTTGTGTTGATTTTTGTTATAAAATGTGTTGGTTGTCTTAAATATTGGAACTTTTTTCTTTATAATTCTGTATAACGCATTGTTGAGGGAATTGTATAGTTGTGGTGAAAGATATGGCTAAGACACCCCCCCCCCCCTCTCTACTATAATGCCCTGGTGGATTTAGAAAATTAAAAATCTATGAAAACAAAAATTGAGTTAGAACAGTTGTTGTGGGGAAGAAAAATGATGTCACACTTGCTTCTAATTCTATTTTATTTCGCATTCTCAACTTAATATTGAAATCCTTACAATTGATCTGAATGATTTTTCATTGGATTACTTGTTAAATTAAAAAATGGTGACATGCAATTGAAGCTCATCCCCCTGTGATTGTTATTTCTTCAAGCTTGCTATCATGAGATCTTCAGCTTAATGATTCAAACTCCCACCGTATACACCTCTTCTGCCTGTTACAGAAGAAGCTTGTGATTAAGATGTACAGAAACAACATTTGGGTGCTGATAACAGGGGAGGCGACCCTCTCTTAAAGGTGCTTAGTGTTTTATAAAAAAAAACACTATTATTGCTCAAAATGCTCTTATATTACACAAATTGTAGTTCTGAATTAGTTTTGTCACATTGAAACTGACATTTGACAATAAAGAGCTGTGTATTGGCCAAACAGTCAACATAATAGTTTAATTTAAGTCCTCAAAACAAAAACACGTTTTCCTCAAAGGGTGGAAAACATTATTAAATGTCTGCACAGTTTTGAAAAATTGAATTAAAGAGTGTTGAGGGCATCATACAATTTACAGAGAGCATTGAATGAAAGAGTGTTGAGGGCATCATACAATTTACAGAGAGCATTGAATGAAAGAGTGTTGAGGGCATCATACAATTTACAGAGAGCATTGAATTAAAGAGTGTTGAGGGCATCATACAATTTACAGAGAGCATTGAATTAAAGAGTGTTGAGGGCATCATACAATTTACAAAGGGCACCAGCCTACTGGTGTTGTAACATGCCACATAGTGGGCCACATTGATGGTTTATTGTGGGCCACATTGATGATTTGTTGTGGGCCACATTGATGGTTTATTGTGGGCCACATTGATGGTTTGTTGTGGGCCACAATGATGGTTTATTGTGGGCCACATTGATGGTTTATTGTGGGCCACAATGATGGTTTATTGTGGGCCACATTGATGGTTTATTGTGGGCCACATTGATGGTTTATTGTGGGCCACAATGATGGTTTATTGTGGGCCACATTGATGGTTTATTGTGGGCCACAATGATGGTTTGTTGTGGGCCACATTGATGGTTTGTTGTGGGCCACATTGATGGTTTATTGTGGGCCACAATGATGGTTTATTGTGGGCCACATTGATGGTTTGTTGTAGGCCACATTGATGGTTTATTGTGGGCCACATTGATGGTTTGTTGTGGGCCACATTGATGGTTTGTTGTGGGCCACATTGATGGTTTGTTGTAGGCCACATTGATGGTTTGTTGTGGGCCACATTGATGGTTTGTTGTAGGCCACATTGATGGTTTATTGTGGGCCACATTGATGGTTTGTTGTAGGCCACATTGGTCACAGTTCAGCAGTAGTAGGAAAAACAATTTTGATGATATCTTTGTCTGAGAATTTTAAAAAAAATATTTGAAAGTGCATATTCAATATTTTGTAAATTTCTTTTTTTACACACTGTCAAAATACTTTCAAATGCTCAGTAGCTGGGGAGAGAAAACTCCATTAACAACTGTAGCCTTGTTGTTTGTTCTAAGATGGACACAGGCCATCAAATCAAATCCAGAAAGAAAAGCAGGATGAAGTTTGATCAACTGGAGATTTGGCACATAACTTGATGGGACAGAATATTTAATTGTGATGGAGGAAATCCCGTCCAACATTATGATAAGAACAAAGCAGAAGAAAAAAAAGAATAATCCTTTCAAATAATTAAAAAATTATTTTTTAGACCACTGTCCTTATCATTTCTCATATACACTTGTTTCAGATTTCTGGGCATCTTCTGATTGGATCGAGGATTGAGACAACAGTTATCTGCCCCTGAAGCAAATGCTGGACATTTCTTTTGAGATTGTATAAGTGTAAAGAATGAAGGTTCTCATCATACTGCTGAATTTGTTGCTGGTCAAATCTTCTTCTGAGCTTGACTTGGATGCTATTTTCTCCAGTTGAGTCATTTTTTTAGGAAAAGAAATTATTATTCAGGATGTAAGATTGAATTTGAGTAGTTCTTTTAACTATAACATCATTTTTTAATTTTTCAGTGACCGGTCCAACCTATTATTTTGTTGGAGAAGATTTGCGGTTAAGTTTTTCTCTGATAGAAAATGTGTATCAGGAAAATGTCACGTGTACCAAGACGCAACCCCTTATAGTAAGTTGTCACCCTTTTTAACAACATAATGAATACAATGTGAGGATCATATAGAATGTTTTTTACTCCAAGACTGCTGTTCTAAACACAATGATTAGAAGTTTAATAATTATGGACTTAAAATATACCATTCTTCTTGGCTCATCCATCTTTACATTCACTACATTCTGTGGTATTAAATATATTAGCAGCAAACACACTGCTGAATGTGGCAATTAGATAAACTGTCCTTTTTACTCTTTCTATATTTAAAAATTTTTGATCCATTTAACCCCATTTTTGAAGGGATCCCAAGAAACAGTATGTTTTGGGTCAAGTTTTGTCCACTGTGAAGCATCTGAATGTTCCTTGATTGTTCCCAACGTCGACTTGAAGGACAATGGCAGTTACAACTGCTACTACAACTACAGCTTTGAGAGAAATGACTTCAATAAAGAACTTTGTAATGACAGCCCAACAAAATGTGCTATAGGAAATTCGGATGATATCAAAGTACAATGTAGGTTCTAAGTCTCCTTTACATAGACAGCTTTTTCATTGTCTACTTTGTCTATAAAAATTGTCTACTTAAATATTTATACATGCGTTAAGTTCCTTTCATTGGTTGCATTTTTTCTAGTTGATTTTGTCTCTTCGCTCTCTGCCCCAAATTTTAATGAAGGCAAACAAACATGAAGTGTGTGCTGATATACAACTGAAGTGTGATTACATACATCTGTGAGATTGTTAACATTTTAATTTGTCTCAACAGATAGACCAGAAAAGGTGAGAGATTTCACCTGTATTGTGGACCCGTTGAAAAAAGAATTGAACTGTATGTGGAGACATCCAGTGGAGTATGTCTGGATGCATGATAACGATGACGTTGACACAGTAGTTGATGTAATAACAAAGCCTCCTGGGTAATTGAAACTGTCTCAATTGTATCAAAACACAATATATCAAAGACTGCTTTTAAAATCATTTGAGCTGGCAAGCTATTTGTGTGGTACATCAGAGTTTGTAGAATGCCAGATTAAGTTTGGGTGATATTGTGGTACATCAGAGTTTGTAGAATGCCAGATTAAGTTTGGGTGTCCTCACATTTCAGCAGGTCACCAAACTGCTCAAAGACAGGGTGTGTGTGGGAGAGTGTCAACTTGACAGCATGGTATGACATAACTGTCACAGTCAGCAACACTGAACAACTTGTCTCAGCTAGTCAGACATACACACTTCTACCCAGTGACTACAGTAAGTTTATTGTTGACTGTGTCAATAAGTTTATCATTGACTGTGTCAGTAAGTTTATCATTGACTGTGTCAGTAAGTTTATCATTGACTGTGTCAGTAAGTTTATCATTGACTACAGTAAGTCTATCATTGACTACAGTAAGTTTATCATTGACTGTGTCAGTAAGTTTATCATTGACTACAGTAAGTTTATCATTGACTGTGTCAGTAAGTTTATCATTGACTGCCTTAGTAAGTTTATCATTCACATTTTCTTTATCAATGTGTTTCAAATGTGAAAGTTTCCCATGGTAGCTAACGGTAGCTGAGAAAACCTGTCTTGTAATGTCCCCAGTTAAACCATCAAAATACTTTTAATGTCCCCAGTTAAACCATCAAAATACTTGTAATGTCCCCAGTTAAACCATCAAAATACATGTAATGTCCCCAGTTAAACCATGAAAATACTTGTAATGTCCCCAGTTAAACCATCAAAATACTTGTAATGTCCCCAGTTAAACCATCAAAATACATGTAATGTCCCCAGTTAAACCATGAAAATACTTGTAATGTCCCCAGTTAAACCATCAAAATACTTGTAATGTCCCCAGTTAAACCATCAAAATACTTGTAATGTCCCCAGTTAAACCACCAAAATACTTGTAATGTCCCCAGTTAAACCATCAAAATACTTGTAATGTCCCCAGTTAAACCATCAAAATACATGTAATGTCCCCAGTTAAACCACCAACATACTTGTAATGTCCCCAGTTAAACCACATCCTGTGGAGAATTTATCAGCATCAGAAAAAGCCAGTGGGTGTGTCAACCTCACCTGGAGTAGTGCAGGAAACCAGGTGTTTAGGGTCTCCCACCAGTCAACACAAGATGTAACATTTCAGGTGAGTTGTTGGATCCACAAACACAATCCCAAACACAGAACTACAAACACAGAAGAGAATTACAAACATAGAACCACAAACACAGAACTACAAACACAGAGCCACAAACACAGAATTACAAACAGAATCACAAACAGAATGACAAACACAGAACTACAAACACAAAATTACAAACACAGAACTACAAACACAGAATTAGTATTACTATTACGAATAGAAGATTTGTTGTGCCTGCATGATGTGTGAAAGTTGCTAACTGCTACATTGTATTAAAAAAAAAAAACACTACATATATCAACTGTTCTTGCAGGTCTAAGTTCCTTTAACTACAACATATATCACATGGCTCTTTGCCAACACCCAAACCCTTATAACATAATATAACATAATATACCCATCTGTGCTGTAATATGTGTATGATCCCTTATGAAATAATTTCTCAGGTGACTTGTGAAAATTGCTCTGAAAGTTTTTACTTGATGTGTGGTCTAGCCCCCCACTCCCAGCACAACTTCTCTGTCCAGTCCTTTCATGTAGGGAGTCTCCACGGTTACTGGAGTGATGCTACATATCTCTCAGGCTTTAGGATGATGGAAGCAGGTTAGTAAGGGCAACATACAACCTCACAATGACAGCCACACAATGACATACAGCCACACAATGACAGCCACACAATGACATACAGCCACACAATGACATACAGCCACACAATGACATACAGCCACACAATGACATACAGCCACACAATGACATACAGCCACACAATGACATACAGCCACACAGTGACATACAGCCACACAATGACATACAATGACATACAGCCACACAATGACATACAGCCACACAATGACATACAGCCACACAATGACAGCCACACAATGACATACATCCACACAATGACATACAGCCACACAATGACATACAGCCACACAATGACATACAGCCACACAATGACATACAGCCACACAATGACATACAGCCACACAATGACATACAGCCACACAATGACAGCCACACAATGACATACAACCACACAATGACATACAGCCACACAATGACATACAGCCACACAATGACACAATAACATACAACCATACAATGACATACAACCACACAATGACATACAGCCACACAATGACAGCCACACAATGACAGCCACACAATGACAGCCACACAATGACAGCCACACAATGACATACAGCCACACAATGACATACAGCCACACAATGACATACAGCCACACAATGACAGCCACACAATGATAGCCACACAATGACATACAGCCACACAATGACAGCCACACAATGACATACAGCCACACAATGACAGCCACACAATGACAGCCACACAATGACAGCCACACAATGATAGCCACACAATGACATACAGCCACACAATGACAGCCACATCCAACAATGTTGTGACAGCATCAAGACAGTCACTGATACACTTTATCTGACCAGCGCCATCACTGGGACCTAAAGCAACCAATGGAAGTTTCACAAGTTCCAGCTGTTCCAACAACAGCGCTAATGTCAGCATTTACTGGCAGGTAATTGTTCCATGTTAAGTTACCCATGGCCCCACATTGAACTAAATTGTTCTATGTTAAGTTACCCATGGCCCCACATTGAACTGAATTGTTCCATGTAAAGTTACCCATGTCCCCACATGCAGTAGAATTGTTCTATGTTAAGTTACCCATGGCCCCACATACAGTAGAATTGTTCTATGTTAAGTTACCCATTGCCCACATTGAACTGAATTGTTCTATGTTAAGTTACCCATGGCCCCACATTGAGCTGAATTGTTCTATGTTAAGTTACCCATGGCCCCACATGCAGTAGAATTGTTCTATGTTAAGTTACCCATGGTCCCACATTGAACTGAATTGTTCTATGTTAAGTTACCCATGGCCCCACATATAGTAGAATTGTTCTATGTTAAGTTACCCATGGCCCCACATTGAGCTGAATTGTTCTATGTTAAGTTACCCATGGCCCCACATACAGTAGAATTGTTCTATGTTGTTACCCATGGCCCCACATTGAGCTGAATTGTTCTATGTTAAGTTACCCATGGCCCCACATGCAGTAGAATTGTTCTATGTTAAGTTACCCATGGCCCCACATACAGTAGAATTGTTCCATGTTAAGTTATCCATGGCCCCACATACAATAGAATTGTTCTATGTTAAGTTACCCATTGCCCACATTGAACTGAATTGTTCCATGTTAAGTTACCCATGGCCCCACATACAGTAGAATTGTTCCATGTTAAGTTACCCATGGCCCGACATTGAACTGAATTGTTCCATGTTAAGTTACCCATTGCCCCACATTGAACTGAATTGTTCCATGTTAAGTTACCCATGGCCCCACATACAGTAGAATTGTTCCATGTTAAGTTACCCATGGCCCCACATTGAGCTGAATTGTTCTATGTTAAGTTACCCATGGCCCCACATGCAGTAGAATTGTTCTATGTTAAGTTACCCATGGCCCCACATACAGTAGAATTGTTCCATGTTAAGTTACCCATGGCCCCACATTGAACTAAATTGTTCTATGTTAAGTTACCCATGGCCCCACATTGAACTGAATTGTTCCATGTTAAGTTACCCATGGCCCCACATCCAGTAGAATTGTTCCATGTTACGTTACCCATGGCCCCACATACAGTAGAATTGTTCCATGTTAAGTTACCCATGACCCCACATACAGTAGAATTGTTCCATGTAAAGTTACCCATGGCCCCACTAAGTTACCCATGGCCCCACTAAGTTACCCATGGCCCCACTAAGTTACCCATGGCCCCACTAAGTTACCCATGGCCCCACTAAGTTACCCATGGCCCCACTAAGTTACCCATGGCCCCACTAAGTTACCCATGGCCCCACTAAGTTACCCATGGCCCCACTAAGTTACCCATGGCCCCACTAAGTTACCCATGGCCCCACTAAGTTACCCATGGCCCCACTAAGTTACCCATGGCCCCACTAAGTTACCCATTGCCCCACTAAGTTACCCATGGCCCCACTAAGTTACCCATGGCCCCACATACAGTAGAATTGTTCCATGTTAAGTTACCCATGGCCCCACATACAGTAGAATTGTTCTATGTTAAGTTACCCATGGCCCCACATACAGTAGAATTATTCCATGTTAAGTTACCCATGGCCCCACATTGAGCTGAATTGTTCTATGTTAAGTTACCCATGGCCCCACATGCAGTAGAATTGTTCTATGTTAAGTTACCCATGGCCCCACTAAGTTACCCATGGCCCCACTAAGTTACCCATGGCCCCACTAAGTTACCCATGGCCCCACTAAGTTACCCATGGCCCCACTAAGTTACCCATGGCCCCACTAAGTTACCCATGGCCCCACTAAGTTACCCATGGCCCCACTAAGTTACCCATGGCCCCACTAAGTTACCCATGGCCCCACTAAGTTACCCATGGCCCCACTAAGTTACCCATTGCCCCACTAAGTTACCCATGGCCCCACTAAGTTACCCATGGCCCCACATACAGTAGAATTGTTCCATGTTAAGTTACCCATGGCCCCACATACAGTAGAATTGTTCCATGTAAAGTTACCCATTGCCCCACATGCTTATGACCAGGAAGTGCCAGAGTCCGGGAGAAATGGCCACATCAAGGGTTACATCATCAAAGATTCCACGGGCCACATCCTGTACAATGGCCCCTCTAAGGTGGCCAACCTGACCCTACCATGTGACCAACATCATCACCTGACTCTCTCTGCCTACAACAGCGCTGGAGAATCCCAGAAACCCACAGATGTTTTTGTCTTCACACCAGGTCAGATGCTGCCAAGTACCTAACTAATGGTCAAGTCACTTCTTAAATATCTTTTGTTCCAGTCTTGTCTTTTTAGTAGAATAGAAAATAAAAGGTCTTAACCAATTATTTTTCACTGTCAATTTTTTTGTAGTCTTAACTTTGTACTGTATATAATCCAGCTAGTTACTATTAATTGTTATTAGGCAGTCATTTTTCTGTGTATTGAATCTTCCACAACTAACCCTCTATCCATCACAAAATTTAATGTTGGTAAACTACAGCCAATGTGGACAGCATCCTGCTGTCCCTGGAGGTGGCTAGTTACAAGAATGGCTCAGTGATAGCGCACTGGCTGCCTACACATCAGTTCCAGACCATCACCATCTTCAGCTGTTTGCAGCCATGTCAGGTAGGAATCTTGCTCCCCCATCACCAGTCATGTTCCCCCATCACCAATCTAGCTCCCCCATCACGTCATGTTCCCCCATCACGTCATGTTCCCCCATCACGTCATGTTCCCCCATCACGTATCTAGCTCCCCCATCACCAGTGATGTTCCCCCATCAACAGTCATGTTCCCCCATCACCAGTGATGTTCCCCCATCTATCACCAGTGATGTTCTCCAACCACCATTCATTTTCCCCCATCCATCACCCATCTTGCTCCCCCATCCATCACCCATCATGTTCCCCCATTGATCCATCACCCATCTCGTTCCCCCATCCATCACCCATCATGTTCCCCCATCCATCACCCATCTTGCTCCCCCATCACGTCATGTTCCCCCATCCATCACCAGTCATGTTCCCCCAACCATCACCAGTGATGTTCCCCCATCACCAATCATGTTCCCCCATCCATCACCAGTCATGTTCCCCCAACCATCACCAGTGATGTTCCCCCATCACCAGTCATGTTCCCCCATCCATCACCCATCTTGCTCCCCCATCCATCACCAATCATGTTCCCCCATCCATCACCAATCATGTTCCCCCATCCATCACCAATCATGTTCCCCCAACCATCACCAGTGATGTTCCCCCATCACCAGTCATGTTCCCCCATCCATCACCCATCTTGCTCCCCCATCCATCACCAATTATGTTGAGGGCAAAATTTGTGTAGCAAAAAGACCACATGGATAGTTTTTTGTTGTCCTATATAAAACCATACAAATCCATGTCTCACCTCAATGTTTTTCACTGTTACAATTTGATCACTTAAACTTAAACTATTCCATTGCAATTGTGAAATTGTTTTTTGTTAGTCATTAGTGTGTGGATATTTTTAATAAGCTATTATCTGTAAACAAATTCTACAAACATTGTCTCAATCAATAAGCTATTTTTTGTAAACAAATTCTACAAACATTGTCTCAATCAATAAGCTATTTTCGGTAAACAAATTCTACAAACATTGTCTCAGGATTTGTATTGGGTCAAGAGTCGGAGTGGTGAAAATTTCTTGGACGTTTCCCTTGAGATCCCAGAGTTAAACCTGCAGAGCTCAGACTCCAAGAGATTTCTCTTTGGCATCGCAGCAGTTGACCCTGTCAGCAACTGGTCATCTCCCCTGTACTGGACGCCATGTCTCTACAACCCTGATTGTAAGAAACTTGTTATATGGCCCTGATTGTAAGAAACTTGTTATTTGACCCTGATTGTAAGAAACTTGCTATATGAGATTGTAAGAAACTTGCTATATGAGATTGTAAGAAACTTGTTATTTGACCCTGATTGTAAGAAACTTGCTATATGAGATTGTAAGAAACTTGCTATATGAGATTGTAAGAAACTTGTTATTTGAGATTGTAAGAAACTTGTTATTTGAGATTGTAAGAAACTTGATATTTGGCCCTGATTGTAAGAAACTTGTTATTTAAGATTGTAAGAAATTTGTTATTTTAGATTGTAAGAAACTTGCTATATGACCCTGATTTTAAGAAACTTGCTATATGACCCTGATTGTAAGAAACTTGTTATTTGAGATTGTAAGAAACTTGTTATTTGACCCTGATTGTAAGAAACTTGTTATTTGACCCTGATTGTAAGAAACTTGTTATATGACCCTGATTGTAAGAAACTTGTTATTTGAGATTGTAAGAAACTTGCTATATGACCCTGATTGTAAGAAACTTGCTATATGACCCTGATTGTAAGAAACTTGTTATTTGACCCTGATTGTAAGAAACTTGTTATTTGGCCCTGATTGTAAGAAACTTGTTATTTGAGATTGTAAGAAACTTGCTATATGACCCTGATTGTAAGAAACTTGTTATTTGACCCTGATTGTAAGAAACTTGCTATTTTAGATTGTAAGAAACTTGCTATATGACCCTGATTGTAAGAAACTTGCTATATGACCCTGATTGTAAGAAACTTGTTATTTGACCCTGATTGTAAGAAACTTGTTATTTGACCCTGATTGTAAGAAACTTGTTATATGACCCTGATTGTAAGAAACTTGTTATTTGAGATTGTAAGAAACTTGCTATATGACCCTGATTGTAAGAAACTTGCTATATGACCCTGATTGTAAGAAACTTGTTATTTGACCCTGATTGTAAGAAACTTGTTATTTGGCCCTGATTGTAAGAAACTTGTTATTTGAGATTGTAAGAAACTTGCTATATGACCCTGATTGTAAGAAACTTGTTATTTGACCCTGATTGTAAGAAACTTGCTATTTTAGATTGTAAGAAACTTGCTATATGACCCTGATTGTAAGAAACTTGTTATTTGAGATTGTAAGAAACTTGCTTTATGACCCTGATTGTAAGAAACTTGCTTTATGACCCTGATTGTAAGAAACTTGCTATATGACACTGATTGTAAGAAACTTGCTATATGACCCTGATTGTAAGAAACTTGCTATATGAGATTGTAAGAAACTTGCTATATGACCCTGATTGTAAGAAACTTGCTATATGAGATTGTAAGAAACTTGCTATATGATCCTGATTGTAAGAAACTTGCTATATGATCCTGATTGTAAGAAACTTGCTATATGAGATTGTAAGAAACTTGCTATATGAGATTGTAAGAAACTTGTTATATGATCCTGATTTTAAGAAACGGGCTATATGAGATTGTAAGAAACTTGCTATATGAGATTGTAAGAAACTTGCTATATGAGATTGTAAGAAACTTGCTATATGAGATTGTAAGAAACTTGCTATATGAGATTGTAAGAAACTTGCTATATGAGATTGTAAGAAACTTGCTATATGATCCTGATTTTAAGAAACGGGCTATATGAGATTGTAAGAAACTTGCTATATGAGATTGTAAGAAACTTGCTATATGAGATTGTAAGAAACTTGCTATATGAGATTTTAAGAAACTTGCTATATGATCCTCATTGTAAGAAACTTGCTACATGACCCTGATTGTAAGAAACTTGCTATATGACCCTGATTGTAAGAAACTTGCTATATGAGATTGTAAGAAACTTGCTATATGACCCTGATTGTAAGAAACTTGCTATATGAGATTGTAAGAAATTTGTTATTTTAGATTGTAAGAAATGTGTTATATGACCCTGATTGTAAGAAACTTGCTATATGACCCTGATTGTTAGTGCTTGAACTCTCTGTTTTATATATTTCATACTTAAGTCAAATAATGATAACACATTTAACCTAATCAACAAAGTGATGTCAAAAATTTAAAATACCAATTGTTTCTGTTGAGGGAGTATTACAGTATAAAAGTAAATAGAAGATTTCATTCAAATCATAGTTACAACAGCATTCTGCATCATGTTTTTACATTTGTAAATTTTTTGTTTAACGACAGCTCCGCTACCTACACCAACAATTATGCATGTGAAAGCAGACGTCAACTTTGCAATAATTAATTGGAGTGGGGCGACATGCTCGTATGACACATACAACAAGTTTGCTAAAGTGACGTATTACACGCTACAGATTTGTTCTGCAAGGTCTGGCTGTAGAGCAGGTCAGTACAGATAGACAGACAGACAGACATACAGACAGACAATAGCTGCAACATACAAACATGTCTACAAACAGAAAATGGCTGCGACATACAAACATGTCTACAAACAGAAAATGGCTGTGACATACAAACATGTCTACAAACAGAAAATGGCTGTGACATACAAACATGTCTGCAAACAGAAAATGGCTGTGACATACAAACACATTTTACTTTCTCACACACAGCACACAGAGGACGTGCTGGAGTCCTGTTCAATAATTATCAAATTTTTGCCAGGTTTTTTACACCTGCCTACTTTGTCTGGTCTAGTCTGTCTGGTCTAGTCTGTCTGGTCTAGTCTGTCTGGTCTAGTCTGTCCGTCTCTGTCTGGTCTAGTCTGTCTGGTCTAGTCTGTCTGGTCTAGTCTGTCTGGTCTAGTCTGTCTGGTCTAGTCTGTCTGGTCTAGTCTGTCTGGTCTAGTCTGTCTGGTCTAGTCTGTCTGGTCTAGTCTGTCTGGTCTAGTCTGTCCGTCTCTGTCTGGTCTAGTCTGTCTGGTCTAGTCTGTCTGGTCTAGTCTGTCTGGTCTAGTCTGTTTGGTCTAGTCTAGTCTGTCTAGTCTAGTCTGTCTGGTCTAGTCTGTATGGTCTAGTCTGTCTGGTCTAGTCTGTCTGGTTTAGTCTGTCTGGTCTAGTCTGTTTGGTCTAGTCTAGTCTGTCTAGTCTAGTCTGTCTGGTCTAGTCTGTCTAGTCTAGTCTGTCTGGTCTAGTCTGTATGGTCTAGTCTGTCTGGTCTAGTATGTCTGTCTAGTCTGTCTGGTCTAGTCTGTCTGGTCTAGTATGTCTGTCTAGTCTGTCTGGTCTAGTCTGTCTGGTCTAGTCTGTCTGGTCTAGTCTAGTCTGTCTGTCTTTGTCTGGTCTGTCTGGTCTAGTCTGTCTGGTCTAGTCTGTCTGTCTGGTCTGTCTGGTCTAGTCTGTCTGGTCTAGTCTGTCTGTCTGTCTGGTCTAGTCTGTCTGGTCTAGTCTGTCCGTCTCTGTCTGGTCTAGTCTGTCTGGTCTAGTCTGTCTGGTCTAGTCTGTCTGGTCTAGTCTGTTTGGTCTAGTCTAGTCTGTCTAGTCTAGTCTGTCTGGTCTAGTCTGTATGGTCTAGTCTGTCTGGTCTAGTCTGTCTGGTTTAGTCTGTCTGGTCTAGTCTGTTTGGTCTAGTCTAGTCTGTCTAGTCTAGTCTGTCTGGTCTAGTCTGTCTAGTCTAGTCTGTCTGGTCTAGTCTGTATGGTCTAGTCTGTCTGGTCTAGTATGTCTGTCTAGTCTGTCTGGTCTAGTCTGTCTGGTCTAGTATGTCTGTCTAGTCTGTCTGGTCTAGTCTGTCTGGTCTAGTCTGTCTGGTCTAGTCTAGTCTGTCTGTCTTTGTCTGGTCTGTCTGGTCTAGTCTGTCTGGTCTAGTCTGTCTGTCTGGTCTGTCTGGTCTAGTCTGTCTGGTCTAGTCTGTCTGTCTGTCTGTCTGTATGGTCTAGTCTGTCTGGTCTAGTCTGTCTGGTCTAGTCTGTCTGTCTGTCTGTCTGTATGGTCTAGTCTGTCTGGTCTAGTCTGTCTGGTCTAGTCTGTCTGGTCTAGTCTGTCTGGTCTAGTCTGTCTGGTCTAGTCTGTCTGGTCTAGTCTGTCTGGTCTAGTCTGTCTGGTCTAGTCTGTCTGGTCTAGTCTGTCTGGTCTAGTCTGTCTGTCTCTGTCTGTATGGTCTAGTCTAGTCTGTTTGGTCTAGTATGTCTGTCTGGTCTAGTCTGTCTGGTCTAGTCTGGTCTAGTCTAGTCTGTTTGGTCTAGTATGTCTGTATGGTCTAGTCTGTCTTTCAACTTGAGTACCATTTCAGTTAGGTTGACAAAATTTCATATGCCAGTTTTCTATCAACTTTTGAGTGATTTCCATTAACCAGTAGTGGTACTTTATTTTAACTGTCTCAAAGGCCTAGAACTAAAGTGACTTAATTAGGTGTTAAATTAACTTTTTAAACATTAATTAACATATTCTTTATACAAAATTTAAGTGTTAAAATAATTAATAAACATTTCTATAGCTTGATTGCATCAGAAGTGTGATGTGATTCCCTTTACTGTTATTTAAGAACATAAAAGAAGTTAAAAATAAACTCATTTTTTTTTTAAAGATGTTTTTTACTACTGATCTTTGTGATATGATCTTAACCTTAATTTAGTTTTATTGTTGTTGATTTTGTCATTTTAAACCAAATGACCTGCTGACCTTTGAACCATTGCCATGCTGACATATAATTGGCCTTATGTTGCCATCCTAGTGAATGTGACGGCATTAGAGGAGCCAATGATGTCATACACCATGAAGGACCTGGATGCTGACACACACTACGACGTGTCAGTTCAAGCCTGGTCACCAACCAGCGTGGGTACCCCAGTCTTTAGCAACTTCACAACATCACAGTCAGGTTAGTTCTTGTGTGGCTTTTGTCACCAACCAGCATTGGTACCGCAGACATTGACAACATCACAGTCAGGTTAGTTCTTGTGTGGCTTTTGTCACCAACCAGCATGCGTACCGCAGTCTTTAGCAACTTCACAACATCACAGTCAGGTTAGTTCTTGTGTGGCTTTTGTCACATGTAGCTGTACACATGACTTTACCCACACATGTAGCTGTACACATTACCCACACATGTAGCTGTACACATTACCCACACATATAGCTGTACACATGACTTTACCCACACATGTAGCTGTACACATGACTTTACCCACACATGTAGCTGTACACATGACTTTACCCACACATGTAGCTGTACACATGACTTTACCCACACATGTAGCTGTACACATGACTTTACCCACACATGTAGCTGTACACATTACCCACACATGTAGCTGTACACATGACTTTACCCACACATGTAGCTGTACACTTTACCCACACATGTAGCTGTACACTTTACCCACACATGTAGCTGTACACTTTACCCACACATGTAGCTGTACACATTACTTTACCCACACATGTAGCTGTACACATTACTTTACCCACACATGTAGCTGTACACATGACTTTACCCACACATGTAGCTGTACACATGACTTTACCCACACATGTAGCTGTACACATTACTTTACCCACACATGTAGCTGTACACATGACTTTACCCACACATGTAGCTGTACACATTACTTTACCCACACATGTAGCTGTACACTTTACCCACACATGTAGCTGTACACATTACTTTACCCACACATGTAGCTGTACACATTACCCACACATGTAGCTGTACACATGACTTTACCCACACATGTAGCTGTACACTTTACCCACACATATAGCTGTACACATGACTTTACCCACACATGTAGCTGTACACTTTACCCACACATGTAGCTGTACACTTTACCCACACATGTAGCTGTACACATTACTTTACCCACACATGTAGCTGTACACATGACTTTACCCACACATGTAGCTGTACACATTACTTTACCCACACATGTAGCCATACACTTTACCCACACATGTAGCTGTACACATTACTTTACCCACACATGTAGCTGTACACATGACTTTACCCACACATGTAGCTGTACACATGACTTTACCCACACATGTAGCCGTACACTTTACCCACACATGTAGCTGTACACATTACTTTACCCACACATGTAGCTGTACACTTTACCCACACATGTAGCTGTACACATGACTTTACCCACACATGTAGCTGTACACATGACTTTACCCACACATGTAGCCGTACACTTTACCCACACATGTAGCTGTACACATTACTTTACCCACACATGTAGCTGTACACTTTACCCACACATGTAGCTGTACACATGACTTTACCCACACATGTAGCTGTACACTTTACCCACACATGTAGCTGTACACATTACCCACACATGTAGCTGTACACATGACTTTACCCACACATGTAGCTGTACACATTACCCACACATATAGCTGTACACATGACTTTACCCACACATGTAGCTGTACACATTACTTTACCCACACATGTAGCTGTACACATTACTTTACCCACACATGTAGCTGTACACATTACCCACACATATAGCTGTACACATTACTTTACCCACACATGTAGCCGTACACTTTACCCACACATGTAGCTGTACACATTACTTTACCCACACTTGTAGCTGTACACTTTACCCACACATGTAGCCATACACTTTACCCACACATGTAGCTGTACACATTACCCACACATATAGCTGTACACATTACTTTACCCACACATGTAGCCGTACACTTTACCCACACATGTAGCTGTACACATTACTTTACCCACACATGTAGCTGTACACATTACTTTACCCACACATGTAGCTGTACACATTACTTTACCCACACATGTAACTGTACACATGACTTTACCCACACATGTAGCTGTACACTTTACCCACACATGTAGCTGTACACATTACCCACACATGTAGCTGTACACATGACTTTACCCACACATGTAGCTGTACACTTTACCCACACATGTAGCTGTACACATTACTTTACTCACACATGTAGCTGTACACTTTACCCACACATGTAGCTGTACACTTTACCCACACATGTAGCTGTACACTTTACCCACACATGTAGCTGTACACATTACCCACACATGTAGCTGTACACATGACTTTACCCACACATGTAGCTGTACACTTTACCCACACATATAGCTGTACACATGACTTTACCCACACATGTAGCTGTACACATTACTTTACCCACACATGTAGCTGTACACATGACTTTACCCACACATGTAGCTGTACACATTACTTTACCCACACATGTAGCTGTACACTTTACCCACACATGTAGCTGTACACATTACTTTACTCACACATGTAGCTGTACACATTACCCACACATGTAGCTGTACACATTACTTTACCCACACATGTAGCTGTACACATTACCCACACATGTAGCTGTACACATTACCCACACATGTAGCTGTACACATTACCCACACATGTAGCTGTACACATTACCCACACATGTAGCTGTACACATTACCCACACATGTAGCTGTACACATTACTTTACTCACACATGTAGCTGTACACATGACTTTACCCACACATGTAGCTGTACACATTACTTTACCCACACATGTAGCTGTACACATTACCCACACATGTAGCTGTACACATTACCCACACATGTAGCTGTACACATGACTTTACCCACACATGTAGCTGTACACATTACCCACACATGTAGCTGTACACATGACTTTACCCACACATGTAGCTGTACACATTACTTTACCCACACATGTAGCTGTACACATGACTTTACCCACACATGTAGCTGTACACATTACTTTACCCACACATGTAGCTGTACACATGACTTTACCCACACATGTAGCTGTACACATTACCCACACATGTAGCTGTACACATTACTTTACCCACACATGTAGCTGTACACATTACCCACACATGTAGCTGTACACATTACTTTACTCACACATGTAGCTGTACACATGACTTTACCCACACATGTAGCTGTACACATTACTTTACCCACACATATAGCTGTACACATGACTTTACCCACACATGTAGCTGTACACATTACTTTACCCACACATGTAGCTGTACACTTTACCCACACATATAGCTGTACACATGACTTTACCCACACATGTAGCTGTACACATGACTTTACCCACACATGTTGCTGTACACTTTACCCACACATGTAGCTGTACACATGACTTTACCCACACATGTAGCTGTACACTTTACCCACACATGTAGCTGTACACTTTACCCACACATATAGCTGTACACATGACTTTACCCACACATGTAGCTGTACACATGACTTTACCCACACATGTAGCTGTACACATTACTTTACCCACACTTGTAGCTGTACACTTTACTTTACCCACACTTGTAGCTGTACACATTACTTTACCCACACATGTAGCTGTACACATTACTTTACCCACACATGTAACTGTACACTTTACCCACACATGTAGCTGTACACATTACCCACACATGTAGCTGTACACATTACCCACACATGTAGCTGTACACATTACCCACACATGTAGCTGTACACATTACCCACACATGTAGCTGTACACTTTACCCACACATGTAGCTGTACACATGACTTTACCCACACATGTAGCTGTACACTTTACCCACACATGTAGCTGTACACTTTACCCACACATGTAGCTGTACACATTACTTTACCCACACATGTAGCTGTACACATTACTTTACTCACACATGTAGCTGTACACATTACCCACACATGTAGCTGTACACATTACTTTACCCACACATGTAGCTGTACACATTACCCACACATGTAGCTGTACACATTACCCACACATGTAGCTGTACACATTACCCACACATGTAGCTGTACACTTTACCCACACATGTAGCTGTACACTTTACCCACACATGTAGCTGTACACATGACTTTACCCACACATGTAGCTGTACACATTACCCACACATGTAGCTGTACACATTACCCACACATGTAGCTGTACACATTACCCACACATGTAGCTGTACACATTACCCACACATGTAGCTGTACACTTTACCCACACATGTAGCTGTACACATTACCCACACATGTAGCTGTACACATTACTTTACTCACACATGTAGCTGTACACTTTACCCACACATGTAGCTGTACACATTACTTTACCCACACATGTAGCTGTACACATTACTTTACCCACACATGTAGCTGTACACATTACTTTACCCACACATGTAGCTGTACACATGACTTTACCCACACATGTAGCTGTACACATGACTTTACCCACACATGTAGCTGTACACTTTACCCACACATGTAGCTGTACACATTACCCACACATGTAGCTGTACACATTACTTTACTCACACATGTAGCTGTACACTTTACCCACACATGTAGCTGTACACATTACCCACACATGTAGCTGTACACATTACCCACACATGTAGCTGTACACATTACCCACACATGTAGCTGTACACATGACTTTACCCACACATGTAGCTGTACACTTTACCCACACATGTAGCTGTACACATTACTTTACCCACACATGTAGCTGTACACATGACTTTACCCACACATGTAGCTGTACACATGACTTTACCCACACATGTAGCTGTACACTTTACCCACACATGTAGCTGTACACTTTACCCACACATGTAGCTGTACACATTACCCACACATGTAGCTGTACACATTACTTTACTCACACATGTAGCTGTACACATGACTTTACCCACACATGTAGCTGTACACATTACCCACACATGTAGCTGTACACATGACTTTACCCACACATGTAGCTGTACACTTTACCCACACATGTAGCTGTACACATTACTTTACTCACACATGTAGCTGTACACATTACTTTACCTACACATGTAGCTGTACACATGACTTTACCCACACATGTAGCTGTACACTTTACCCACACATGTAGCTGTACACTTTACCCACACATGTAGCTGTACACATTACCCACACATGTAGCTGTACACATTACTTTACTCACACATGTAGCTGTACACATGACTTTACCCACACATGTAGCTGTACACATGACTTTACCCACACATGTAGCTGTACACTTTACCCACACATGTAGCTGTACACATTACTTTACCTAAATTTATCTTCTTTTTAAATGAATGCTGAGTGATTGATTGTGGGGTAATGTGCTACTGTTGTTTGGGCAGGGGTTTTAGGCTAGGGTTTTAGGCAGGGGTTTTAGGCAGTAGTTATAGGCAGGGGTTTTAGGCAACGGTTATATACAGTGCTTTTAGGCAGTAGTTATAGGCAGGGGTTATGTACTGGGTGTAATTTATTTGAGAAGTTAGTGACAGGGGGGGGGGGGGGGGGGGGAGGGTAGAATTAGGTGCTAGGAGTGATTAACAGGTTGTTAAGGTCAATTTGTTGGCATGTTCTTATTACCCTGCCTCTTTCTGCTTGTCACACATCTTAAACTTATCATCCTACAGACTTTTAATTTAACCTTAGCTAACAGCGTGAATTAATTTATAATACTTTACTAACAGTTTTTTAACTTAATTCAGCACAAACACCAATTCATCATAAGCTAATACATATATTTTCTTGAATAACTAATGGATATGCAATATACCAAATGGTATAATTTCCACAAATAATAATAATTCCTCAAAAAACTTAACGGAGCAGTACGATTGACATAAAACAATTCAAATAATTTCCAAGTTCACTTACCCAATCTCAATCTGAACTTAGTACAATACACATTTAAACTGACCTTAACTCTAGTACAATACACATTTAAACTGACCTTAACTCTAGTACAATACACATTTAAACTGACCTTAACTCTAGTACAATACACATTTAAACTGACCTTAACTCTAGTACAATACACATTTAAACTGACCTTAACTCTTGTACAATACACATTTAAACTGACCTTAACTCTAGTACAATACACATTTAAACTGACCTTAACTCTAGTACAATACACATTTAAACTGACCTTAACTCTAGTACAATACACATTTAAACTGACCTTAACTCTAGTACAATACACATTTAAACTGACCTTAACTCTAGTACAATACACATTTAAACTGACCTTAACTCTAGTACAATACACATTTAAACTGACCTTAACTCTAGTACAATACACATTTAAACTGACCTTAACTCTAGTACAATACACATTTAAACTGACCTTAACTCAAGTACAATACACATTTAAACTGACCTTAACTCTAGTACAATACACATTTAAACTGACCTTAACTCTAGTACAATACACATTTAAACTGACCTTAACTCTAGTACAATACACATTTAAACTGACCTTAACTCTAGTACAATACACATTTAAACTGACCTTAACTCTAGTACAATACACATTTAAACTGACCTTAACTCTAGTACAATACACATTTAAACTGACCTTAACTCTAGTACAATACACATTTAAACTGACCTTAACTCTAGTACAATACACATTTACACTGACCTTAACTCTAGTACAATACACATTTAAACTGACCGTAACTCTACTTTAACCATAAAAATATGTACTAAAAATGAAAAAGAAAAAAAAGTCAAAAATTAAAAGTTATCTGCCTTACTCCAAGTTATCTGCCCTATCTTTCCACAGATGGAGCAGAGATCAAGATCATTGTCGCTGTTGTTGTTGTGGTAACAGTATCAGCTCTTATCATCATTGTTGTTATTTTTATACGGTAAATACTTTTACATTGAATAAATATTTATACTTTATTTCTCTTTCTTTCCCTTGAGTAAGCTTTTCAAAAGATATACATATAATGTTTTTTTTTTCAGAAAATGTAGAAAATCTAAAGATCGATTGAATTTTATAGATCCTGAGTTCTTAAAAGTAAGTGATTTTAACTGATGGTCACAGAGAATGGGGGTCAAGACAATATTTTTGAACTAGGTGGGGTGGGAGGGTCTGTATGGATGACAGCACTTTAATGAAACATGAATGTACTGGAAGGCTAAAACTAAAAACATGAATGTACTGGAAGGCTAGAACTAAAAACATGAATGTACTGGAAGGCTAAAACTAAAAACATGAATGTACTGGAAGGCTAAAACTAAAAACATGAATGTACTGGAAGGCTAGAACTAAAAACATGAATGTACTGGAAGGCTAGAACTAAAAACATGAATGTACTGGAAGGCTAAAACTAAAAACATGAATGTACTGGAAGGCTAGAACTAAAAACATGAATGTACTGGAAGGCTAGAACTAAAAACATGAATGTACTGGCAGCTAAGAACTAAAAACATGAATGTACTGTAAGGCTAAAACTAAAAACATGAATGTACTGTAAGGCTAAAACTAAAAACATGAATGTACTGGAAGGCTAGAACTAAAAACATGAATATACTGGCAGGCTAGAACTAAAGTTGAAACTACATTTCTTTGGATATCAGACGGTCAATATTCTTGTCAATCATTTACAAAGTTTCTATTTATTTCAACAATGTATATTTGAATTAGGTTTATTTTCACATGATATTTCAACAATGTATACTTGAATTAGTTTAATTTTCACATGATATTTCAACAATGTATACTTGATGAATTAGGTTTATTTTCACATGATATTTCAACAATGTATACTTGAATTAGTTTGATTTTCACATGATATTTACCCAGTTACACCAATGAGAAATCAGTTATTGTTGCACACTTGTCATGTGCATGTGGGTATATTTTGGTAGAAAACTCAGAAATTGTAACAAAATTGATAGCTTTAGAAATATGCAAACAAATAAAGTGTTTGAAACCAAGCACTGTCTAGATGTATGCATTTTAATGCTACATGCTTAGATTGGATGAAATATTACTTAAGTTTAAAGTTATTTATACATCATGTACTGAAACATTCTGATGAAACATTAGATAGGTTTAAAGTTTGGTCCATGTGTAAAACATGTACTGATATACTCTGATGAAACATTAGATAGGTTTAAAGTTTTGTACATATATAAAACATGTACTGATATACTCTGATGAAACATTAGATAGGTTTAAAGTTTGGTCCATATATAAAACATGTACTGATATACTCTGATGAAACATTAGATAGGTTTAAAGTTTTGTACATATATAAAGCATGTACTGATATACTCTGATGAAACATTAGATAGGTTTAAAGTTTTGTACATATATAAAACATGTACTGATATACTCTGATGAAACATTAGATAGGTTTAAAGTTTTGTACATATATAAAACATGTACTGATATACTCTGATGAAACATTAGATAGGTTTAAAGTTTGGTCCATGTATAAAACATGTACTGATATACTCTGATGAAACATTAGATAGGTTTAAAGTTTGGTCCATGTATAAAACATGTACTGATATACTCTGAAACATTAGATAGGTTTAAAGTTTGGTCCATGTATAAAACATGTACTGATATACTCTGATGAAACATTAGATAGGTTTAAAGTTTTGTACATATATAAAACATGTACTGATATACTCTGATGAAACATTAGATAGGTTTAAAGTTTTGTACATATATAAAACATGTACTGATATACTCTGATGAAACATTAGATAGGTTTAAAGTTTTGTACATATATAAAACATGTACTGATATACTCTGATGAAACATTAGATAGGTTTAAAGTTTTGTACATATATAAAACATGTACTGATATACTCTGATGAAACATTAGATAGGTTTAAAGTTTGGTCCATGTATAAAACATGTACTGATATACTCTGATGAAACATTAGATAGGTTTAAAGTTTGGTCCATGTATAAAACATGTACTGATATACTCTGATGAAACATTAGATAGGTTTAAAGTTTGGTCCCTGTATAAAACATGTACTGATATACTCTGATGAAACATTAGATAGGTTTAAAGTTTGGTCCCTGTATAAAACATGTACTGATATACTCTGATGAAACATTAGATAGGTTTAAAGTTTTGTACATATATAAAACATGTACTGATATACTCTGATGAAACATTAGATAGGTTTAAAGTTTGGTCCATGTATAAAACATGTACTGATATACTCTGATGAAACATTAGATAGGTTTAAAGTTTGGTCCATGTATAAAACATGTACTGATATACTCTGAAACATTAGATAGGTTTAAAGTTTGGTCCATGTATAAAACATGTACTGATATACTCTGATGAAACATTAGATAGGTTTAAAGTTTTGTACATATATAAAACATGTACTGATATACTCTGATGAAACATTAGATAGGTTTAAAGTTTTGTACATATATAAAACATGTACTGATATACTCTGATGAAACATTAGATAGGTTTAAAGTTTTGTACATATATAAAACATGTACTGATATACTCTGATGAAACATTAGATAGGTTTAAAGTTTTGTACATATATAAAACATGTACTGATATACTCTGATGAAACATTAGATAGGTTTAAAGTTTGGTCCATGTATAAAACATGTACTGATATACTCTGATGAAACATTAGATAGGTTTAAAGTTTGGTCCATGTATAAAACATGTACTGATATACTCTGATGAAACATTAGATAGGTTTAAAGTTTGGTCCCTGTATAAAACATGTACTGATATACTCTGATGAAACATTAGATAGGTTTAAAGTTTGGTCCCTGTATAAAACATGTACTGATATACTCTGATGAAACATTAGATAGGTTTAAAGTTTGGTCCCTGTATAAAACATGTACTGATATACTCTGATGAAACATTAGATAGGTTTAAAGTTTGGTCCCTGTATAAAACATGTACTGATATACTCTGATGAAACATTAGATAGGTTTAAAGTTTGGTCCATGTATAAAACATGTACTGATATACTCTGATGAAATATTCTCAGGTCATGAAACCAGCTGATAAGACTGAAGCAGTGTATGAAAACCATTGGATAGCACCAGGTCAAACAGGTTTAGCACCAGGTCAAACAGGTTTAGCACCAGCACCAGGTCAAACAGGTGTAATACAACTCACTGACTCCAGCACGACACACATCACTGACTCAGGCATGACGCAACTCACTGACTCTGATGTGCAGCATCAGACTGACTCTGATGTATCTTCAACCAACTCCAGTCAATCCAGCCAGACCCTGCTGATTCCTCTGTCTGACAGACTCATGCCCACTTTGATGACCTCTGGTGAGTACCAGGCCGTCTCATCAAAACGCCCTGGAACTCTGATGACCTCTGATGAGTACCAGGCCGTCCCAACAGTCTGTCTGTCCCCTCAACATACGTCTGCCTCAGGAGACCTGATACAAGAGGACGTGCAGATGTACATTAGAATAGCCAAGGGCTATCAAGATGGAAGCTTGCCAAACTTTATTACAATGGTTGAATGTCCAGCCCCTGGCAGTAGTCAAGCTCTGTCAGACACTCCATCAGTAGAACCACAGCAAACTCATCTGTTAGAGTCTCACAGTGTACCTGAGTATGTGCCATTTGCTTAACACGTGGCTGTCATCAAACTTAGGATCTGCAGGGTTAGAAAACTCCATGTTGAAATAGTCTTTCCATTGTTTCAAACTAGCATTGGTTCACACACAAAATCCATACTTAATTCTGAGTTTTTGTCTACCTCCTCGATGATATCTGATCTTGTAATCATGTTTATGTCAAATTATTTTAAATAAAAATATGAAGATACAAATGGCTGTTATGCACAACGCCATTGAAGTATTAGTTTTAAACAGTATGTTTAATATCATAGTGGTTATTTGTTTGATTTGTTGTATTTTTCAATGTTGAAATAATTTTTTTAAATATTTTTAAAATAAATTAATACATCCTACTTTTAGCTTCATATTAATCATTAGCCCTGTACTTTATCATTTATATACATATATATACATACTTGCTGTCGGTACACGTAACAAGTGAATTAAAGGCCTATATATTTTAATGTTATACTTGTTTGAGAAAATTATTTTATAAAATAGTTATTGGTTAAAAGGCAATGTGCTTTACTACTCGTTGAACGATATTAGTGACAAAGCAAAGAAATAATTAAATAGCTAAAAAGCCTGCACATTTAAAATAACATAGACTACCAATACCTATTAGGAAAACCAAATTATATACATTAGTCAACACAACACCATATTAAATGAACACACTGATTAAGAGAATTAAATGATTCCGTTAAAAACCCGGCTGTTCAATGGGATTTATGTTGTTTTTTAAAGTAATTTGTACTACTTTTGGCTGAGAAAATTGTATACATTTCATATCGTACGTCCCGATAAGTAGATCTATAGATCTAAATCAAATTTGAATGAAATAGTTCATTTCTTCATATTCTAAAATTGGAAGATGACGCCATTAGTTTTGTGTACTTTCCATAGTTCAAACATTTGACGGCATTGTTTTTTGCCTTCTTGTTCCAACCATAATCAATTTTCTAATTGCTTAATTAAAAATGTGTTTCTACATTCAAATATGCCTTTATTTTTATTTTCCTTCTCTAAATAAAATTTAGTTTATACATTTAAAACATCCAACATATTGTTTTCAACAAAATTACATATCTTTAACTTCTTCATATATCACTCAACATACTGACCACATGGTGTGGACAGAGAGAGAGAAGTGAGCACATAGACTTTTGTATATATTATGATACATATATATATATATATATATATATATATATATATATATATATATATATATATATATATATATATATATATATATATATATATATATATATATATATATACACCTATATACATAGACCTACATATATACATAGACCTACATATATACATATGTACATTTATACCTATATATACATTTATACACATATATATACATATGTACCTATATATATATATATTCATGAACTTCTTTTTATTGCTTTTAAGAATGCTATTTAATTTTTATTGCTTCGACAAGGCTGTTTGGCTTAATATTCATGCCCAATGGTTTTCTCATTTTTCTGTTTTCTACTTAACTTATGCCACTAATGAGAGATGTGACAAAGTCAAGCCAAACTACTTAATATTAAATGGGGCAGACTGGCTGACTACTAAACATTCAATTACTAATCTGAAAGTATGGGTTCAGGTCATGAACATACCTGAGTCTGCCCGGCTCTAGTGAGTACCTGACTCAGTTTGGGGAAAGTAAAGATGGCTTAGCTCTTGCTACCATGCCTCTAGCTGTTTTTATCTAACAATCACTATTGAATTCCTAGATTATGTCAGTTGCAAAAATTGTAAATCAATATATTCATTTACTTGCATTTTGTCCATTAATCAAAAGCTATGCACTAATAAAATTTGTGTCCATTAATCAAATGTTATACACATATAACATTTGAACTCTAACAATCTTCTGCAGTATAAACATGCAAGAAAAGAATGTGAGAGTTGTGTTCATTTACAAAAATAAAATTATTTTACTCAATATACTGACAAATGATTTGTTTTTAATTGTTTTTTAAATTGTAAAATCACTATTTTCATTTTTAGAAATAGTTTTATCCTAAAAATAACAAGGGGTTGCTCATATTTTGGCACTAAAATCAATGTGAATATAACACTGGCCTATGAGGCACTAAAATCTAAATATAACCCTGGCCCACGGAGTGTCTGCCCCACTAAACTCAGTAAACTGTGTTTTTGTAAGTCTACCCCCTCCCCCCTATACACACCCCGAAAGTTTCAAGTGTTCAGCATGTAACATTGGAGAACACAAAGACAAAGAGCCTCAGCGGCCTTTTTGGAAAGGCCTAGATTAATACTAGGCTAACGGCCTAACAGTTACCGTTATTATGCCGTTATAATATAAATCTAGGCCCATCGCATTTGCGTTTTCCGTTTTTCCAGGAACTTCCGATGTTCTATTTTTAAAATTAACCACCGTCTGCGTTCACTTTTTAACGAGCAGGCTACGTTGAATTGTTGTTTTGGACTTTCTCAGAAATAACTGCGTTCTTAAAATTATTTTTCAGGATCTAGACCTCCTACGAAATATTTGGAAATTAACATGTGACAGAATCAATAAAGTTCGATGTTCGTATTTTTACCTTATTATATTAAAATTATATTTAGATTCTCGACTAATTTTATGGTTAGAAATTGAAATTAATAGGCGAATGGTTAGGCCTACAATTAGTCAATTACAATTTAATTTACATACGGATGGTAGATCTAGGACTAGATTAGTAACTATTGGGGTTAGGGTTCAGGACATGGTTAGCATTGACATTAAACAATGTGTGTATTTAGTTAACTACCAGTAACCTAACACCCTTTTTTACTTTCTCGTATATATACTATATAGATCTATATATGAAGTAGATCTATTCTAGATCCTACTATAGAGAAAGCTCATTCAACGTGCAAAAAAACAAAATTGAGATTTTTTACAAATCTTGACGTTTTACACTACATCTCCCAGAGTCAGAAAAACAGCTTTGCAATCTTGTCATATGTCTTATGTGTGTGTGTGTGTGTATGTGTGTCTGTGAACACGATAACTTTAGTACCGTTAGGGACTTGGATGACGTAGATTTTGAGGCACTAAAAACGAGAGTTTTCTGCCCATACCGAGTTTCGTCGATTTAGCCGTGCGGTCGCGGGTGATGATCGAAAAAAAAATTTTTAATTATAAATCGCCGATGCTACTAATAATTTGATGACTGATTCTGAAAAACAAATGGATTTCATATGTTACGGTATTTTTGTTTTGAGATTTTGTTGAAGGTGAAGACGGATTTTTGGAGCCAAACTTTGGCTACGTAAAACTCTTTGTACCATAAAAACTTACTAACAAGGAAGGCCAATAAAAAGCCCTCCGACGATAATCACCATTTTTCTTTATGTGTGTAAATTTTCATAATGTTAATCGATAGCAAAGTATTTTTTATAAATAATTTAGAAAGTATAGGCTTAAGCCATTTTACGACTACCGGGAAAGACAGAGGTTAAAACCGGAAGTGTACTTGTGTTGTTAATGACGCCATTGCTCTCAATTGAATTGATTTGTAAATCCAGCAACATCCACACGAATCTGACTTTAAAATCATTTTAAATTATAGAATTATATTTTATATTGATAAAACTATGATTTTTTGTTGACTTTGTGCACATATTTTCTATTTAGATTCATTTTTTTTTGTAATTTTGAGTTAGATCTAAAAATAGATTATTTTTCAAGTTGAATTATTGTTTCATTTTAATTGTATGGCCTAGATATAGATCTATGTTGTTCTTGAATGAGTTCTATATTTTATATTAGCTATCATTATAGTAACTTGTGTACTTTCCACATTTTTCTTAAATTTTAAAGCTTGATATAGATCTAGAATCTAATATAAAATTCCATTTGCCTGTCATTTGGTCTGCAAAATATAAACCAATAGGGTAATTCTATATTAAACATTTAGCCTTTTGATTGCTTTTCAAGCGAATTTTTATTACCAATATTACTAATATTCAAACATTTTAGTAGTCCTATATTTTCTTTATAGCTCTAGGACTTTGTTCGTTTTAGATTTATTACTAAATTACTACAATCCTTGTACAATGTTCTGTCTTCATCTGTAGGCCTATTTGAAGTACATATGATACTACTGTATTTTTGCTGTAGTTTACATCTCAGTTGCTTTTTTACTAGTCTTGGCCCTAGATAAAATGTACCAGTTCAGCAAAGGGATAGAGAATCAAAAGATGTGGATCTACTCATAAGCAACTTCAATGAAGGAGAAATAGGTCCACTTAAGAATGGATGTTGCTGGTTTTTATTACAGTTCTAAAAGCTATCAGCCAGAGGAGACACGGCTTCAGTAGATGTTTAATCAGATTTCATTTTTAAATCATTGATGGTGTTATTTTTTAAAGTAAAAAAGTGACACAAGCTAACAGACTTAAACATGTTATCCACACAGCATGAGATGTCACTTAAATAGATGACACATGTTTCTAAATTATAAAACTTACCTTTAACATTAAATGGTGATCATTACTCCACCAATAAAAAAATCATTTCAATTATTAAATTATTTGTTCAACAATAATTATAAATTAAATTATATCAATTCTATGATAACATACACATAACATGGATGAAATATCATGCATATTGACAACATTTAGATACAATTTTAGTTATCTAAAATCAGTTTAGCATTGTACTTCTTTCTTGCAAAAAAGTAGTTGCGCAGAACAAAAATGACTTTTTAAATTTGACCAACATTGTAACAAAACCACATAAGCTAAGTGAAATATTTTTTCTTTGTGTGGATGTATACAATGTTGGCACCAATTAGGCCAATTTTCATTAAGATATTCCATATAATAAAAATTTGGCAACAGATTATGTGTTGCCTATAGCAGAATTTATTGTTTAAAATTAAGGGGGGGTATATGAGTTTAAACCCCTTTTTCATTAAATAAAATATTTTTAAAATCAAATTTGAACAAAGGAAATATCAAAGTATATAATAACCTTCATGTTTACAATATTTCTTGCATATAAGCAAAGTAATCTAAAATCAGCTCAACATTGTAGTTCTTTCTTGCAAAAAAAGTAGTTGCGCAGAATAAAAATGACTTTTTTATTTTGTCCAACATTGTAATAAAACCACATAAGCTAAGTAAAATATTTTGACTTTCTGTTAATGTATACAGTGTTGGCACTATTCAGGCCAATTTTCAGTAAGATATTCCATATAATAAAAATTTGGCAACAGATTGTGTGTAGCCTATCAAAGACGCTTATTCAAAAATTTTAGGGGGGTGACCCTCTTTGTTAACATTATTTTTTATGATCATTCTCATCCAATTCAATTATTTTTATCTTACTCTTTTACTGATATCATAAGCTTGATCTTAGTGAATTTTCATTAAAAAATACCTGCTATTTAAAAAGTTACAGAGATTTTAGTTCGCATCCAAAAAAGTAGGGAAGCAAAAAATTGAGAAAACCCCATAGTAAAAAAACCCGAAAATTAAATACATTAAAAATTCATAACTTCGTAACCGTTTGAGCTAAAATTAAAATAAAAGTATCTTTGTTCTTGTCTAAATGAGCTCTATAAACTGGTGCTACTACATTATTTTTTTTTTTTAAATGAAATTTCATCCAAGTCCCTACGTTACAGCTAGTACTAGTAGGTTGATGAAATTTCATATAGATCTATTTATATTCTATAAGTAATGCTTCTTTCATCTTTCAAAGTTTGATTAATTTCCGTTGACTGGAAGTAGTAATTTACGCTTTTTCCGATTTCTCAAAAAAACGCATGTGAATTTATAAAGTACTAATAATATTCCGCACTATTATACACAGATTTTTTGGCGTTCACTTGGTGCGCAATTCTTTTTTCTACAGATTCTATTCTATTTTAAAAATTATAAGTAATTATATAAACCAGGAGTGATCTCCCCTAAACTTTCTCGAATATTCTTATATAAAAACAAGGATGGGAACTCAGGATATAGACATGAATTTTAATCCATTTTAAATACTTAAACATTTATCTATCTGAAATATTACTCAAGTTATAGGCTTTTGAAAAATTCATAGTAAAAAAGTACCACTTCCAGTTATTGGAAATCTCTCAAAAGTTGATAAGGATCTACGATTTTGATAAAATACTTATATATGAAATTTCATCAATCTAGCTGTAACAGTACTTAAGTTATCGTGTTTACACACACACACATACACACAGACATAAGGCATGGGCAAGATTGCAAAATTATTTTTTTCCGTATGTTTTTTTTTTTGCAAGATTACAAGACTTTCTTTATACTTTGTATATACGAGAAAGTAAAAATGGATTAAAAATCATGTCTATATCCCAAGTTGCCTTCCCCGTAGTGTTATATAAGAATATTCGAGAAAGTTAGGGGAGATCACTCCTGGTTTAATTTAAAGAAGATTCTTTTATCGGACACTGGTATAAAAATACCCCCCCCCCCCCCCAACACATCTAAAATCTTTTCTGAACTTTGTCAACATAGTAACATATAGTTTTCTAAAACAGCCGAAATTTGTTTTCCAAAATTGCTTTTTATAATGCTTTTTATAATGATGTCACACCATCTGAACACACACACCCCTCCCCCTCATCCCGCACCGTCACAAAATTATGGACCCCCCTACTAGTATAACATCATTAAGGATGACCCCTTAGGCTTGTATATATATATTATAGCCAATAGGCCTCTGTATATTATTTATTTTTAAATTAATCAATTAATTAGTTAATAAATATTTCAAAACAAAGTTAAGAAAATAGTGGTAGTTTTATGGCAGTCAAACTTTTGAATGAGGGGATCTATGGTGTGGTGGAGAAAGGGGGATTATAACCTCAGTGTTCATGGCTGTTTACACCATTGTAATTCACACCACTACACCAATGACTAGATCCTATATCATCTTAGTAGTCCCTAGATCTGGTAGTCATTAGAGCTACTAGACCTAGTTATTATTTTGGTTGACATGGGCAAAAAATGAGTTTTTGTACATTTTTTTATCTTCTGCGTAAGCAACACTTGAATAACCACACTTTTTGACTAGGCTAATTCCCTAATATTTTTTTACTGAATGAAACCTTGACCAAGTTCTTTTAGTTAAAGCCTAGATCTATTATTCTTTTTTTCTGACATAAAAAATCCGATCAACAAATACATCTGTCTGCGTCCTATCTGTAGAAAATGATACAAAAACCAAACAATCAAGTTTCAAATCACGTGTTTTTATAACACTGTGCCGCACACTATTGAAACTTTATCACTGTTTGAGAGTTTCCTGGGCCAAGTTCTTAAATTAGATGGAGAAGTCATACAGCACAAAACTTCTAAGGGGGGGGGGGGTATAATTTTAACAAATTATGTGTGGGTAATGAGGATTTAGTCTAAAGGAGACTCATGTATTTGTGGGGAATAGTGGGTAATTATATATTTTTATTCTTGTACTTTCTAATTCCTACTCTCTCTAGCATGAATGTGAAAATTATGGTTCCCACAAAAATTCTTATCAGAAAATTTGTTCGCATAGATTGTGAGATAAATACAAATGAGACATCTCAAACAGAAAATTCAGCAGAGAGCTCATCAATGAGGATTTATGGCAATTATTGTGTGTTTGTGTTAGTGTTGTAGTGTGTGCATTTTTCTGTTTGCTCACTTTTCGTTTGGTGCAATCCTCCGTTGTGCATTTTTCTGGTCACCGAAAATTGTTATTAGGCCCCGTAAATATTAGCCCCCCTTCCCCACATACCCAAACTCTTGATGGAAGGCCTACACTAAAGCTACCAGATAAAAATGAATCAGGTGGATGCATGTCAATGTTTGAATGTAGTCCCAAGTCAAATATTTATTAGAATACATTCATATAACCAGCTGCAGTCACAACTGACATCATCGTAAGTCATAATGTGGCTGCAGTCACAACTGACATCATCGTAAGTCATAATGTGGCTGCAGTCACAACTGACATCATCATAAGTCATAATGTGATGAGTGGGTCAACTTAACGACAGTGTTCATTGAATTAAATTTATGTTACTGAGTGATAGGACATTTTACTGTTGGCGTTTTTAGATGTTTCTGGTCTGGGTATCACAACAAACTAGGTGTTTTTAGATATAAGTATTTAGTCTAGTTTAGTAGTTATCACAACAAAATTTCAATTGTCTTCAACATTGATAAATTTTTTCAAAGGTCACCTTTAACAACTTTGATATTCAGCTGAACTGTAAGCTTTTCTCCTGGTTGTAAAAGTGTAATCGTATTTCTTTATCTGTCACCAGATAAAGGGAATTTCCAGACTAGCTAGGTCATGTCTGTGTGATACTCAGGACAAGCTATGTGGCTGTTTGATCTAACAAAGATTTACTGTAATAGATCTTGGATATAACAAACATCTACAGACTACTGTAATAAATCTTGGATCTAACAAAGATTTACTGTAATAAATCTTGGATATAACAAACATCTATTATAGATCTTGTAACAAAGAGAGAATCTATTTACTATCTAAAATCCTCTCTGGTGGCTGAATTATGCAGCTGTCTTATTAGCTCAACTTTTGTTAGTGAGATCTACCAACATGTTTTTGTTCCAGATATGGGGTCATTAAGATAACAGCAATTATCACATGGCCAATTATCTCAGCCTGTTATTAATTTTTAATCAAAAGCAGTTCTGCTCAAGGTGTGTTGCGCATTTTGGATCTTGAAGTCTACAATTTATAGTCAATCTATGTAGGCCATTAAAAATCTGGTTTTCACATTCCATGTAAGCTTTGAGCCTAGTTTTCATATTCCATGTAAGTTTTGAGAGTCTAGATTTCATAGTCCATGTAAGTTTTGAGTCTAGTTTTCATATTCCATGTAAGTTTTGAGAGTCTAGTTTTCATATTGAGTCTCTTTCTTTTGTGTTGTGTTTGACATCTGCCTCTGGTGATTTGTGTTTGACGTCTGTGCTGGTGAGTTGTGTCTGACACACTCCTAAAGCTGCCGTCACATTGTACTGCATGTCACTCCTTATGCAGGTGATGTTACTGACAGCTGTTACAGCAACTTGTTACAGTCTTTTCACTACCTCACCTATAATGTTAACACCAGCAGACAATGTAACACCAGCAGCTATCACTGAGCTAGGACTTATTGAGCTATCACATTGAATGTCTTTTAAGCCTACCAGTGATTGTATAGAAGGGATGTTTGTGTAGGCCTACAGTATAGAGCCAGTAGTATAGAGCCAGCACATCTCAGCTGTTTACCAAGCCCCTATTGTTTTCTTCTGCCTGGGATCAGCTCATGATTTACCCTGGGCTTGGTCAGCCTGAACTTCATATATTGGCTAGTCTACACAGTCTCAAGTATCCCCCTCACATTTTTGGCTTAGTTAAACATATAAAGTAGTACATATTTGGCTCAGTTATACATATAAAGTAGTACATTTTTGACCTCAGTTATACATATAAAGTAGTACATTTTTGACCTCAGTTATACATATAAAGTAGTACATTTTTGGCTCAGTTATACATATAAAGTAGTACATTTTTGGCTCAGTTATAAATATAAAGTAGTACATTTTTGGCTCAGTTATACATATAAAGTAGTACATTTTTGGCTCAGTTATACATATAAAGTAGTACATTTTTGGCTCAGTTATACATATAAAGTAGTACATTTTTGGCTCAGTTATACATATAAAGTAGTACATTTTTGGCTCAGTTATACATATAAAGTAGTACATTTTTGGCTCAGTTATACATATAAAGTAGTACATTTTTGGCTCAGTTATACATATAAAGTAGTACATTTTTGGCTCAGTTATACATATAAAGTAGTACATTTTTGGCTCAGTTATACATATAAAGTAGTACATTTTTGGCTCAGTTATACATATAAAGTAGTACATTTTTGGCTCAGTTATACATATAAAGTAGTATATTTTTGGCTCAGTTATACATATAAAGTAGTACATTTTTGGCTCAGTTATACATATAAAGTATTAACTTTACTTCATTATTTGTTGTGTCATCATTCAGACTGACTGAAAGAAAAATAAATAAAAGTTGATTCTGGGCGAGTTGATGAGCTCTATGTTATGTCAAAGTGTTAACAACTCAGCCATTTTTACAGGTGTGTCAGTGTGTTAACAACACAGCCATTTTACAGGTGTGTCAGTGTGTTAACAACACAGTCATTTTTACATGTGTGTCAGTGTGTTAACAACAGCCATTTTTACAGGTGTGTCAGTTCATCAACACAAGTATCAAAAATTTGTGTCCAGTGGTTTTATCACTCTCCATCAATCTCCCGCCAACCTTGCTACGCCAACCTTGCTACGTGTTCAATACCCCTCCCCCCCCCCCCACCCCTCCTCACCCCTCAGCCTCATCGGCTCAATGCATGGTAGAATCAAGTCAATAAGAAAACATTGACATGATTGGACCCAATCAATAAGAAACATTGACATGATTGGACCCAATCAATAAGAAACATTGACATGATTGGACCCAATAAATAAGAAACATTGACATGATTGGGCCCAATCAATAAGAAACATTGACATGATTGGACCCAATCAATAAGAAACATTGACATGATTGGGCCAATCAATAAGAAACATTGACATGATTGGGCCCAATCAATAAGAAACATTGACATGATTGGGCCCAATCAATAAGAAACATTGACATGATTGGACCCAATCAATAAGAAACATTGACATGATTGGACCCAATCAATAAGAAACATTGACATGATTGGGCCCAATCAATAAGAAACATTGACATGATTGGGCCCAATCAATAAGAAACATTGACATGATTGGACCCAATCAATAAGAAACATTGACATGATTGGGCCCAATCAATAAGAAACATTGACATGATTGGGCCCAATCAATAAGAAACATTGACATGATTGGACCCAATCAATAAGAAACATTGACATGATTGGGCCCAATCAATAAGAAACATTGACATGATTGGGCCCAATCAATAAGAAACATTGACATGATTGGGCCCAATCAATAAGAAACATTGACATGATTGGACCCAATCAATAAGAAACATTGACATGATTGGGCCCAATTAATAAGAAACATTGACATGATTGGATGATCGGACTAAGTGATTAATTTTTGTTGACAATTTTTAAATTATTGTTTTAACTCGACCTTGACACGGCTGGAAAAAAGTCCCAACCAAGGGCACCTGCACAAGACTTGTGCCAATCACTTGACATTGATTGATCAGATCAATAAACAGATCAATATCCCAGCCTCAACTGACATTGTGTGCAGTCTGTCCCTATAATCATGTTTATGAGATCTACCTGTTCTGTGTCATTTAACTCAGGGGTCTCCAAACTTTTCAGCCCGAGGGCCGCATTAACTATCAAATTTGAGTTCGGGGGCCAGTTTCTTCCAGGCATGTCTTTGATTTTTCTGGGCAAAGTTCCTCAGCCATCACCAACAATCCAACAAACGTTGTTTCCGTGGACAAAAAGATCTCCGCGGGCCGGATGAGAGGACGTCGCGGGCCGCATCCGGCCCGCGGGCCGTAGTTTGGAGACCCCTGATTTAACTCAATGCTCATTGATTTTCCTTATTGCTAGATCTAGAAGAATTATCTAGAAGGATTATCTAGATGGATAATCTAGAAGGATTATATAGAAGGATAATCTAGAAGGATTATATAGAGTTATTATCTAGAAAGATTATCTAGATGGATTATCTAGAAGGATAATCTAGAAGAATTATCTAGAAGGATAACATAATTGTGCTCTACACACACTGGAGTTCAGTCATACATTTTTCTTCTATTGCTGCACAGGGTCCAAGAATCAGCAGTGCTCATGTCAGGGTCAATGTCCAGTCAACATGTGACAATGTTGTCAAGGTCAAGGTCTAGTCAATGTATAACAATGTGGTCAAGGTCTAGTCAACATGTGACAATGTGGTCAAGGTCAAGGTCCAGTCAACTTGTGACAATGTTTTTGACCCTGACTTTAGTCCTGTCTTGTTGTGTTGGTCAGGGAACAACCTTTTCACTAAGTGAGCTCAGTCAGCTAGCAGGTAGGTTCAACTATTTCATAGCACACTAGACTAGTAAATACAGTAGATCAAATACTGACTAAAGAAGTAAAGAATGCCTAATTAAGTTGTACCGAAACCAGTAGATTGACCAATACTTAAAAAATGGGCTTGAAATTATAAGGGGTTACTTAAATACAATTTTTTGAAAACTATATAAAAATTAATTTTAACCCCAAAATGTGATCAGCTAAAAAACCAAATTCTACTTTCATCAAAAATGTTCATTTAATACATATACATTTGCCACACGTTATTTTTTCTTAATATGCTCAGTTGTTTTTTTTTTCAATTTTTTACAAATTAATATCTGAAGTATTTTAAATAATTTCGACATGTTTGGAACATAAAAGTAAGTACTAAAGAGCAAATCAGTGTTTGAAAACAATTTAGGTTTTCATGAAAATCTGAAAAAGCACCCACCGTTTTGAACTTTTTGACATTTTTAAAAAACACTTAGGCTTTTTTATCTATGCATTTTAAGCAATTAAATTTAGACTGGTTATATATGAGCATATTTTTTACTATAAACTTTTTTTTAGCGCAATTTCCATTCTGGAGAATTGCGTTTATTAACTCGTCATTTCTGGGAATGGATGGATGAATGAATGTATGAATGTATGGATGAATGTGTGTCCGCAGCTTTAAGTTGTATCTCCTCCTCAACGAAGCAATATCGAGGACTAGTTCCAAAAGCAATTTTGTTAAGCAAGTTACGAGGATGAACATAGGCCATAAAAATTCCGGGTTTCTTTCATGGATTTCCTGGAAAAGCCAAAAAACCTCGAAAAAATGCAGTTTTTGGCCCATATCTCGGCAACCAGACCACTTTGCGACTTGAAACATGTACCAATTGATTCCTGCCATAATTTAGAACAATATTGCCGAAGAAAGTTTTCAAAAATATCCTTTCGTTCGGTCAAAAAATTTTTTTGAATTAATTAAAATTTGGACCGAATTAGTAGGCATTTTATGCAACCACACCACACGCGTCATCACGTTCAATAGCTGCGCCATCACGTTCAATATCTGCGACATCACGTTCGGTAGCTAGGCGCGCAATGGTTTTTAGTCATGTTACTCTATTGTAAATAAAACATGTAAAATACTGAATTTTTTTTTAATAAAAAACGTTTTAATAACTAACCAATGATTTTACTAATCCTGCTCTTGATTTACGCTACGACAGAGCTATTTTTAGATAACATAAGGAAATTGCGCTAAAATTGTCACTAGACTTTTTTAATTACTTGTTTTCTGTGAAAGCCATCAAAATTCCCTCATGATAAAAGTTTTATTATAACTGTAAGAAAAAATACTGTAATATGGTGGGAATCGTATAATAAAAAAAAAAAACTAGGCTTTTAGTGTTTAAAAATGTAAACTGAGAAAAATAATAAAACTAATAAAAACAAGGTCAGAAAAAACACCAGTTCTGTGTTAAGCTAGTTGAGAGCTTTGTGTGTTTACAATTTGACGGAATTTATAATTATGAATACCAAACAAATACAGCTTTTCAATGATGCCAAATACAGTATGATGGCATATATCAAACATTTCATAGAGAACTTGTAATATTGGAAATATGATTTTTTTTTATATACATAGGGTCATAATTTTTTTTTTTAAACACAAACATTTTTTTTTTCTCATTTGGATTCTTATTTACTGAATTAAGAAGAATTGGACAAAGAATCCAAAAGTGCAAGAAACCCATTATGGAGAAAAATAAGAATTTCATGATTTATTTTTCTTGTGCATATCCAAAAAAGCTGCTTTGGAAAAAAAAATCCCTATATCACAGGCTATGTATTGATAGATTTTGTTACATTGACAGGAGTAGATCTCCCAACACTACTGTCTGGCAGTGACTACAAGCTTGTGGGAGAGGAAATAGAGTTGACCTGTGTACTCAATCAAAAGGCTTTGGACAACAATTTTACTTCTGGTGACATCTTTTTTATGCACTCTAACATGACAGTAAGGAAACCATTACACTTATGTTATTTTTTATGCACTCTACCACTACAGTAAGGAAATAATGATACAGCTGCCATTTCTAAGTGCTGGTGTAATAAAAAGTAAAGGCACATAATATGTGGATATGTTAGACACAAGTTTACTTCATAAATATTTTTAATTTTTTAATTTGATAAGCCTAATGTAGATTATAAATATTTGTTTAAATTTGAGCCACACTTCTCTGTAAGAAGAAATATACAAATAAAATGTAAATTACACTAAACAATTACGTTTTTTTTAAAGCTTGAATCACTACACTTTGTTTTATGCATTCAACTCATTGAAAATAGTAGCTGAAGTTCCTACACAAACATTGCTCACCACTCCTACTCAGAATTCTTTCAGAATTTTAAAATTAATTTTTTTTTAAAGTATTGTCGGGATAAGAAATAGAATGTGTAATAAGGCGGCATAACCTAATATATGACAGTCATGTGAAAAATATGACATAACCTAATATATGACAGTCATGTGAAAAATATGACATAACCTAATATATGACAGTCATGTGAAAAATATGAAAGAACCTAATATATGACAGTCATGTGAAAAAAATGACAGAACCTAATATATGACAGTCATGTGAAAAATATGACAGAACCTAATATATGGCAGTCATGTGAAAAATATGACAGAACCTAATATATGACAGTCATGTGAAAAATATGACAGAACCTAAAATATGACACAGTGTAATGTAAATGAAAGTTTGTCCACCTCCAACATTTTATTTAATTAACATTGTTGTTACACAGGGTAGAATGATGATAACACTATTTTTAAACTACGTTGATGAAAACTCTTCTTGAATCAGGCCTACAGCCAGCGCCAGTGTATTCCTCCAAGCTTTGTCCATATAGTCAACACAACAACATCAACTCTCAGACTTCCTAATGTCACTCTAGCTAATGCCGGAGAATATTCGTGTTATGTTGATACCCTGCCTTGTGGAGCTGGAAGACAATTGGAGATGATTGCTTCTACTGATGTTCAGGTTCAGTGTAAGTCTTTCAGTCAAGTTACATTCATCTTGTTTTTTATCACGCTAGATAGGCAGTCAATTTATATTGATATGTTTTTACCACACTGAATAGGCAATCAATTTATATAGATAAGTTTTATATCACACTAGATAGGCAATCAATTTATATTGATAAGTTTTTTATCACACTAAATAGGCAATCAATTTATATTGACACCCTATAGTAACATAAATGTACTCTTTTGAACCTGACGGTTCATAGGGCAGATGAAGTAGAGCTCACCTGTTTCAGTGATCTTTCATGTGATAGATACAACACATCCCCTTTATAGCACTTGTATATTGACAAGTTTCATGCTCCATATGATAGATGCCCCCCCCCCCCACTTATATATTGACAAGTTTCATGCTCCATATGATAGATGCCCCCCCCCCCACTTATATATTGACAAGTTTCATGCTCCATATGATAGATGCCCCCCCCCCACTTATATATTGACAAGTTTCATGCTCCATATGATAGATGCCCACCCCCCCCCCACTTATATATTGACAAGTTTCATGCTCCATATGATAGATGCCCCCCCCCCATATATTGACAAGCTTCATGCTCCATATGATAGATGCCCCCCCCCCTTGTATATTGACAAGTTTCATGCTCCATATGATAGATGCCCACCCCCCCCCCCCCCCCACTTATATATTGACAAGTTTCATGCTCCATATGATAGATGCCCCCCCCCCCCATATATTGACAAGTTTCATGCTCCATATGATAGATGGCCCCCCCCCCCCCCCACTTGTATATTGACAAGTTTCATGCTCCATATGATAGATGCCCCCCCCCACTTGTATATTGACAAGTTTCATGCTCCATATGATAGATCCCCCCGCCACTTGTATATTGACAAGTTTCATGCTCCATATGATAGATGCCCCCCCCTGTATATTGACAAGTTTCATGCTCCATATGATAGATGCCCCCCCCTGTATATTGACAAGTTTCATGCTCCATATGATAGATGCCCCCCTTGTATATTGACAAGTTTCATGCTCCATATGATAGATGCCCCCCCCCTTGTATATTGACAAGTTTCATGCTCCATATGATAGATGGCCCTCAGAACGTGACCAACATGAGATGTGTTGTGTATGAGATGGAAACAATGACTTGCACCTGGCAACATCCTGTCAGCTACAACATGAAAAACACAACTGTGTCTGTCTACTATAACTCAGATCCTTCCATGTAAGTTAACAAACACAATGCTCTCTAGGCCTATGTCATTAGTCTACTAGTTTCTCAATGATCTTTCTTAAAATTAAATGAGAATAAAACCTTTCAATTAACACACTTCTGAAGGCTCTAAATGCAAGAAAAGATTTCACATTTTCAGTTGCTTAAGTCTAATAATTTAAGTGACAACCATTTTATGGAAATAACTTACTCCAGAAATAATTAAAGAGACACATGTATGTCTCTTTGGGTCACATAGGCCCAGTATTGTAGGATCTAAGCTAAAATACTTTGCCTTTAAACCACCCATACTGTAGGATCTAAGCTAAAATACTTTGCCTTTAAACCACCCATACTGTAGGATCTACATTTATAATGCCATGTCCTTCCACAAATTGTTATAAGTCAAATGTTTATTTCCATCTAGACCATTTATAATGCCATGTCTCTCCACAGATTGTTATAAGTCAAATGTTTATTTCCATCTAGACCATTTATAATGCCATGTCCCTCCACAAATTGTTATAAGTCAAATGTTTATTTCCATCTAGACCATTTATAATGCCATGTCCCTCCACAAATTGTTATAAGTCAAATGTTTATTTCCATCTAGACCATTTATCATTCCATGTCCCTCCACAAATTGTTATAAGTCAAATGTTTATTTCCATCTAGACCATTTATAATGCCATGTCCCTCCACAAATTGTTATAAGTCAAATGTTTATTTCCATCTAGGCCCTCAAATATAGCTCCATGTCCCCAACTGAGTACTGATAGCTGTATATGGGATAGCAACACCTTTCGTTCAGTACCCTACCATATTGTGATCAATGTTACAAATATAGTCAGAAATTCTACGGCTAGCAGCCACTTTACAATTGATGTCAATCAAATACGTAAGTGACATGCTGTTCTAGTTTGAGTGTGTTATCAATTATTTCAACGTAACATTTATATATTAGAATACAAGTAAAATATTTCTACTTAATAACACCATTGTTTCAACAAACAAAGCCTATATTCACCATTATTGCCATAACAAGCAAGCTATTTGTTCCAGTAAAGCCTATATTCACCATTATTGCCATAACAAGCAAGCTATTTGTTCCAGTAAAGCCTATATTCACCATTATTGCCATAACAAGCAAGCTATTTGTTCCATTAAAGCCTATATTCACCATTATTGCCATAACAAGCAAGCTATTTATTCCAGTAAAGCTGGCCCCTGTGGAAGGTTTGACCCTCAGTCCATCTTCATCTCAAGACTGCTACACCTTGACCTGGACAAGTAAATCTTTGTTTACTTCAACATGTATAATCAAGCACACATCTAAGGGACACACAAACATAAAGGTATTTTTTTTTATTATGCAGTATGATCTATTTTCTTCATCATGTAAGTTTTGTCATCGTAACTAAAATAATCTAAAATGTTTATTTTGATTGTGCACAAAATATGAAATACTTTAGATTAACCCTAGGTTTAATTTCAGACACACGACTAATTCTGCTGCCATACATTCCATTTGAGCTCCTAAATATTTTGACCTAGTTTTAAACTAGATCTGTTTGTCCATGTTTAACCTGTGATTTTGTCCATGTTTAACCTGTGATTTTGTCCATGTTTAACCTGTGATTTTGTCCATGTTTGACCTGTTAGTCCATGCTTGACCTGTTAGTTTGTACATGTTTGACCTTTATACATGTGTATGTTTGACCCTTTAGTTTGTCCATGATAACTACAGATCAGACAGCAACTTCTAAGTTGCTATCATTTGAAAAGTTTGACTATCCAGTCAACATTCTGCCCTGTACTGCTGTCATAGCTGTATACTTTCCTTCCCTCTCTGATGGAAATATACTAATTTTGTTTGCCAGAAGAGATACATAAAAAACATTATAATAAGCTTTTATACAGTTATGCACTGAAAAGGAGAAAATAAATGTCTTTTAAAAAATATTTAATAATACACTACTTTTTAAATAACAGTTGAGAAAAGTGTGGGGCGCTTCTTAAATTTTAGCAAAGGTGTTCAATTGATAATGTAGTGACCCACTCTTTTCTTTACATTTATTAAAATAGTAAAGTATAATTAAATATTTTTAAAAAATCATTTATTTTCTCCTTTTTAGTGCATAATTACAAATTACATAATAGCTTGTTATTAAAACATCTTTTATGCAACTGAGTGAAAAAAAATGTACTTTACAATCACCAGGAAAATGTGGAGGCCAAAAGATTTGAATTCTGCGGTCTGAAACCTTATACCAGCCATAGTTTCTCTGTGAGTTGTACCCCCAGTGGACTTCATTCTGGTTTCCCAAGTGATCCAGCACTTTATGAATATACAACACCAGAGAAAGGTAAGGAGTTATCTACTCCTTGACATCTTTACTTTTTGTTTTGAATGATTCTTGTCATAATAACTCATATTAATCTTTAATAAAGAGGCAGTGATCTCCCCTATACATCCTCTTGCACTCTATTTAACAGTAAGGGGTCATCCATTTATGACGTCCACAATAATTTGGAATAAAAGAACCCTCCCCGTCCCATTCATATGCATACACTTACGATAAACACCCCCCTTCCATGTGGACATCTACAAAATTTAGAAGACCTCTCAAAACATGCTGCTAAACTACTAATACATTAACATTAAATGTTTCTGTCAATACCAAACAAAAACATTAAACATTTGACTTGGTATTTAAATTTATTACCAACAATATTTTTAAAATTGAAGATGCTGTAGACCGACCATTTTAATGTCTTTTATGGCTGTCTAGCTATTAATGACTATATGTGTTAGGGTAAATTCGGCTATATTACATTTACTCAACTTTACGCTACACGTGTTTCCGTAAAAAACCACACACACACACACACACACACCCACTTTTGTTGAAGTCGCTCTGACCATGAGCCCCACACACTTTACAATGCAAGCACATTATACACATGCTGTTATTTAAATATCTAATTGTAACGTGGTTAGTTTGAATTTTTTTTTTTACTTGAAAAAAAAATAACTAGATCTGCGTTAGAGTCTAGGATTAATTGTTTTTAAACTTATGCTTTAATTGTTTCAAATGTTTAAAAAATAAACTTGAAATACTGTGAAATGTTTTTAAACTTACGCTTTAATTGTTTCAAATGTTTAAAAAATAAATTTGAAATACTGTGAAATGTTTTTAAACTTATGCTTTAATTGTTTCAAATGTTTAAAAAATAAATTTGAAATACTGTGAAATGTTTTTAAACTTATGCTTTAATTGTTTCAAATGTTTAAAAAATAAATTTGAAATACTGTGAAATGTTTTTAAACTTATGCTTTAATTGTTTCAAATGTTTAAAAAATACTGTGAAGCGTTTTAGACAATTGCCACAGTCACTGCCCCCTACCCTTCCGATTGAAAAAAAAAATCTACTTTATTTTTTATAGGCAGGCAGCATACAGTTACATTTCTGATAAATTTATTCACCCGTTGTGCTCGGGATATTCAACACGACAACTGTCGATTTAATGTATACCTGCAGACCCCCCCCCCCCCTACACGCGTCCAAAAAAAGTCGATTTTTCCTAACCGGGCTGCGTGTACAAAAAAATTAAAAATTTTGTCCACCTAACATAAACCGTGCTTTAATATTTGGATTTTAAGAACATCAAGTAGCGTAATACCACTTCCAACTAATGGAAATCATTCAAAAGGGGATAGAAAATTACAATTTGATTTAATACTTGAATATGACATTTTGTCAACCTATTTTAAATCAAATGGTACATTGTGTTCATGTAGACAATAAAATTCACAAAACTAAGTTTTACCAGATCTGGAAGGATGTACGTCAGCATTAGTCAAAATCTCAATTCAGATTTTTTTATACGATAACTATACATCTTTTATATTTCGTATACAATTATGTAGGGAGGTGTAAAATGGAGAAAACTGTCAAAATGCTAATAATTCAGCACTTCTATTTTTCAGCATGATTTCAATATTTCCTCTATATTTATATAGAAGAAATTAAAATGTAATCTTCTGTAGAATGGGATTAGGGGGATGGGCGTGTTCAAATTTGTTTTCACATGCTATATAGGCCTACACACACACACACAGACATTTAGGATATATATATATATATATATATATATATATATATATATATATATATATATATATATATATATATATATATATATATACATATATATACTAGCTACATACACTTGCTCCACCAAGGTGAATCTTTTTTAAATGTACCAACATGGGAACAGAACAAAACGAAACACAAACACAAAAGAAATTCCAAACACACAAATACACATTGCAAACACAAACAATGCAAACACTAAAGCAAACTCAAATGCAACACATAAAGACATACACTAAAGAAAACACAAACACAAAAGAAAACGCTAACACAAACACAATGCAAACGCAAAAAAAACCCACAAATGAAAACGCGAATGCAATACCCAAACTCAAAGGGTAACAAAAATGCAAACATGAAAGAAAAATGGAGATGCTTTATCAATGGCTTTACCAAACAAATGGCTGTGTATTCCAATAATAATATTTTCACAGGCGTCCACGCAAGTTCACATTAACATTTTAAAAAATTTAAATAGCAATATTCAGTGTGAGTTGACTTTCTTTTTAATTTACGTCCTCTGGCAAAATGTATTAAAGATTTTAATGAATGAATTTGCTGGTAAACCATTTAGTTCTGCTGGCAGCTGTAACTGATATTTTTAACTTTCAGCCCCTGATGTGGGACCAAGCATTACAAATGGCAGTTATAATTCAGTGACATGCAACACAGGCAGGAAAAACATAACCGTTTATTGGAAGGTAAAATTGACCACATGTAGTTTATTTGTTTGTAAGCTAAAAGATAGAGTTACATTACACCTTTTCTTAAAGTTTGTAATCCTCAAAAATGTTTACATGGAGAGGGGGTTGGTGGTATGTACATAGGTATAAAGTGGGGTAGTGGTATGTACACAGGCATAAAAGGTGTAAAATTTATAGCTACCAACACTTTTTTAAATGCCATCTAGTTATATATATCCAACAAACTTATATATCTGTACTTCGCTACAATAATAGAAATGGCACAATGCTCTGATGGATGTCCTTGTGTATGCCTCCCTTTTGTGTGGATATGGATATTCCCTTATTCCTTGTGGCAGTAGGACTTTGGTGGGAATATGTTTATTTATGAAAATTAAACAAAAGTTTAAAAGGCGCAATGCTCTCAGAAACGTCTGCCCTAATTTCCCATTCCCCTATCCCAAGCACAAATTGATGCACATGTTTTTCTGGGTGTCCTCCCCCAAAGGTAGAGCCCTCTCCATGCACAAAATACAATCCTGAGACATTCACCTCTATTTCCCTCCTTCCTGACCTGTGATGTCATTTAATCCATTGAAACACATTTTACTTGTCCAGGGAGCACACTCCCCAGCTCCATGAGCTAAGGCAAAGTGGCTGTACTGATGACTGACTGACACACTCCCCAGCTCCATGAGCTAAGGCAAAGTGGCTGTACTGATGACTGACTGACACACTCCCCAGCTCCATGAGCTAAGGCAAAGTGGCTGTACTGATGACTGACTGACACACTACCCAGCTCCATGAGCTAAGGCAAAGTTGCTGTACTGATGACTGACTGACACACTACCCAGCTCCATGAGCTAAGGCAAAGTTGCTGTACTGATGACTGACTGACACACTACCAGCCGCCTAATATTATAGATATATGTATATATATATAATAGGATATATATCTTATTGTTGCCGATATTGCAGCTTGGATTTTTTTTAGAATAAATATAAAAGCTTTTTATTATAAAATATCAGGTTTTCATGATCAGATTTTTAGAAAGTCTGTTCTCTTTGCTTTCAGCAAGTTCCTGAGTTTGCCAGAAACGGAGTGATAAAAACCTATATTATTGATACTGGAAATATGACAGAAGAAGTCGATGCAGGAAAATTTGAAGCCACAGTTGAAACAGATTGTAATACTTCAGTCATCCAACTTTTTGCTGTTAATGGAGCAGGACTGTCTACAACTCCTTCAGTACTGCAAATCTCTAATTTAACTGGTCAGTTCATCTGAGTAATGTAGGTGAATCTAAGATAGCCCTGAGACGATGAATATGTTTGAATTAGAGAAGCAAATTAAAAATTGAAAAAAAAACCTAGCGTATGCCTACCACCTCCAAATAAATAAGCTGTGTTTTGTTTATAAAATAGAAATTAGGTATTAAAATTGGTATGTCGATTTTACATTCTGTGTTGTATTGAAAAACAAAATTAATTAATATTTTGAAAAATATAATTTATGCTTTTAAAACAACAATGTAATAAATCATTGGGGTTGAATTTAATTGCAGAAAAAGAACTTTTGGTGGATTAAATGCAATCCCTAATAAAAAAATATGTTTACAAAACTATTTAATTTTTAGTACCGCCAAATTTTGAGAAAATGTTTTCTGTTTTAAATTTTTTAGTGCCACCAAATGTTGAGAAAACTTTTTCTGTGTTTTAATTTTTTTTAGTGCCACCAAATGTTGAGAAAACTTTTTCTGTGTTTTAATTTTTTTTAGTGCCACCAAATGTTGAGAAAACTTTTTCTGTGTTTTAATTTTTTAGTGCCACCAAATGTTGAGAAAACTTTTTCTGTGTTTTAATTTTTTTTAGTGCCACAAGATATTGAGAAAACTTTTTCTGTGTTATAAATTTTTTAGTGCCACCAAATGTTGAGAAAACATTTTCTGTATTCCGAAACGATGAGAACAAGACATTTCAAGCTGTGTGGGAGTCCAAGAAGGACAATTCTACCTACATCATATTTTGGTGTTTTAGAACTAGCACTTCAGCAAGTTGCCAGGTAAACGTTATTGCCAGAACAGCTAAAAGTATGTTACAAGTTTGGTGCGTAAAAAAATTTGTTTAGTTTGAAACATAGTGCAGGGCTCGGCTGTAGGAATATAGTCAGGGGGGGGGGGGGGGGGGGGGGTCAGAGAATTTTTTTTTCAAAAAGATCAGTTTAGCCAAACCTTTAATAGAAGAACTTGAATTAACTTTGGCATGATGTTTTCTAATTAGATCACGGGTTCCCAACCTGGGGGTCGCGACCCCCTTGGGGGTCGCGGAGGTCTTTCTGGGGGGTCGCCAACGGGTATTCTAAACCTTAGTAATTTGAAACAAAACATAAATATTTAGAAGAATTTTTGAAATTCGGCTTCATTAACATCACTGGAAATGTAATAGAGAAGGAACAAAGCGCACTGTACAAAGTTGTTCTCAGTCACGAATCTATGAAATCTTCAAAACTAAAACGCCATTTGAGACGAGTCATTCGGAACACACCAAAAATATATGGAGTTCTTTCGTCGGTAAGAAGCTAGTTGCAAACGCAAAAGACTTGATCGAACAGGAATTTTTCACCAGCATTAGTGCAAGCATCAAATGAAGTCGCGATAGAAAATGCCAAGCAAAAAAAAAAAAAACAATTGGAGAAAATCTCATCAAATGCTGCATGTACGTAGATGTTAAATAACACATTGTTATCGAAATTAAGCTTTCACCATTGTTTGCTTTTCAAGTTGATAAATCAACAGACGTGAGTTCGTGTTCGCAGTTGCTGGTCTGTGTCTATATTCATGCGGATGATAGCAAAGAAGAGTTGCTCTTTTGTGAAGATAGCATGGAGAAAATAAATACCTTTTTTGAAACTGGATGATTAAAATGGGTTAGAACGGCTGTGGGGGTTTGTACGGATAGTGCGCCATCTATGTTTAGCTCAAAATCGGGCTTTCAGAAAACAGAAAAGATTTAGCTCCCTAACCACTGCCCTAACCAATCGACATCAAGAGTCCATTGCTAGTATAAGTCGTAAATGATATAAAATCTGGAGCCTTCAAAGAACTGAGCAAAAACATTAATATAGATCACGAGATTCTGCTCTTCTACACTACAGTACGCTGGCTGTCAAACCAAATGTTGTAAATTGTGTTTTTGAATTGAAATCTGAAATCAAATTGTTCTTGGAAGTGCAAAGGAAACAAGAGTTTTTGGTATACTTAAAACGACATAGAGTGGTTGGAGAGAGTATCATACCTAGCAGATGTGTTCGAACATCAAGATAAGCTTAACCTTAAGCTTCAGGAAAAATGAACGAATATTATAACTTTCCAAGATAATCTCGGGGCATTTTTATCAAAGCTGCAAAATTGGTAAAGAAAATAAATCTTGGAAATATTGTAAATTTGAGAAATTCTGCCGTGTGGTAATGAATCTGATTGTGAGATAATTAAAATTTTGAAAGAAGCGATTTCTGGGCATCTAGAATCTCTTGAAAACGAACTGCATCGCTATTTCTCTGAGCTGAAAAAAGAAGAATCTGCATTTACGCATTACTCATTCTCTTCTTCCCTTGATGTTGCCAGTATTCCCGATGAATTACAAGATGAATTTTTTTATTTGCAGAATGATTCCGAGTAAGATGAAAAACTGCAGACACAATTTTGGTGTAGTATTCACCATTCATACCCAAACGTAAAATTGATTGACTTTTCGAGAATATATTTTCAACACTGTTCTTCGATTAAAAACAAAATTAAGATATTAAAATGACATAGGTTGGCGTTAACAAAGGTTTAGTGAATAGTATGCAATTTTACTCATGCTATTAAAATAGTTATCAAGAGTAGTTCATATTGAAAGTCTACTAGAAAATCTTATTTTAGTGCGTATTGATTTCCATACTAATTTCGGCTTTTTAATTCTATGGGGGTCGCGGGTCACTTACTTTTTATAAAAGGGGGTCGCCACTCGAAAAAGGTTGGGAACCACTGAATTAGATGTTTGTTTTCTAGATACAGTCTGAGCTCTATTTTTAAAAATGCCTATTAGAGCAATATAATTTAGTTGTGGTCCATACCTTGTTTGTTGAAAATATAAGTAGGCATAGAACTAGCTATCCCATCTTTGGCTCAATCATGGAATGTCATGTGCCACCATGTCAATATTGTAGGGTGCTTTTTAAAACAAACGTATGTGCCATAGTGCTGACAGGATAGCCAGGGGCACCAAATCCCCCTGTCAGGCATGCCTGATTTAATAAACGACTATAATGCCCCATCTAAATCCATAGCTTATCGCACTCTTTAAAATGAACATATGCACATTAGCCCTCATAGGAAAGCTTGGGGAGCCAGTGCGAAATTTGAAATTTTTTCCCTCTGTAGTATTCTTATCAACTCATCAAAGATTCATGGCCATGGGATAAACTGTTTCATGCCACATTTGACATTTTTTTAAAATACCATATACAAATAAGAATCACACTGCACCCTGCTGGGGCGTCACCCTTGCAAAATTGAAAACAAATTTCCACAGAAACCTCCCCTGGAGTATTCTCAACATCTTTACAATTTTTCATGGCGATCATATGAAAGGTGTTGTAATGCATAAAAGGACAAAACAAACCCACATTCTTTCATTTTTATTTTCTCGTATAGAGGAAGTATTGTAATCACATGAAATTTGGACAGTTTTCACAGTTTTACACCTCAGTACTTTATAATATACAGAGTAAAGGGGACTTATTTTAATTGGGTAAAAATACTAAATCCAGATTTATCAAAATCTCGTCATTTTATGTGCAATTGAGTCGGAAAAACTGGGCTTTGCAATTTTCGCCGTTTGTGTGTGTGTGTCTGTGAACACGATAACTTGAGTACCATTAAGCTAGGCTGATGAATTTCCAATGACCAGAAGTAGTGCATTACTATATATCAGATTTCTCAAAAAATTTATATTTATAAAGTACACTATTATACACATCTGCTCATTTGGTGCGAAATTCTTTTTTCTGCAAGATTCTATTCTATTTTAAAAAGTCGAAGTATTAAAAAATTCATTAAGAATCATATCCAAATCCCAAGTTGCAATCCCCGAAGCAAGAATAATTCAAGAAAGTTTAGGAGAGATGACTGTCGCTTTATTATATATAGATTACAATTAAACAATCAAGCTAAAATAATATTTGTATTTGCTTCCACAGAGTGAAATGTTTTGGTCTCTAGTTCCTGCATCCCTGTCAGATGTGGAGATTCCAGAACCAAATCTCAGCCCCTTGATTCGTGTGGGCATTTCAGTTTTTGATGGAAGACAAGCTTCTGGAATTTTCTGGGCTGAATGTTCATACATACAAAATCCAAGTAAGTTTTTACATCTGACTATCACTCAAATAAACACATCTTGAGAAAACCTAATACAATTAAATCTAAAAGATGCAAATAACTTACTGCCAGAAAACCTGACTGCTAACCCCCCTCCCCACCACCAAGTGATGTGTACCTTCTGTTACCCCCAGATACAGTACCTGCCCCAGTAAACCTGGTTGCCACCCCCCTCCCCACCCACCCCCTCCCCACCACCAAGTGATGTGTACCTTCTGTTACCCCCAGATACAGTACCTGCCCCAGTAAACCTGGTTGCCATCCCCCTCCCCACCACCAAGTGATGTGTACCTTCTGTTACCCCCAGATACAGTACCTGCCCCAGTAAACCTGGTTGCCACCCTCCCCTCCCCACCACCAAGTGATGTGTACCTTCTGTTACCCCCAGACACAGTACCTGCCCCAGTAAACCTGACTGCCACCTCCCCTCCCCACCACCAAGTGATGTGTACCTTCTGTTACCCCTAGACACAGTACCTGCCCCAGTAAACCTAACTGCCACCCCCCCTTCCCACCACCAAGTGATGTGTACCTTCTGTTACCCCTAGACACAGTACCTTCCCCAGTAAACCTGACTGCCACCCCCCTCCCCACCACCAAGTGATGTGTACCTTCTGTTACCCCCAGACACAGTACCTGCCCCAGTAAACCTGGTTGCCATCCCCCTCCCCACCACCAAGTGATGTGTACCTTCTGTTACCCCCAGATACAGTACCTGCCCCAGTAAACCTGGTTGCCACCCTCCCCTCCCCACCACCAAGTGATGTGTACCTTCTGTTACCCCCAGACACAGTACCTGCCCCAGTAAACCTGGCTGCCACCCCCCTCCCCACCACCAAGTGATGTGTACCTTCTGTTACCCCCAGATACAGTACCTGCCCCAGTAAACCTGGTCGCCATCCCCAAACAGAGCTCAGCCCTTTTATACTGGAACCCTGCTGGCTGTGAAGAAAACGCCGTCAAAGTGACAGAATATGTAGTCAAGTACAGGAAAGATGGTGGAAGTGAGTTTTCTTTAATAGCAAGTTCAAATAGTTTGTGTTTTTTTTTCTATGAGTTAACTCAATATGGGCTTATATCTATTACTGAGTTGTGTTGTTACACTTAACGACCCTTGTTATGAATGTTGTGTTTAAATGTTTGGCATCAACTTGGGACAGACAGAACTGTACCATATTTTCTAATCTCTAGAGGCTAATGACTACAGCACACAGACTGTACCATATTTTCTAATCTCTAGAGGCCAATGACTACAGCACACAGACTGTACCATATTTTCTAATCTCTAGAGGCCAATGACTACAGCACACAGACTGTACCATATTTTCTAATCTCTAGAGGCTAATGACTACAGCACACAGACTGTACCATATTTTCTAATCTCTAGAGGCCAATGACTACAACACACAGACTGTACCATATTTTCTAATCTCTAGAGGCCAATGACTACAGCACACAGACTGTACCATATTTTCTAGGCCAATGACTACAGCACACAGACTGTACCATATTTTCTAATCTCTAGTGGCCAATGACTACAGCACACAGACTGTACCATATTTTCTAATCTCTAGAGGCCAATGACTACAGCACACAGACTGTACCATATTTTCTAATCTCTAGAGGCCAATGACTACAGCACACAGACTGTACCATATTTTCTAATCTCTAGTGGCCAATGACTACAGCACACAGACTGTACCATATTTTCTAATCTCTAGAGGCTAATGACTACAGTACACAGACTGTACCATATTTTCTAATCTCTAGAGGCCAATGACTACAGCACACAGACTGTACCATATTTTCTAATCTCTAGTGGCCAATGACTACAGCACACAGACTGTACCATATTTTCTAATCTCTAGAGGCCAATGACTACAGTACACAGACTGTACCATATTTTCTAATCTCTAGAGGCCAATGGCTACAGCACACAGACTGTACCATATTTTCTAATCTCTAGAGGCCAATAACTACATCACACAGACTGTACCATATTTTCTAATCTCTAGAGGCCAATGACTACAGCACACAGACTGTACCAGGAGACTGGAACAATTTTGAGCTGTCTGACCTAGAGACAGACATAAATTACACCATCAGGGTTCAGAGTGTATCCAACAGCAAGCCTGGAGAGGAGGCTGTTACATCAGTCAAAATCAGCCCACCAGGTTGGTGTTAGACTAGATAGATTTGTATCTTAGGGCTGTTACATCAGTCAAAATCAGCCCACCAGGTTGGTGTTAGACTAGATAGATGTGTATCTTAGGGCTGTAACTAAGGGTGGTCTAGCTGCAATCATATCTTGTTGATAGGCATTTAGCACTGAGGTGTTTGTACATCTGCATCAAGTGGTATTATTGTCCTATTTACAGCTAAACTTCAATAATCTAGACTATATTGTTGTTTTACTTACAGCTAAACTTCAATCATCTAGGCTATATTGTTGTTCTACTTACAGCTAAACTTCAATCATCTAGGCCAGGGGTCTCCAAACTTTTCAGCCAGAGGGCCGCATTAACTATCAAATATTAGTTCGGGGGCCAGAGTTTCTTCAAGACATCTCTTCGGGGTGGTAGCACCCCCCCCCCCCCCCATCCCGAAGAACTTGAACCGTCCCCCCCCTTAAAGAAATATAATTTATATAGAAATATATACAAATTTCAATTGTCCCCTCCCCCCCCCCCCCCCCCCAGGAGAAAAAAGTCTGAAAGAAACACTGTCGGTGGACAACAACACTCGAGGTCCAAGTTTGCTCTCAAATTATTCTTCACGTGTTTCAATCTTGAAAATATTTGTTCACACAGGTATCTTGCTCCAAAATTTGAAAGGTACTTTGATGCAAAAGTTTTAATATTAGGAAAATATTCCTTCTGCAAAAAACTTATAAAAAACCACCCGCTCTTCTTTGAACGTGTCTCTAATGACCTCCAGCTGCAGTTCATCTTTCCAACTGGCCACATTTGCTTCAAATGGGTTCTGAAACGGTTTCACTTTTTCTGCCTTTGAATCCAAGTCAGAAAACCGCTACTGAAACTGCAGCTTGAAGTCTTTGATGATCTCGTATGCAAATGACGTGGGGAACTCAGTGGTTGCTTCAGCCGTAAAGACCTTGCAATACTGAGAGTGAGTCAAGTTCTTGGCTTGTACTTGTTCCAAAAACATGACAAGTTTGGATCTGAAAGCCTTTAGGGGGGGGGTGTATAGATCAGAAAATGAATGTCCATCTCTTGAAGTTTTAGGTTCAGAAAATTTAAATGACTATTTATGTTTGCAGCAGAGGCTAATTTCTATACCCACTCTTCATCAGACAGTAAGTACATCAGCTTGTGGCTTGACTTTACTTTCAAGGAAGTCACCTTTTCCTTTTTTAACTTAAATACTCTGCTCAAATAAATTTCTCGGTAAATAAGCCATCTTACTGCTGTGAAATATGGTTAAATCTTGCGGTTCTGTGATTTTATCTTTTAACATGTCTCTGAACTATCTATATCCTCTCCGGTAACAGTGCCATACATTCTATGTAGGGAAGCCAGCTCTTGTGTTATGTTCATCTTTTCATCTACACCTCTAATGAACATAAGCTGTTGAGGTGTGGAACAGCTGTCCAGCAACTGATCCATTACAATTAAAAAATTGCCAAACTTGCTTGCATTTTCGCTATTTGAGTCACGATGTTTTATTCAATGTCTGCAACACGGCGGGCAATGGTATTTGCAAAGCTACATTTTCACATTGTTTTGAATTTTCTGGGCATAGTTTCTCAGCCACCTCTAACAAACATTTATTCCGTGGACAAAAAGATCGCTGCGGGCCGGATGAGAGGACCTCGCGGGCCGTAGTTTGGAGACCCCTGATCTAGGCTATATTGTTGTTCTACTTACAGCTAAACTTCAATCATCTAGGCTATATTGTTGTTTTACTTACAGCTAAACTTCAATCATCTAGGCTATATTGTTGTTTTACTTATAACTAAACTTCAATCAACTAGACCATATTGTTGTTTTACTTACAGCTAAACTTCAATCATCTAGGCTATATTGTTGTTCTGAAAACCTCAAGAAAGTAATTTTTTATCCTTTACAGATGACAGTTCGATAAAAGTCATCATAGTCTCTGTTATTGTCCCTGTTTCTGTCATTTTATTGGGAGTGCTGGCCTTTTATTGTGTGAGGTAAGTTTTTCTCATTTTATTGGTAGTGCTGGTCATTTATTGTGTGAGGTAAGTTTTTCTCATTTTATTGGTAGTGCTGGTCATTTATTGTGTGAGGTAAGTTTTTCTCATTTTATTGGTAGTGCTGGTCATTTATTGTGTGAGGTAAGTTTTTCTCATTTTATTGGTAGTGCTGGTCATTTATTGTGTGAGGTAAGTTTTTCTCATTTTATTGGTAGTGCTGGTCATTTATTGTGTGAGGTAAGTTTTTCTCATTTTATTGGTAGTGCTGGTCATTTATTGTGTGAGGTAAGTTTTTCTCATTTTATTGGTAGTGCTGGTCATTTATTGTGTGAGGTAAGTTTTTCTCATTTTATTGGTAGTGCTGGTCATTTATTGTGTGAGGTAAGTTTTTCTCATTTTATTGGTAGTGCTGGTCATTTATTGTGTGAGGTAAGTTTTTCTCATTTTATTGGTAGTGCTGGTCATTTATTGTGTGAGGTAAGTTTTTCTCATTTTATTGGTAGTGCTGGTCATTTATTGTGTGAGGTAAGTTTTTCTCATTTTATTGGTAGTGCTGGTCATTTATTGTGTGAGGTAAGTTTTTCTCATTTTATTGGTAGTGCTGGTCATTTATTGTGTGAGGTAAGTTTTTCTCATTTTATTGGTAGTGCTGGTCATTTACTGTGTGAGGTAAGTTTTTCTCTCCAGGTTAACCATGTCTGTAACATGTGCCAAGATTGTGTGTGTTGTGTCATTGTGTGTGTTGTGTCATTGTGTGTGTTGTGTCATTGTGTGTTATGTCATTGTGTGTTGTGTCATTGTGTGTTGTGTCATTGTATGTGTTGTGTCATTGTGTGTTGTGTCATTGTGTGTTGTGTCATTGTGTGTTGCATCATTGTGTGTTGCATCATTGTGTATTGCATCATTGTGTGTTGTGTCATTGTATGTGTTGTGTCATTGTGTGTTGTGTCATTGTGTGTTGCATCATTGTGTAATTGAGTTAAAATGTCTTGACACATTTTGTTTTTGCATCTTTAAAATGTCTAGATGACAAATTTTTAAATTTAAAATATCTAGATGACAAATTTTTAAATTTAAAATGTCTAGATGACAAATTTTTAAATTTAAAATGTCTAGATGACAAATTTTTAAATTTAAAATGTCTAGATGACAAATTTTTAAATTTAAAATGTCTAGATGACAAATTTTTAAATTTAAAATGTCTAGATGACAAATTTTTAAAATGTATTTCTTTAAAAGTCTTGACAAATTATGAACCTCTTATGAATCTTTCTGTTTTGGCTGTGTGTTGTAGTCTTTTAATAAATCTGATCTGTTGTGTTCACAGAAAGACTTTACAATCAAGGGCAAAGTTTAAAGATTTATCTAGCAACCCCTCATTGGTAAGTCTATTTATAGTCACCAGCTTCCTCCTGATCTGTCTGGTGGATGTCATAGGCTGGGTGGTCAGGTTCCCATTAGAGTTGGGTGGACTAGAGTCAGGTATCCATTAGAGCTGGGCGGACTCAGGTACCCATTAGAGTTGGGTGGACTAGAGTCAGGTACCCATTAGAGCTGGGTGGACTCAGGTACCCATTAGAGCTGGGCGGACTCAGGTACCCATTAGAGTTGGGTGGACTAGAGTCAGGTACCCATTAGAGCTGGGTGGACTAGAGCCAGGTACCCATTAGAGCTGGGTGGACTCAGGTACCCATTAGAGCTGGGTGGACTCGGGTACCCATTAGAGTTGGGTGGACTAGAGTCAGGTACCCATTAGAGCTGGGTGGACTAGAGCCAGGTACCCATTAGAGCTGGGTGGACTCAGGTACCCATTAGAGCTGGGTGGACTCGGGTACCCATTAGAGTTGGGTGGACTAGAGCCAGGTACCCATTAGAGATGGGCGGACTCAGGTACCCATTAGAGTTGGGTGGACTAGAGTCAGGTACCCATTAGAGCTGGGTGGACTCAGGTACCCATTAGAGCTGGGTGGACTCAGGTACCCATTAGAGCTGGGCGGACTCAGGTACCCATTAGAGTTGGGTGGACTAGAGTCAGGTACCCATTAGAGCTGGGTGGACTCAGGTACCCATTAGAGCTGGGTGGACTCAGGTACCCATTAGAGCTGGGTGGACTCGGGTACCCATTAGAGTTGGGTGGACTAGAGCCAGGTACCCATTAGAGATGGGTGGACTCAGGTACCCATTAGAGCTGGGTGGACTCTGGTACCCATTAGAGCTGGGTGGACTCGGGTACCCATTAGAGTTGGGTGGACTCGGGTACCCATTAGAGCTGGGTGGACTCGGGTACCCATTAGAGTTGGGTGGACTAGAGCCAGGTACCCATTAGAGATGGGTGGACTCAGGTACCCATCAGATCTAGGTGGACTAGTTTCAGGTACCAATTAAAGCTGGGTGGACTCAAGGACCAGAGTCAGGTACCCATTAGAGCTGGGTTAACTCAAGGACTAGAGTCAGGTACCCATCAGTGCTGGGTGGACTAGAGTCAGGTACCCATCAGAGCTGGGTGGACTAGAGTCAGGTACCCATTAGAGCTGGGTGGACTCAAGGACCAGAGTCAGGTACCCATTAGAGCTGGGTGGACTCAAGGATGTCCTACTGACTTAAGCCTGAGATCAGAGCTTAAAACATTGGCTTAGGTGTCATTTGTTCTACATCACCACCACGCCATCAATTTGTTCTACATCACCACCACGCCATCCATTTGTTCTACATCACCACCACGCCATCCATTTGTTCTACATCACCAACCACGCCATCCATTTGTTCTACATCACCACCACGCCATCCATTTGTTCTACATCACCAACCACGCCATCCATTTGTTCTACATCACCAACCACGCCATCCATTTGTTCTACATCACCAACCACGCCATTCATTTGTTCTGATAAAGGTTCCTATTAGGTGAAAATCAATCAACAAAAATTTTGTTGTATGAATATGAGCTATACATGTCTGTATGTCCAGCCTGTCCTGTCTGTCTTTCTGTCTGGTCTGTCAGTCCGTCCGTCGGTGTTTCTGTCTGGTCTGTCTGTCCTGTCTGTCTGTCTGGTCTGTCTGTCTGTCAGTCCGTCCGTCGGTGTTTGTGTCTGTCTGTCTGGTCTGTCTGTCTGTTCGTCTGTCCGTCCGTCTGTGTTTCTGTCTGTCTGTCTGGTCTGTCTGTCTGTCGTCTGTTTGTGTCTGTCTGTCTGTCTGTGTTTGTGTCCTGTCTGTCTGTCTGTCTGTCTGTCTGTCCGTCTGTCTGTGTCTGGTCTGTCTGTCTGTCTGGTCTGTCTGTCTGTCTGTCTGTCCGTCTGTCTGTGTTTGTGTCTTTCTGTCTGTCTGTCTGTGTTTGTGTCTGTGTGTCTGTCTGATAATGCCTTGATTGGTTTCTGCCAACCTCAGGAAGTTGATGAAGGTGTAGCTCTGAGATCTGTCAGTACTGAGTCATCCAGCACATCAGACCAAGCCACACACAGCACAGCTCAACTTATCCAGCAGTCTGTCAGACAAGGTATCCAGCAGTCTGTCAGACAAGGTATCCAGCAGTCTGTCAGACAAGGTATCCAGCAGTCTGTCAGACAAGGTATCCAGCAGTCTGTCAGACAAGGTATCCAGCAGTCTGTCAGACAAGGTATCCAGCAGTCTGTCAGACAAGGTATCCAGCCGTCTAGCAGAGCTCAGCTCATACAGAATCAGGCATACAACCCAGTCCAGACCAACAGTTCATCCCCTACACATTCCTTCAGACTGGTGACAGCTAACAACCATTTCATTGAGCCCATTGAATCCATTGAATCCATTCCTCCCATTGAATCCATTCCTCCCATTGAATCCATTCCTCCCATTGAATCCATTCCTCCCATTGAATCCATTCCTCCCATTGAATCCATTCCTCCCACTCAATCCATTCCACATCCAGTCCAGGATTCTGATAATCCAAACAGTTCTTCGGGTGCTGACATGGAGCAATATTTGAAAATGTACACCAAACCAGACACTAGCCAGGAATCTGCTGGCCCACAAACACATGTCAACACTGCTCCACCTGCTCCAGCTGTCCATGTGGTCATGCATGTGGCAGCTGGTGCGTTACCTCATGGACCAGCTACAGCTGAATGTGAAGATTACATGCACATAACAATGGAGGATGTGGACAGATCTCTGGATGTCACTGACCTCTCAGCCATCTCACCACCTGTTGTTGGACATACAGCACAGGTGACATCAGCACAGGTGACATCAGCACAGGTGACATCAGGACAGGTGACATCAGCACAGGTGTCATCAGCACAGGTGACATCAGGACAGGTGACATCAGCACAGGTGACATCAGGACAGGTGTCATCAGCACAGGTGACATCAGGACAGGTGACATCAGCACAGGTGACATCAGGACAGGTGTCATCAGCACAGGTGACATCAGGACAGGTGACATCAGGACAGGTGACATCAGCACAGGTGTCATCAGCACAGGTGACATCAGGACAGGTGACATCAGCACAGGTGACATCAGGACAGGTGTCATCAGCACAGGTGACATCAGGACAGGTGTCATCAGCACAGGTGACATCAGGACAGGTGACATCAGCACAGGTGACACCAGGACAGGTGACAGCACAGGTGTCATCAGCACAGATGTCAATGCAGTCATTATCTAACCCCAGCATATCACCTACACAATTGCAACCATCAGACAACCTGTATGTTGCTCTATTACCAGCACTACCATCAGACCCACAAAACATAACAAACAGACCCCCAGTTATAGACCCACAAAACATAACAAACAGACCCCCAGTAATAGACCCACAAAACATAACAAACAGACCCCCAGTTATAGACCCACAAAACATAACAAACAGACCCCCAGTAATAGACCCACAAAACATAACAAACAGACCCCCAGTTATAGACCCACAAAACATAACAAACAGACCCCCAGTTATAGACCCACAAAACATAACAAACAGACCCCCAGACCCACAAAACATTACAAACAGACCCCCAGTAATAGACCCACAAAACATAACAAACAGACCCCCAGTTATAGACCCACAAGACATAACCCACAGACCCCCAGTAATAGACCCACAAAACATAACAAACAGACCCCCAGTTATAGACCCACAAAACATAACAAACAGACCCCCAGACCCACAAAACATAACAAACAGACCCCCAGTAATAGACCCACAAAACATAACACACAGACCCCCAGTAATAGACCCACAAGACATAACCCACAGACCCCCAGACCCACAAAACATAACCCAAGGACCCCTAGCTTTAGACCACCCTGATTATCTGCCCATTCCCCCTACTGGGTTTGTAAATCAAGGGCAACAAGCAGCCAACTCTTCTGATAGTTTCAACTCTTTCCATTCCTCTACAGACTCATCAGTTAGCTCCTTTGGTCATTTGGATTATGTGTGAAGGTTTTTTCTTATATAAATCAATGGTACATGATCATTTTATTTATTTGTGAAATGTTTGGTACATCTATCAATTGTACATGGTTATTATAACTGTTTGTGTAATATTGGTACATCTATCAATTGTACATGATCATTTTAACTATTTGTGAAGTTTTTTTGTTAGATAAATCAATTGTATATGATCATTTTTTACGCATTTTTACTGAGTCAAACAAAAGTCATTTATCTACATGATTAATACAACTGAATTCATGTTTTTACATTTACAAGAATTGAACATTGAAAGGACATGTGTTTCTATACATGCAGTTTCTTGCTAGAATGTTCACACTTTGCGATGCCTTTGTTGTTGTATATTTTCTTGTTGGTTTTACACATATCACTCTGTGCAATATTTATTTGTAGATCAGATTCATGAGCTAGTCATCATTTCAATATTTTACATCCAGTTCATCACAAAACAGGTTTCTTTCATCCACTGGTGCTAAAGTGGGCGGAATATTGATTGCATCTAGTCCATCACAAAGGTGGTTTATGAACTCACTGAATCATTGTAATGTTAATTTTACTGTTGAAAGTTTACTTTGTGGTTTGTGAATACTTTCTTAATGAGTGTTTTTATGGAAGAATGGAATGTCCATTGAATATGATGGGGAGGGGTAGGATGATGTGTGCTTGATCTTCTATCTAAACCAGCCTGGGGTAGGATGATGTGAGCTTGATCTTCTATCTAAACCAGCCTGTGTATTCTTACAGCTGCCTGGTTTCCTTCAGACTACTGATGAAAATTAAACCTTGACCTTCAGACTACTGATGAAAATTAAACCTTGACCTTCAGACTAATGATAAAAATTAAACCTTGACCTTCAGACAGCTGATGAAAATTAAACCTTGACCTTCAGACAGCTGATGAAAATTAAACCTTGACCTTCAGACTACTGATGAAAATTAAACCTTGACCTTCAGACTACTGATGAAAATTAAACCTTGACCTTCAGACAGCTGATGAAAATTAAACCTTGACCTTCAGACTATTGATGAAAATTAAACCTTGACCTTCAGACAGCTGATGAAAATTAAACCTTGACCTTCAGACTACTGATGAAAATTAAACCTTGACCTTCAGACAGCTGATGAAAATTAAACCTTGACCTTCAGACTACTGATGAAAATTAAACCTTGACCTTCAGACAGCTGATGAAAATTAAACCTTGACCTTCAGACTACTGATGAAAATTAAACCTTGACCTTCAGACAGCTGATGAAAATTAAACCTTGACCTTCAGACTACTGATGAAAATTAAACCTTGACCTTCAGACTACTGATGAAAATTAAACCTTGACCTTCAGACTACTGATGAAAATTAAACCTTGACCTTCAGACAGCTGATGAAAATTAAACCTTGACCTTCAGACTACTGATGAAAATTAAACCTTGACCTTCAGACAGCTGATGAAAATTAAACCTTGACCTTCAGACTACTGGTGAAAATTAAACCTTGACCTTCAGACAGCTGATGAAAATTAAACCTTGACCTTCAGACTACTGATGAAAATTAAACCTTGACCTTCAGACAGCTGATGAAAATTAAACCTTGACCTTCAGACTACTGATGAAAATTAAACCTTGACCTTCAGACAGCTGATGAAAATTAAACCTTGACCTTCAGACAGCTGATGAAAATTAAACCTTGACCTTCAGACAGCTGATGAAAATTAAACCTTGACCTTCAGACTACTGATGAAAATTAAACCTTGACCTTCAGACTACTGATGAAAATTAAACCTTGACCTTATCTTACATACAAGTCAACTTTGACTCTAGATTGTTGTACAAAGATAATTTGATAAAACAATTTTTCAAATATTGATCAAAGTTTGGTTACCCATCTATATTTATCAACCTTGGGTTACCCATCTATTTATCAATGTTGGGTTACCCATCTATTATTTATCAACGTTGGGTTACCCATCTATTTATCAACGTTGGGTTACCCATCTATTTATCAATGTTGGGTTACCCATCTATTTATCAACCTTGGGTTACCCATCTATTTATCAACGTTGGGTTACCCATCTATTTATCAACGTTGGGTTACCCATCTATTTATCAATGTTGGGTTACCCATCTATTACTGATTAACGTTGGGTTACCCATCTATTATTTATCAACCTTGTGTTACCCATCTATTATTGATATCAGCTGTGCCTCACACTTTTCTATGCTCATTTAAAGTGCTTTTTTCTCATGTAAAAACAACTAGCCTCAGTCCATTTTTTGACCGCAGCAAATATTCCTTGGTTTATGATAGGCTACACTATGTGTGAAGACACAAAGATGAATCTCAGCTATTTTCCTATTTAATGTTGTATTTTTTTACCTTTGTTATTTCCCCTGATATAAATTATTCATCTGCTTACTGCTCATCAGTGCCATAGAAACTAATAAAAACATTTCACACCATCAAAACTATTTTTTTATTTTCAAATCTGGTCAAATTTTCTGGTACAAGAGTATTTTATTTTTTGTGAGGGCTACCTTGTGGAGTGAGGGCTACCTTGTGGAGTGAGGGCTACCTAGTGGAGTGAGGGCTACCTAGTGGAGAGAGGGTTACCTTGTGGAGTGAGGGCTACCTAGTGGAATGAGGGCTACCTAGTGGAGAGAGGGTTACCTTGTGGAGTGAGGGCTACCTAGTGGAGTGAGGGCTACCTTGTGGAGTGAGGGCTACCTAGTGGAGTGAGGGCTACCTAGTGGAGAGAGGGTTACCTTGTGGAGTGAGGGCTACCTTGTGGAGTGAGGGCTACCTTGTGGAGTGAGGGCTACCTTGTGGAGTGAGGGCTACCTAGTGGAGTGAGGGCTACCTAGTGGAGAGAGGGTTACCTTGTGGAGAGAGGGTTACCTAGTGGAATGAGGGCTACCTTGTGGAGTGAGGGCTACCTTGTGGAGTGAGGGCTACCCATTAGTTTCAACATTGTTGGGGGTGACAAGTTCTGACGATGAGAGGACTAAACTAGAATGGCTGTAACATCAGTAGTCCAATCATTGACTACCCACAATCTCCCAGCCTGGCTGTAACATCAGTAGTCCAATCATTGACTACCCACATGTATCATCAGTAGTCCAATCATTGACTACCCACAATCTCCCAGCCTGGCTGTAACATCAGTAGTCCAATCATTTTCTTCCCACCATGGCTGTAACATCAGTAGTCCAATCATTGACTACCCACAATCTCCCAGCCTGGCTGTATCATCAGTAGTCCAATCATTTTCTTCCCACCCTAACAGTAGTCCAATTGTATTCTTGCATGGTACAAATTTAGCCTAGCCTATCATTTACTACCCACTCTAACAGTACAAATATAGCCTAGCCTATCATTTACTACCCACTCTAACAGTACAAATATAGCCACCCTCCCACCAAGATCGCCCCCCCCCCTATTCTGAATGTAAGGAAGTACTGGTGGTTTGATGACATTGTTCTCTCCCCTTGCCAGCCCTCATGTGACAGCTTAAAACTGATTAGGCTACCATTAGATTACCACGATGCTCTTTAATGGGATTATGTGGTGCATCTCACTAAATATGGCCTGGTGCCCCTCAAACGTTTGACTGTGTACATATTGGGATTATGTGGTGCATCTCACTAAATATGGCCTGGTGCACCTCAAACGTTTGATGGGATTATGTGGTGCATCTCACTAAATATGGCCTGGTGCACCTCAAACGCTCGACTGTGTACATATTGGGCATATGACTCGCCATAAAAATATGTTTCAATTGATAACCTGGAGTTGGTTGAAAGTTCAAGAACTCGCTGGGTAACAGTTGGCTAATCCTGAGTGACGTGCATTGATCGTTGGGTGCAACCTTCTCAGTCATCTTCAACTCTTTGACTGTGGTAGTTTTATGGCGAGCGGTCCATGTCGTTTTTACACAAGCTTAAAGGTAAAGAGCTATTTAAAATATTTATATTTAATGTGTTTTTTTTATTGTTCATTCTGATCAAAATTTCCAGATCAAGAGATGAAGTTTTAATCAGAGGTTAAAACACATCTTTCTGCCGCGTCGTTTTGAGAGTTGAACTCTGACCAACAGAGTGATAGAAACTGAAACTAACGATTTGATCGCCCCAAAATGGCGTCACCAATTAGCAAAAGGAGTGACCCGAATGTAGAGTGGTGGGGAGGATGTGGTTCAGGATGTGTGACTTGACTCACACTTGAGATTTTTAGGAATAAAAAACCTATCTACAACAAGAATGTAAACAAAACTACCTTTTTAAAAAAAAAAAACCCTATATAATAATTGGCTCATTTTGTGTGTCACGTCTGTGATTCAAAAATATTTCAAGCAGTGGCGGAACTAGAAATAAAAGTCAAGTAGGACCCACTACTTGACCAGTCATAGGACCCACTACATGACCAGCCATATTGACCAGCCTTAGGACCCACTACATGACCAGCCATAGGACCCACTACATGACCAGCCATAGGACCAACTACATGACCAGTCATAGGACCCACTACATGACCAGCCATAGGACCCACTACATGACCAGCCATAGGACCCACTAAATGACCAGCCATAGGACCCACTACACGACCAGCCATAGGACCCACTACATGACCAGCCATAGGACCCACTAAATGACCAGCCATAGGACCCACTACATGACCAACCATAGGACCCACTAAATGACCAGCCATAGGACCCACTACACGACCAGCCATAGAACCCACTACCCGGCCAGCCATATTGACCAGACGATTGGCTTTGAACCTGAGTTGTCTTTTTTTTTAGCGCAAAAAAATATCCTTTCGTTCGGTCACAAAAAATTAAAAATTGTTATGGATAACATAAGGACATTGCGCTTAAATCGTCACTAGACTTTTTATTAACTTGTTTTCCTTTACGAAACAGCGTGTGTTTATAGTTACTGTAGAACATCACTACTGTAGTAGATCTGTTTGTTTTTTTACAAGAAAATTATTTTTTAACTATAAAGAAATTGATTATGGTCGGTTGTGGGCCCCCAAACGGCCTGCCCCCCCCCCTGCATTGCGGGGTCTGGCGGCACTGTAGTTCCGCCCCTGCTCCAGACTTTTGGTTTAGCAACGTATACTCATCAATGCGACCACACCATCCCTTTAACCTTAAGTAGAGGATTTATGTTTTAAAATTTAATTATGTTTTCTTTTGTTTTTCCACACAGGATGCCAGTTTAAGACGTCCATACATCAAATAGGGGTCAAAGTTCATAGTCCTATTAGGAACAATGTTTTATATCTTCATACAAACAACTTTTTTTCTAAGTCAAGCACTCATTTCATTTGGTTACCCCAGCCAACATAAAGGTAGGTTTTGTTTAGCTGTCTACTTGGAAACTGATACATCATTCTATCAATACTTTAACCAATCAAGTGATGGTTATATAACTAGCATGGCTATTTAAAAAGTAATTTGCTTTGTAGGGCCCTATTAGTAAAGGAATGGTAATTTTGGTCACACGATAAATACCAGCATTTAGATTAATTGTCATGTTAAATGACAGAAGCATATAGTAGCATTTAGATTTATTGTCATACTAAATGACAGAAGCATATAGTAGCATTTAGATTAATTGTCACGTTAAATGACAGAAGCATATAGTAGCATTTATATTTATTGTCATACTAAATGACAGAAGCATATAGTAGCATTTAGATTTATTGTCATATTAAATATCTGAAGCATATAGTAGCATTTAGATTTGTCATGTTAAATGACAGAAGCATATAATAGCATTTAGATTTATTGTCATGTTAAATGACTGAAGCATATAGTAGCATTTAGATTTATTGTCATATTAAATATCTGAAGCATATAATAGCATTTAGATTTATTGTCATGTTAAATGACAGAAGCATATAGTAGCATTTAGATTTATTGTCATGTTAAATGACAGAAGCATAAAATGACAGAAGCATAAAATGACAGAAGCATAAAATGACAGAAGCATAAAATGACAGAAGCATAAAATGACAGAAGCATAAAATGACAGAAGCATAAAATGACTGAAGCATAAAATGACTGAAGCATGCACTTGTTGTTGTTGATAGGACGAGATCTCCCAGCACTGTCTGGCAGTAACTACAAGTTTGTGGGAGAGGAAGTAGAGTTGACCTGTGTACTCAATCAAAAGGCTTTGGACAACAATTTTACTGCTGGTGACATCTTTTTTATGCACTATAACATTACAGTAAGGAAATAATTACACTGCTGCTAATGAATATTTAAACACTTGTCTATACAATTGCCATAATAAAAGCTTTCAATGTTTGCTACCTCTAACTTTTCTATTGAATATTGTAGAGAAATAATTGGTTATCAGTGTTCAAGATGCTTCAAGCGCTCCCTTCCTCACACAAAACTATTTGAGATCAGTTAAAAACTACGTTGATGAATTTCTTCAGGCCTACAGCCAGCGCCAGTGTATTCCTCCAAGCTTTGTCCATATAGTCAACACAACAACATCAACTCTCAGACTTCCTAATGTCACTCTAGCTAATGCTGGAGAATATTCGTGTTATGTTGATACCCTGCCTTGTGGAGCTGGAAGACAATTGGAGATGATTGCTTCTACTGATGTTCAGGTTCAGTGTAAGTCTTTCAGTCAAGTTACATTCATCTTGTTTTTTATCACACTTGATAGGCAGTCAATTTAAATTGACAAGTTTTTCTAACCACACTAGATAGGAAACAACCTTATATTGACACTCTATAGTAACATAAATGTACCCTTTTGAACCTGAAGGGCAGATGAAGTAGAGATCACCTGTTTCAGTGACCTTAGCATGTGATAGATACTGACACCCCTCTTATAACACTTGTGTATTGACAAGTTTCATGCTCCATATGATATATACACCCCCCATTATAACACTTGTATATTGACAAGTTTCATGCTCCATATGATAGATGCCCCCCTTGTATATTGACAAGTTTCATGCTCCATATGATAGATACCCCCCTGTATATTGACAAGTTTCATGCTCCATATGATAGATGCCCCCCCCCCTGTATATTGACAAGTTTGATGCTCCATATGATAGATGCCCCCCCCCCCTGTATATTGACAAGTTTCATGCTCCATATGATAGATGCCCCCCCCCTATATATTGACAAGTTTCATGCTCCATATGATAGATGGCTCCCCCCCCCCTGTATATTGACAAGTTTGATGCTCCATATGATAGATGCCCCCCCCCCTGTATATTGACAAGTTTCATGCTCCATATGATAGATGCCCCCCCCCCCCTGTATATTGACAAGTTTCATGCTCCATATGATAGATGGCCCTCAGAACGTGACCAACATGAGATGTGTTGTGTATGAGATGGAAACATGCTCCATATGATAGATGCCCCCCCCCCTGTATATTGACAAGTTTCATGCTCCATATGATAGATGCCCCCCCCCCTGTATATTGACAAGTTTCATGCTCCATATGATAGATGCCCCCCCCCTATATATTGACAAGTTTCATGCTCCATATGATAGATGGCTCCCCCCCCCCTGTATATTGACAAGTTTCATGCTCCATATGATAGATGCCCCCCCCCCCCCCTGTATATTGACAAGTTTCATGCTCCATATGATAGATGGCCCTCATAACGTGACCAACATGAGATGTGTTGTGTATGAGATGGAAACATGCTCCATATGATAGATGCCCCCCCCTGTATATTGACAAGTTTCATGCTCCATATGATAGATGGCCCCCCCCCACTTATATATTGACAAGTTTCATGCTCCATATGATAGATGCCCCCCCCCACTTATATATTGACAAGTTTCATGCTCCATATGATAGATGCCCCCCCCCCACTTATATATTGACAAGTTTCATGCTCCATATGATAGATGCCCCCCCCCCCTGTATATTGACAAGTTTCATGCTCCATATGATAGATGCCCCCCCCCCCCTGTATATTGACAAGTTTCATGCTCCATATGATAGATGCCCCCCCCCCCGCTTATATATTGACAAGTTTCATGCTCCATATGATAGATGCCCCCCCCCTGTATATTGACAAGTTTCATGCTCCATATGATAGATGCCCCCCCCCCCCCCTGTATATTGACAAGTTTCATGCTCCATATGATAGATGCCCCCCCCCCTGTATATTGACAAGTTTCATGCTCCATATGATAGATGCCCCCCCCCACTTATATATTGACAAGTTTCATGCTCCATATGATAGATGGCCCTCAGAACGTGACCAACATGAGATGTGTTGTGTATGAGATGGAAACAATGACTTGCACCTGGCAACATCCTGTCAGCTACAACATGGAAGACACAACTGTGTCTGTCTACTTTAACTCAGATAAGAACTTGTAAGTTTTCACATAGCCTCAAGCTAAATGTCTGCTACAACTCTCACTGATCTCATCAGAGCAGCTAGCTACCCATCCTTTGAATTTTCAATTTACCCCATATATATATATATATATATATATATATATATATATATATATATATATATATATATATATATATATATATATATATATATATATATATATATCCTACACTAGCTTCATACTCGTGCTCCACCACGGTGAATCTTTTTTAAATGTACTTGGGAACAGAACAAAACTAAACACAATTGAAAGCTCGAAAGCAAACACAACGCAAACACAAACTTAGACGCTAACGCTATCGCAACGCGCAAACACAAACTCAAAAGAAAACTCAAACGCAAACACAATGCAAACACAAATGCAAACAAAAAAACACAACGCAAAGACAAACGCAAAGAGGACAGCCATTGTGATGAAAAAAAAACGCCTCTCACATGCCTGGCGCTGAGGTAGGCGCCGATACGTAAACCAAGAAGTGAGATATAGATCTACTTTCGATGAGATATTAAAAATATGATATTAAGGGTACATAACATAACAGCTTTTAACTCACAGTTTCAGTAATGTGTTTGTTTTTGTTGTGTTTGTTTTTGTTTGTGTTGTGGAACTTGTTTTCAATTGTATTTAATTAATCTCCGAAAAAAGCATTACCAAACTTAACATGGTCGTTTGTTTCATAAAGCTATTTGATAAAGCGTTTACGTTTGTGTTTTCTTTTGATTTGTTTGTGTTAGTGATTTGTTTGTGATTTGCGTTGTGTTTTCGTTTTGTTTGAGATTGCGTTTGTTTGCATTTGTTTTCTTTTGTGTTTGTATTTGTGTTTCCGATTGTGTTCTGTGTTTACGTTTACGTTTGCGTGTTGCGTTGTGTTTGTGTTTCCTTTTGTGTTTGAGTTGTGTTTGCGATTTTGTTTGAGTTTGTGTTGGGTTTGGGTTTTCTTTTGTGTTTGTATTTTTCTTATGTTTGTGATTGCGTATTGCGTTTACATTGGGTTTGCGTTTGTGTTTTTGTTTGTGTTTGTTTTTGTTGTTTTGTTTTCTGTTTGTACATTTTCCAAAGATTCAGCGTGGCGAAGCACGGGTATGCAGCTGGTTTAATCCTAATGATGTTAATCTGGTCCTACTGAAGTTAATCTTATCCTACTGTTAATCTTGTCTTACAGATGCTAATCTAATCTTACTGACATTTAGATGTATCTAATAAAACTGATTTAAATCAAGTGTTACTAAACTTAATCGAATCCCACTGTTAATCTGGTCCTACTTAAGTTAATCTAATCCTACTTAAGTTAATCTAATCCTACTGAAGTTAATCTAATCCTACTAATGTTAATCTAATCCTACTAATGTTAATCTGGTCCTACTGATGTTAATCTAATCCTACTGATGTTAATCTAATCCTACTAATGCTAATCTAATCCTACTAATATTAATCTGGTCTTACTTAAGTTAATCTAATCCTACTAATGTTAATCTAATCCTACTGATGTTAATCTAATCCTACTGATGTTAATCTAATCCCACTGATGTTAATCTAGTGACCAGCTTCAAGCATGTCCAGACCTCAGCTTTGAAAGGTGTGTTTGGACTTCTGACAACTTCAGTCCAGTGCCTTACCGTATCCAGATAAATATTACAAACACGGTTAGACACGAATCAGCTGTTCAGATTTTTGAACGTGATCCCAATCAACTTTGTGAGCACAATTCTAGAATATTGTTTCATTTGGCTTTGATGCTTTCTTTTTGTATCTTTAATTGTCTTTGTAACGAGAAAGAAAGCCTATTTCACCACAACAAAATAGAATTAACAAACACGCCTTGTGTCACAGTAAAGCTGGCACGTGCTGAAGGTTTGACCCTCAGTCCAACTTCATCTCAAGACTGCTACACCTTGACCTGGACAAGTAAATCTTTCTATAATTCAACGTGTAGAATACAGCACACATCTAAAGGACACACAGACATAAAGGTATTTTTGAATTGTAAAATGCATATCTAAAAGACACACATAGACATAAAGATGTTTTTAAAAACTTCTGCGAAAATTGAGTGAAAAAAATTGTTTTGTACTTTACAATCACCAGGAAAATGTGGAGGCCAAAAGATTTGAATTGTGCGGTCTGAAACCTTATACCAGCCATAGTTTCTCTGTGAGTTGTACCCCTAGTGGACTTCATTCTGGTTTCCCAAGTGATCCAGCACTTTATGAATATACAACACCAGAGAAAGGTAAAGAGTTATCTACTCTTCGAAATTTGTACTGTACCTGTACTGTACTGTATAGACTGTACAATAATGCAAAGTGTCCAATATAGACTGTACAATGATGTATAATGTCCAATATAGACTGTACAATGATGTATAATGTCCAATATAGACTGTACAATGATGTATAATGTCCAATATAGACTGTACAATGATGTATAATGTCCAATATAGACTGTACAATGATGTATAATGTCCAATATAGACTGTACAATGATGTATAATGTCCAATATAGACTGTACAATGATGTATAATGTCCAATATAGACTGTACACACAGACACACGGAACCTCAACACACACACTGCGACAGTCATTATTGTCAAGCTATATATGTGGTTTCTTATATACATGGAGTTACTCCACATGGCACGCCCACAATAACACACACCTACAGTGCCACACGCCTAGTGCTACACAGTTTCACACAGTGCCACACGCCTACAGTGCCATACACCTACAGTGCCACACGCCCACAGTGCCACACGCCTACAGTGCCATACACCTACAGTGCCACACGCCTACAATGCCACACGCCTACAGTGCCACACACCTACAGTGCCACACGCCTACAATGCCACACGCCTACAGTGCCACACACCTACAGTGCCACACGCCTACAATGCCACACACCTAAAGTGCCTTCTGACCCAGATACATCTCTCCTTGTTCATTCCCTGTGAAAACAGACACAATCCCTGTAAAAACAGACAAAATCCCTGTGAAAACAGACAAAACTCCTGTGAAAACAGACAAAATTCCTGTGAAAACAGACAAAATCCCTGTGAAAACAGACAAAATTCCTGCTCTACTGGCCTGTATATCCGTGATGCTGACAGTTTGACTTTAAATTTGTTTGAAATATTTAGAACCGAGTTTAGGTCCAGAAATAACAAATGGCAGTTACAGTATGACTATGTGCAACAATGGCAGAAAAAGTGTAACACTTTATTGGAAGGTAAAATGAGCATTTATTTCTTCGTGCTTACAACTTTTTGTTCATTCACATTTAGTAAACGTTTTAAATTATATAAACACCTTTTTTTTCAAAATGTTTTCTGCTTCTTTTGAGACTTTTCACATTATTGATAAAGTTCTATTTTGTTTTTCTATCAGATTGAAATGTCTGCTTTAATTTACTTTCAGCAAGTTCCTGAGTTTGCCAGAAACGGAGTGATAAAAAACTATACTATTGATACTGGAGATATGACAGAAGAAGTCGATGCAGGAAAATTTGAAGCCACAGTTGAAACAGATTGTAATACTTCAGTCATCCAACTTTTTGCTGTTAATGGAGCAGGAATGTCTACAACTCCTTCAGTACTGCAAATCTCTAATTTAACTGGTCAGTTTATCATAAACATAGCTGTGGTCTTTAGGGCTGAACTCAAAACTTATAAAATAGCAGAATATGTCCGTTGTTTTTTTTTTCTTTTAATAGAACAAAATGTACGTAAACATAGACAAATAAGAAGTTAAAAATTAACTTCAGAAAAATGCGTTTCTTTTTTTTTTCATTCTTCTTGAAATTTTACTGATGTCTATCAAACTAAAGTAAAAATTGAACTGTGATAAATTTGTGCACCTAAAGTACCCGCATACAAATCTGATGCAACAATTACAGTTTTTAGTGCCACTAGATGTTGAGGGAATGTTTCTGTGTTTTAAATTTTTTAGTGCCACTAGATGAGAAAACTTTTTCTGTGTTTTAAATTTTTTAGTGCCACCAAATGTTGAGAAAACTTTTTCTGTGTTATAAACTTTTTAGTGCCACCAAATGTTGAGAAAACTTTTTCTGTATTCCGAAACGATGCGAACAAGACATTTCAAGCTGTGTGGGAGTCCAAGAAGGACAATTCTACCTACACTATATTTTGGTGTTTTAGAACTAGCACTTCAGCTAGTTGCCAGGTAAATATTATCCAGAACAGCTAAAAGTACGTTACAAGTTTGGTGCATAAGAACAGATTTAGTAGGGTGTCGCCTAAGATTTTAAACTTCATTATTGTTCAAGAATTAAAAACTACATTTATTTACCTTTAATTTGATACTAATTTAGTTTATCAAATTAATCGCTAGCCTAGAAAATGATTTGTGAAAAAACGCGTTTGTTTTTAAATGGCTACGATGATATGATTAGTTTTCAAGGAGTGTTGTTGTGACGCGATTGGCCATTCACTGCCGTTTAGCAGAAATGTGTCGTCTGCTTGCTTTCATCCCATTCAAATACACAACTGATATTTGTATTTGCTTCAACAGAGTGAAATGTTTTGGTCTCTAGTTCCTGCATCCCTGTCAGATGTGGAGATTCCAGAGCCAAATCTCAGCCCCTTGATTCGTGTGGGCATTTCAGTTTTTGATGGAAGACAAGCTTCTGGAATTTTCTGGGCTGAATGTTCATACATACAAAATCCAAGTAAGTTTTTTACATCTGACTATCACTCAAATAAACCCCACTTGAGAAAACCTAATACAATTAAATTTAAAAGCTGCAAATGACATTCTGCCTCCCCACACATTTGTTCTATTATTATGAGTGGCTAGACTAGGTTTTGTTTTAAAAAATATATCACTGATTAACACAACAAACACTACAATACCAAGCTAAACCACAGTACAGATTTGTGGGTTAATGATACCCCACACGTCACGTGATGTGTACCTTCTGTTATCCAAGACACAGTACCTGCCCCAGTAAACCTGGTTGCCGACCCCCCTCCCCACCACCAAGTGATGTGTACCTTCTGTTACCCCCAGACACAGTACCTGCCCCAGTAAACCTGACTGCTACCCCCCCCCCTCCCACCCCTCCCCACCACCAAGTGATGTGTACCTTCTGTTACCCCCAGACACAGTACCTGCCCCAGTAAACCTGACTGCCACCCCCTCCCCACCACCAAGTGATGTGTACCTTCTGTTACCCCCAGATACAGTACCTGCCCCAGTAAACCTGGTTGCCATCCCCCCTCCCACCACCAAGTGATGTGTACCTTCTGTTACCCCCAGACACAGTACCTGCCCCAGTAAACCTGACTGCCACCCCCTCCCCACCACCAAGTGATGTGTACCTTCTGTTACCCCCAGATACAGTACCTGCCCCAGTAAACCTGGTTGCCATCCCCCCTCCCACCACCAAGTGATGTCTACCTTCTGTTACCCCCAGATACAGTACCTGCCCCAGTAAACCTGACTGCCACCCCCTCCCCACCACCAAGTGATGTGTACCTTCTGTTACCCCCAGATACAGTACCTGCCCCAGTAAACCTGGTTGCCATCCCCAAAGAGAGCTCAGCCCTTTTATACTGGAACCCTGCTGGTTGTGAAGAAAACGCTGTCAAAGTGACCAAATATCTAGTCAAGTACAGGAAAGATGGTGGAAGTGAGTTTTCTTTAATAGCAAGTTCAAATAGTTTGTGATTTTATTCTATGAGTTAACTCAATAAGCACTTATATCTATTACTGAGGTGTGTTATAGAAAATTGTTACACTTAATGACCCTTGTTATAACATGTGCTTAAATGGTTGGTGTCAGCATGGAATGGTACTTTATATATAAAAAAAACAAATAGAAATATTTACAGCACACAGACTGTACCATATTTTCTAATCTCTAGAGGCCAATGACTACATCACACAGACTGTACCATATTTTCTAATCTCTAGATGCCAATGACTACAGCACACTGTACCATATTTTCTAATCTCTAGAGGCCAATGACTACAGCACACAGACTGTACCATATTTTCTAATCTCTAGAGGCTAATGACTACAGCACACAGACTGTACCATATTTTCTAATCTCTAGAGGCTAATGACTACAGCACACAGACTGTACCATATTTTCTAATCTCTAGAGGCCAATGACTACAGCACACAGACTGTACCATATTTTCTAATCTCTAGAGGCTAATGACTACAGCACACAGACTGTACCATATTTTCTAATCTCTAGAGGCTAATGACTACAGCACACAGACTGTACCATATTTTCTAATCTCTAGAGGCCAATGACTACAGCACACAGACTGTACCATATTTTCTAATCTCTAGAGGCTAATGACTACAGCACACAGACTGTACCATATTTTCTAATCTCTAGAGGCCAATGACTACAGCACACAGACTGTACCATATTTTCTAATCTCTAGAGGCCAATAACTACAGCACACAGACTGTACCAGGAAACAGGAACAAGTTTGAGCTGTCTGACCTAGAGACAGACATAAATTACACCATCAAGGTACAGAGTGTATCCAACAGCAAGCCTGGAGAGGAGGCTGTTACATCGGTCAAAATCAGCTCACCAGGTTTGTTTATGTGATCAATTACTTGTCAGACCCACAAAATAACCACACCCACATATGGTCACATCTGTTGTATTGCTTAAAGACCACACCCATTGTTTAAAGACCACACCCATTGTTTAAAGACCACACCCATTGTTTAAAGATCACACCCATTGTTTAAAGACCACACCCATTGTTTAAAGATCACACCCATTGTTTAAAGATCACACCCATTGTTTAAAGATCACGCCCATTGTTTAAAGATCACACCCATTGTTTAAAGATCACACCCATTGTTTAAAGATCACACCCATTGTTTAAAGATCACGCCCATTGTTTAAAGATCACACCCATTGTTTAAAGATCACACCCATTGTTTAAAGATCACACCCATTGTTTAAAGATCACACCCATTGTTTAAAGACCACACCTATTGTTACACGCCAACTATTTTATCACTGTATTCACTATTCAAAGACCAGCCAGTTAACATGGTACAGACAAATGACACAATCAAAGCAAGAATTTTTGAAAATTCAACTGTTGTGCCCCAACTACTCGACACCCCCCCCCCCCCCCCCCCACCTTCCGGTAATGGGACGCCTGATTGATTAATTAAACCTGTGGATTGGTTCTGTACCTACTTTTTTAATTCTAATTATTGTATCCTGTGGATTGGTTCTGTACGTACTGTTTTAATCCTAATTCTTGTATTCTCTTTTAAAATAAATTGGTAATAACATCCTTTTTCCCTAGCCAGTGCATTGGTGATAATCATGAAAGTTGGTGGCACTTTGTCAGCCTCAGTAGCCATTGTTCTTCTGTTACTGCCGTTACTTAAGTAAGTAGACAAGTAAGTTTGAGCCAATGACAGTTTGAACTGTGTGGATGTGTATGAAAGAAATGGACAAAACACCAGACGTTTCATGTTTTACACACCTAAACACCTAACTCACTCCCTGAATGTTGAATACAATCTAATTTATACCTCATGGCAACTCATAGATTCATATATCATTAGTTTCTTATTTATACCTTATGGCAACTCATAGATTCATGTATAAATTACAGTTAAAATGTTTTTAAAAACTCTGCTTGTATTTATAGGAATTTTTTTAGATCAAGACGAAAGTTCAAAACACTGTCCTTCAGTATGCCACAGGTAAGCAAACATGAACACCACAGGTAAGCAAACCTGAACACCACATGTAAGCAAACCTGAACACCACAGGTAAGCAAACATGAACACCACAGGTAAGCAAACCTGAACACCACAGGTAAGCAAACATGAACATCACAGGTAAGCAAACCTGAACACCACAGGTAAGCAAACATGAACACCACAGGTAAGCAAACCTGAACACCACAGGTAAGCAAACCTGAACACCACAGGTAAGCAAACCTGAACACCACAGGTAAGCAAACATGAACACCACAGGTCAGCAAACATGAACACCACAGGTAAGAAAGTGTGAACACCATCCGTTCAGCATACCCCCCCCCCAACCCTTTACCTGTGGTAGAAATAAACAGCATCACCACCCCGTGTCTGTGTCAGCAACAAGCACCAACAGCCCTGCTAGCTGTTCAAACATTTATTCACAGTTGTGCCTAATTAGTTTTCTTTTTCTTTATGTCAAGCATGGACTATCAATCTTGATTAACTTTCAATATTAATTAACTATTAACTTAATTAATTATCAGTTCTAATTAACTATTCACCTTAATTAGCTATCCAGCTAAACACTGGCAGGGAGATTATAATGAGAGGACCAGGAATGAGCACGTCTTATGAAAACTATTTGCATATTTCTGTGCTCTAGATGACCTTGGCATTAGTGGAACAGTATTCCCACATAAGGTCATTCACAAGACTACCTTGACCTCACCTGATTAATCACGTGACTGTAATATAGTGAGACTTGTGAAGTCAAGGGAACTCACTCTTCTTGTATTAGTATTATATTTATACTGTTATCTTGAGTGATGTCCCTTACATGTATATAAATAATTGTCTCTCGTCACTTCCGCCCTCTCTCTTTACCATCATGTAGTTGGAGGCCAATAAACGTTTATATACAACCACATGCTTCTATCGTCAATCCATTACATCTGGCGACGACGATAAATAATCCACTAGAAAGAGCACCTACTTATTCAAAAAGATGTTTGCTAGAGCATATTGGCTAAGTATTTCTAGAATAATGGCGCTGTATGGCCAAATAAAAGAATTTGATTCGAATGATGAAACCATTCATGATTATCTAGATAGGTTAAGCTTTTACCTTGAAGCTAACGACGTGACGATAGAAGCCAAAAAGAGAGCTGTTTTGTTAACAGTCATAGGGCCTCAACAATTTAGGCTATTAAAGGACTTATGCGCACCAGCTAGTCCAGATACCAAGAGCTTTAACGAGCTGAGCAAATTGCTAACAGACCACCATGCGCCTACCCCATCAAAGTTTCTGTGTAGAGCTAGATTTGACGGTAGGACTCGTCAACCAAACGAGTCAATATCAGAATATGTTGCTGCTTTACGTCATCTAAGTGAATTTTGTGAATTCGGCGATACGCTGTCTGACAGACTATGTGAAAAGTTTGTGACAGGTGTAAACAGCCCTGATGTTCAAAGAAAGTTGCTGCTCGAGTCAGATCTAACATTGGAAAAAGCAATGCAACTTCATTCCAGCAGTCATCCGAGGCGGCGAAATCTCTAACACCTTCAGAGATCCATGCAGTAAACAGCAGGTTAGTCAACAAACACCAACCCCATCAGAGCATTTCAACTTATGCTAAACAGCCTGCACGTTCAAATCCTAGATCTAAATCTAGTAATAATTATCAAAAATGTCATCGATGCAAAGGTCCCCATGCATCTCATCGATGCAAGTTCAAGTCAGCTACTTGTTATAAGTGCAGTAAGCAAGGTCACATTGCCAAGGCCTGCTTTGCAAAGTCTTCGTCTGTTGCTAAATCTAGCCAGTCAAGACAGTACCGCAACCAAAGGCAGCACTATGTTAACTCTCACCAAGACTACCTAACCCAACCAATGAACCACTCTACCTGTGAAAATGCTCAAACTGATTCGCAGCCGGATTTCAACCTGTTCTCTGTGAAATCAATAAGTCATGCTCCCATCAATGTACTAGTTAATATCAACGGTAAGAGCATCAGCTTCCAACTTGACACTGGAGCATCTCTAACAGTCATCACAAAGAAAGACTTTGACGCTGTCACAGGAGGATCAGTGCCTCTACAACCATGTCACAAGTGTCTAACAACATACACTGGTGACAATGTTCCGGTAATAGGAGAGTGTATGGTTCATGTAAGTTATAATGGTCAAAGTGTTAAACTTCCTCTTCTTGTGGTTGAAGGAAATGGACCACCATTACTAGGTAGGAACTGGTTAAGTGATCTTAAGTTAAATTGGGAGAGTATATTTTCAGTGACCAATGCAAGAGAATCTAGTTTTACTACAATAGATAAAGTTATATCTGAAAATGAAAGTGTTTTTGGTAATTCTGGATTACTAAATGATAGAACAGTGCAGATAAGCATTAAAGACACAAATCCAAGATACTGCAAAGCTAGAGTTCCACCTTATGCAATGAGGAATAAAATTGAAAATGAGCTAAGTAGATTGGAATCTAATGGCATCATAAAGAAGGTAGACTATTCCGATTGGGCAACGCCCATTGTGCCAGTGTTAAAGAAGGATGGTTCTGTAAGAATTTGTGGAGACTATAAAGCTACACTGAATAAGCAAATAGAGCTAAATAGGTACCCTATTCCTAACATTGAGGAAATTTGGCAGGAGGAGACAAATTCACTGAATTAGACTTTAGTCATGCTTACACTCAACTAGAACTGCATCCAGATTCAAAAGTCTATACGACAATAAACACACATAAAGGACTCTACCAATATGAAAGACTATGTTTTGGTATATCATCCAGCCCTGGAATTTTCCAAGCTGTCATGGACAGTATTTTTAAGGATATTCCAAATGTTTGTGTTTACTTTGACAATGTGTACATAACTGGTAAGAATGACACTGAACATATTAAAACACTTGATAAAGTCTTGAAAATAGTTGGTGAAAAAGGTTTAAAGATAAACAAAGATAAATGTCAATTCATGCTGACAGAAATTAGTTTTCTTGGTTATATATTGAGCAAGCAAGGTATCAGACCTCAACCTGAGAAAACAAAAGCCATTAAAGAAGCACCCAAACCTGAAAATACCCAACAACTAAGAGCTTTTTTGGGCTTGATAAATTACTATGCAAAGTTCATAGGGAATCTGTCTGGTAAACTATCACCACTGTACAAGCTGCTGCAGAAAAATGCAACTTGGCACTGGTGTAAACAACAAGAAGCTGCTTTTAATACAGCAAAAGAAGCTTTGTCTTCTGACACCTTACTAACTCACTATGACCCAGGGAAAAGACTTATATTAACATGTGATGCTTCACCAGATGGTGTAGGAGCAGTCTTATCCCACCTAGATGAAAAGGGTGACAGACCCATTGCTTTTGCCAGTAGATCTTTGAACCAGGCTGAGAAAAATTATTCTCAGTTAGATAGGGAAGGCTTAGGCATCATTTTTGGTGTTAAGAAATTTCATAAGTTTCTGTTTGGTAGGAAGTTCACCATCTTTACAGATCATAAACCATTGCTAGGTTTATTTGGAGAAAACAAAACCCTACCTGAGCATGCCTCACCAAGAATTCAAAGATGGGCTATCACACTAACTGCATACAATTATGAATTGAAATACAAACCTGGATCTGAGAATAGTGCAGATAGTCTTAGTAGATTACCTTTAAAAAACCAAAGCCTTAGCTATGTACCAGAAGATGTATTTGTTCTCTTCACTATCATGGATAACTCCAATATAAATGTGAATGATATTAAAAGAGAAACACAAAAAGATGAGTGCTTAATAAAAGTATATGAGTACTGTAAAAATGGTTGGCCTGAAGAGTCAGTGAATGAGGACTTAAAGCCATATAAAATAAGAAAAACAGAGTTAAGTCTAAAAGATGGAGAAGATGCAGTCCATTATCAGTCAGAGTTGCCTAAACAAAGTATTTGTAACTTAATAAATGATTATGGTGATATGGCAATTTCAAATGCTTTAAGTAAGAAGGAATGTGATTATCAAACAACTTTGCTAACATCATTAGCACTTACAGAAACTAAAAGGGTAACATCAAAACAAAAGAAAAAAGATTTTTGCCATTTAATACACCCACTTCAAATACTGGATCACAGTTGCAAATTGATATGGTCCAGGATAGTACTTTTAAACAGTATTTTTGGTTACTAAAAAGCACCATCAGATTACCTGAGAAAATTGATCAATCAAAGAAATCTATGTCAGTCAAGGATCTGAATAACAGCATAATACTTCCAGATGCCAATTCAAAAATAGTTCCATTAAATCATGACAAAACATGCATTGAAAGAGAATTTGGAGTTAATGAGAATGTGTATCTAAGAAATTATGGGAGAAGGGAAAAATGGATACCAGGTCAAATTGTTCAATGTACAGGACCTGTGTCTTATAAAATAAAAACAAATGATGGACTTATTGTCCGTAGACATGCAGACCAGTTAAAAATAACTTGTGCAGATAATAAGTGTGAATCTGTCAATCCCACCAAATCTGAACAGTTCACACCAACTCAGTTTGTTCCACAACCAAGTTCTGTTGATATGAGTTAACCAAGTAGTCTGGAGTCAGAAAATGTAAATTCTGGAATTAATGATTTTGATCCTAGACCTCCTGAGATAGAGAATCCATATGGTCAGAATCTTGAGTCACCAAATCAAAAGCCACTGAGAAGGTCAAGCAGGACAATCAAAGTCCCAAATAAGTTAGACCTATGATTTTAAAGGTCAAAAGGACTTTGACATCATTGTTTTGTATTTTAATTATGTTGTAACATATTGTGCATTGTTTGTAAGGATGTAATCTACCATAGTGTTCATGTTACAATATAATTGGTGATTTTAGGATACTGCAAATTGTTCTATTGAGAGATGTGTTGTGTTTACTAAGGGTAAAGGGATGTAATATAGTGAGACTTGTGAAGTCAAGGGAACTCACTCTTCTTGTATTAGTATTATATTTATACTGTTATCTTGAGTGATGTCCCTTACATGTATATATATCTTTGTCTCTCGTCACTTCCGCCCTCTCTCGTTATCATCATGTAGTTGGAGGCCAATAAGCGTTTATATACAACCACATGCTTCTATCGTCAATCCATTACAGTGACAATAAGCAGAACGTGGAGAAGAAATCTTGTGGATGTGAGAGTAAAACAATGCGCAGTCGTAGCATCAGATCACCAACTGCTGGTTGCAACATTCACGACCAAGCTGAATTCATTCAATGACATAGCAGGCAGACCTCATCGCAGATTTAACACTCAATTCTTGAAGGGCAGAGAGAAGCAAGAATCCTTACACTGTGACTTCTGACTTTCATTAACGGATGACTCCGCTGCATATTGAACATCACGTGGCCTGAAAAATGACCAAAGTCGAACTGTATACAAAAACTGAGCAAGAACCTCTTGGTAAAATACAAAAGTGCAAATGGGGATGGACTGGACATACCTTGCGTAAACCAACTAGCAACATCACCAGACATGCACTTGATTGGAATCCCTAAGGAAAGAGGAAAGTAGGTAGGTAAAAAAAAACTTGGAAAAGGTCAACTGTAGAAGAAGCAGAACCAGCCGGAATGTCGAGGACCCAACTTGGAAGAATCGCCAAGAACCGAGAGCAATGGAGAGGTGTTGTAGCATCCCAATGCTCAACAATGGAGAGGTGTTGTAGCATCCCAATTCTCCATAATGGAGAGGTGTTGTAGCATCCCAATGCTCCACAATGGAGAGGTGTTGTAGCATCCCAATGCTCCACAATGGAGAGGTGTTGTAGCATCCCAATGCTCCACAATGGAGAGGTGTTGTAGCATCCCAATGCTCCACAATGGAGAGGTGTTGTAGCATCCCAATGCTCCATAAAAGATCCACAGGAATGATGATGATGAAGCTTTTTCATAAAAAAAATAATTAACAAAGTGTGGACTGAAAAATAAAAATCTTCTTTCTCTCCCATTTTTAGGGTCTCAATGATCTAGATGTGGAAGCTGGCCACCCTGTGGAGTCGTCCACCACATCCCACGACGCCAGCACGACTCAACTTACCCAACACACCGATGGTTCCCAGCTCAACCAAAACGACAAGCCAGGGACATCATCACCTACAAATGGATCCATTTTGTCAACACATTTCCATGGATGTATTCCATCCACTCCATTTCTTCCAACCGCTGAATGTATTCCATCCACTCCATTTCTTCCAACCGCTGTATTTATTCCGTCCGCTGAATCCTCCCCACTGCTGTCTGTTTTAGAGGATTCTTCAGCTGTTGGCACCGAGTCGTACATGAAAATGTGCACAAAACCAGATACTAGCCAGGAATTGGTTGGTCCACAAATATATGTAGACACTGTTCCTGCAGTTCTTGTAGTCACCAAACTCACTAATTAATGTCTATTAACTTTTAAAGAAATTAAATAGTTTATAAAACGCTAACTTGTATCTGTATTGAGGAAAAACCTTAAAACATTCAATTTTACTTTATTTTTGCTCATCGAAAAGAACAAAATTTGTAGCTGATAAGTTTTTAAAAGGTTTTATAAAAATGCCATCAGTTTCTAGTGTATTTGGTCGAGCGGGTAAGCACATGGTTTCTAACTCAAAAGTCCTGAGTTCGAAACTTAGGACAAAAGAGACTCGTTAGCTGGGGACAGCAACCTATCTAGGAAAGACAACTCCTAAAGCAAACAGTAGTGGAGCCCCTTAGACGATAGGATTACCACCCCTGGTCTCCTTTCGGCAGCTCCTGCGACACTGAGGGGGCCTGATGCATGGGCTGCTCATATCAAGCTGTTAGAGGGGGGCTGATGCATGGGCTGCTCATATCAAGCTGTGTGGAGAGAGGGGGCTTGATGCATGGGCAACATGTGGCTCTTCTCAACTTAGGGCCCAGGCAACATGTGGCTCTTCTTAACTTTGTGCTTGGATATCCAATGTGCGATCATTCAATGGTTTATAGACTATGAAGCCACACGTTGAAAGCAACATTTTTTAAGGACCTACTGTAAATTAATAGGAAAATTGTAACACATTGAAAATCTATGCTTTGAATTTCTTTTTTTAAAAAATATAAGTTCTTCTTCCTTATTGTTTTTCTCGGTGCACAAGCAACCAGGGTTACTAGCCTCAGTCCAATTTCTGACCGCAGCAAATATTCCTTGGTTCACGATAGGCAACACAAATTTGTGAAGACACAAAAATGAATCTCAACTATATTTTTCTATTTTATTGTGTATTTGTGTCAGTAGCGTACGCAGGGGGGGGGGGGGGGGGGGGGGGGGGAGCAGGGGAGCGGCCTCTCCCCCTCTGGCCATTTTCAGCAAAGTGGTGCCTTTTTGGAAACTTTTTAAACTCAAAGTTTAAGATATTTGTTAAAAAAATCTATGTAAATCACAAGATTTCTTTTCATGCAGCAATTAAGCATTATTGTACTAGTCTAGTAGTGTCTACTTTTACAACACGTATTAACAGCTGCATCAGTTTGCCATTCTAAAAATAACCATTACGATGCATTGCAATGTTTAAAAACCTCTACGGTAGTACCACTTTGCAAGAGGGGTGTTAAGTTTAAGGCAACTGTATAACGTATTTGCTTACGAATAATTGGATTAGAAAATGTTATACATAAAACTTCACTCATAATTACTTTATATAATTTATATATACAGTTTGAATCGTGTGATTAATTTAAAAAAAATTACAGTACAGAAACAAATACAACTGATGTGGCACCTCTATTTTTAAATTTACTTATGACTTATGAGCAAACTGCGTAGTGGTGGGGAAATTTTGACAAGGTCAACAACGTCATCACGATGAAGTAGTAGTATTCTTACAGTTTGGGCGATAGTGATTACGATTACAAAAATTATATGAAACAGTTACAACCCCCTCCCCCATGGACCCCTCTGTAAAAAAATATTGTCATAATACCACTGCTACTTATTTAAATCTATTCCTGTAATATATATTTGTGTAATATATATTTTTGTAATATATATGTATGTTTAGAACAGTCATCTAAAAACTGACGCTATGTTCACTCTGAGTTGGTTATCTCCCCCCCCCCCCCCACACACACACACCTCACCACCACAATTGTGTAGAGCGACATTAATGTCACACCTAGGTATACACTGGGTTGGATAATTGACCTAAAATGACCAGACAGTGGTGAATGAAGTTAAAGCCATCCCCCCAACCCACCCCGAACTGATCTGACTCAGATCTGTTAAGTACATTGTAGAAAAACGCGTAATGATGTACCATAGTACCATGCCGCCAGAAAATTAGCTTTTTAAACGAAAAACTTTGTGAATATTGTTTGTTTTTGCAATTACAAGTAAAAAGGTGAGTGATCAATAGACTGATCTAATCCATACCTATCACTATGTTAAAAACTATCATTAACGAACACAAAGAACCAGTAGTTAATTAAAATATGTGATCTGAACTAAAAGACCGATAATTAGTTAAATTATGTAGGATGTTATTCCGAACGTTATGCTATTCATATATAAAAGCGTGGTTTTATACCAACTCTGATTTAAATATTTTCATTATGCTGTAATACTTTAGCATTTATGATGACGATATATTAAATTCTGATTATAGACAAAAACATATTGTAAACACGAATAGTGTTAAACAATTTCATTATATTCTAAAGTAATTATTTATTTGTTTTGACATTTATAATTAAATGTGTAGATATATACATATTTATATTAAGAGAGTGATTATTTCCCCTATTTCACTTGTCTTAAATAATTTCCCAGGAATTATTATGTAAGAATTTTTTTTTACAAGAATTACAAAACAGATTGTGTTGCGTTCATTGTTTTTGGTTGTAGTGTATATATATATATATATATATATATATATATATATATATATATATATATATATTTGTTTAGATTGATACAATTTTTCTTTTTTCGGCCTAAATTATGTGTTTACTTTTAATTTATTTTACATCATAGCGAAGTAATGACATTCAGCTAGTAATGACATACAGCTAGTAATTATATATATATATATATATATATATATATATATATATATATATATATATATATATATATATATATATATATATATATATATATATATATATATATATATATACACGTATATAGAACGTGTTACAAATTCGGCGCCTTTTTTGCTCTTTTCGCTCCCTCTACAACGAAAACCTGGATACGCCTCTGGCGCTTACAGCTGGTTTGTGTATCTGTTTACATTGTTTATTTCACCTGACCATGTATTTAACTTTGTCATTCTTCATGTGCTCACTGCTGGGCAGGCTCAAAAATAAATATTTACTCACACACCATGCAATTCTTTATTCTTTCCAAAATATACGTTGAAAATCATGAATAAACCTGTCAGCCTAGCTTTTTGTTTTCAAATTTAAAAAAATATTCTAGACCTCCTCCACTTGTATTCTATATCAGTTCAGTTGGTTTATCGCTAGATAACAGTTTAGCTGGTAACAACTATTATACAGCAGGTCAGATGTTTATACTGCCAGTCCCCACAATGCAGGGGAGGGGGGGGGGGGGGCAAAAATCGTCATGTATTTAGTTGTTTTTAATTTATTAAAAACACGCTTTCGTCGGAAAAAAATTCTTTGAAAAAAAAATCAAAGATCGACATGATGTAAGGTGTTTCTTTGTTTTCACTTTCATAACTTTGAACACCACAAAATTTTTTATGGAGCTCATGCACATTGAGTTGTCACCCTTGAGATACAACTGAACGCCTTAAAATCGGCTTTGTGTAAAAAAAAAGTTGGAAGTTGACGTACAACAGCAATGGCGTCCCTTCCTCTAAGTTTCTTTCACAGCACAGCCCCCCCCCCCCCCACCTTAGCTTCACAAGTAGCAAGCAAGCAAGCCAATGAACAGTTTGTGAATGACCTAACCATAAATTCCGACAGTAAAGCAATGAATGTTTTAATTCCAAAATATTTTTTGTGTACTCTGATACTATTGATAGTGGTTGGTAAAAAAATAAAAAATCTACTAAAGCGGTGATTGCTCTATAGTAACTAACAAACGCTGCAGTCTATAGTAACTAACAAACGCTGCAGTCAATAGTAACTAACAAACGCTGCAGTCAATAGTAACTAACAAACGCTGCAGTCAATAGTAACTAACAAACGCTGCAGTTTATAGTAACTAACAAATGCTGTTGTATCGAAAAATTTAGAAAATCTACATGAGCTGTGTGGACAAAAAAGCTACATGTATCAACACAAAGGCCGCAGGTATCAACACAAAGGCCGCAGGTATCAACACAAAGGCCGCAGGTATCAACACAAAGGCCGCAGGTATCAACACAAAGGCCGCAGGTATCAACACAAAGGCCGCAGGTATCAACACAAAGGCCGCAGGTATTAACACAAAGGCCGCAGGTATCAACACAAAGGCCGCAGTAATCTACACAAAGGCCGCAGGTATCAACACAAAGGCCGCAGGTATCAACACAAAGGCCGCAGTAATCTACACAAAGGCCGCAGGTATCAACACAAAGGCCGCAGGTATCAACACAAAGGCCGCAGTAATCTACACAAAGGCCGCAGTAATCTACACAAAGGCCGCAGGTATCAACACAAAGGCCGCAGGTATCAACACAAAGGCCGCAGGTATCAACACAAAGGCCGCAGGTATCAACACAAAGGCCGCAGGTATCAACACAAAGGCCGCAGGTATCAACACAAAGGCCGCAGGTATCAACACAAAGGCCGCAGTAATCTACACAAAGGCCGCAGGTATCAACACAAAGGCCGCAGGTATTAACACAAAGGCCGCAGGTATTAACACAAAGGCCGCAGGTATCAACACAAAGGCCGCAGGTATCAACACAGAGGCCGCAGGTATCAACACAAAGGCCGCATGTATCAACACAAAGGCCGCAGGTATCAACACAAAGGCCGCAGGTATCAACACAAAGGCCGCAGGTATCAACACAAATGCTGGTTGCATCATAAAGATAACACAACAGCAAAATGTACAGAGGCTAAAAGAGTACAAGCCTAAGTTGGTTGTCTTCCCACCCATATAGGGCAAGCCACCATATTATATTAGCCTTAACATTCTTTAAACATTATCGCAACCTATTTATTGGAGTCCGATTTATAAATTCTTACTGAAATGTGGGATCAAACTGAAAACAGCATCTTCTTAAAGTTACCCAAAAAAGTGTGATAACCATCACGAGATATAAATATCGCCAAATAATAAGACAAACAACAAAGGTTTTAGATGAAAATTGAAGTTTTTAAAACGAAAGTTGACTACTGGTTTCCCTCCCCACCCCTACCCCTTCCCCCCGAAACTTCCAAAGTTTAACCCCCACTTATGATGAAGATAAATGACTCAGGAGCCACTAGTATAAGACACTTGAAGTTTTTTTTAATTAGCTCAGTATTGGTGGCTGTACATCTCAGTATTGGTGGCTGTACATCTCAGTATTGGTGGCTGTACATCTCAGTATTGGTGGCTGTACATCTCAGTATTGGTGGCTGTACATCTCAGTATTGGTGGCTGTTCATGTGGCTGTACATCTCTTGTGGCTGTACATCTCAGTATTGGTGGCTGTACATCTCAGTATTGGTGGCTGTACATCTCAGTATTGGTGGCTGTACATCTCAGTATTGGTGGCTGTACATCTCAGTATTGGTGGCTTTTCATCTCTGGTGGCTGTACATCTCAGTATTGGTGGCTGTACATCTCAGTATTGGTGGCTGTACATCTCAGTATTGGTGGCTGTACATCTCAGTATTGGTGGCTGTACGTATTGGTGGCTGTACATCTCAGTATTGGTGGCTGTACATCTCAGTATTGGTGGCTGTACATATTGGTGGCTGTACATCTCAGTATTGGTGGCTGTACATCTCAGTATTGGTGGCTGTACATCTCTTGTGGCTGTACATCTCTGGTGGCTGTACATCTCAGTATTGGTGGCTGTACATCTCTGGTGGCTGTACATCTCAGTATTGGTGGCTGTACATCTCAGTATTGGTGGCTGTACGTATTGGTGGCTGTACATCTCAGTATTGGTGGCTGTTCATTGCGAAGGACAGCGTTTTTCTTATTGCGGCGGTGGATTAACCACAGATTAGCGATGAACAAATCTACTTCAATCATGATGTTGAAAACATTCTGTGTGCTGTTTATTCTACAAAGTAGACATGACGCCGCTGCAATCAAACAAAATTTAAGTATGCTTTAAATTGTTATTAAGAGAAATTTTATTGTAAAAAAATTATTGCCCGTAATTTTAAACTATTATCATATCGTTTTCCTCTTAAGTCATTAGATTTTGGTGTCACCCCCTCACCCCCTCTACTGTCATTGATTGACTTATCTGTTCATCAAAATACTCAGCAAGCCTTTATTCGTCTCTAAATTTTGCAGTTTGTGTTAACCTCCCCCCCCCCTCTCCCCCCATTCGGGTGATAGTTTTAAAGTGTGTACAGCTAATAGTAAACATGGTTATCTTTAGTCAGTTATTAATACAGGTGGATTAACTCTTATTAATCATTAATTGAACTGACAAAAAGCATTTTTCTTCTATATATTTTGCAATTTTTCGCCATTTGAGAGTATAAAACATGAAAGTAAACAGAATTATTGTATTGACATGAAGGTACACATAAGTTTTTGAGATTATAAAACATGAGAGTACACACAGAGGCGTAGCGAGGGGGGGGGGGTGCGGACCACACCGAGTGACACCATTTAGGGGGGTGACACCAAGGCAAAAAATAGCAAAATATATAGGGAAAAACTTGAGGGGGTGCAAATCGAAAGTTTGAGGGGGGGGGGGTGGTGGTGCAAATCGAAAACTTGAGGGGGATGCAAAATCGAAAGTTTGAGGGGGGGGGGGGGTGCAAATCGAAAACTTGAGGGGGGGGGCGCAAAACGAAAATGTGTCCCCGGAAAGGGTCGCTACGCCTCTGGGGGTGACACCATTAAGTGCCACACCGGGTGACACCCGACCTCGCTACGCCACTGGGTACACATATAACAAACTCCATATTTGATCCTACAATCGGGTTACTCGCTCAATTGATTTCAGACGGATCACAGGCCATATCAAACATGAGCTGTATTGTGAACAACTGGAACGATAACATGGAGTGTAGGTGGGGTCATCCCGACCTCTCCGTCACAGACGACAAACAGGTTATCGTGCAGTATATTGTGCAGGACACATCACAACAAAGGTCAGACAATTGTAGGTCTACAGTATAGGACACAACAAAGGTCAGACAATTGTAGGTCTATCAGTATAGGACACATCACAACAAAGGTCAGACAATTGTAGGTCTACAGTATAGGACACAACAAAGGTCAGACAATTATAGGTCTACGGTATAGGACACATCAAAGGTAGTGTTTAGACAATTGTAGGTCTATCAGACACATCAAAGGTCAGACAATTGTAGGTCTACAGTATAGGACACAACAAAGGTCAGACAATTGTAGGTCTACAGTATAGGACACAACAAAGGTCAGACAATTGTAGGTCTACGGTATAGGACACATCAAAGGTCAGACAATTATAGGTCTACAGTATAGGACACAACAAAGGTCAGACAATTGTAGGTCTACAGTATAGGACACACCAAAGGTAGGCAGTAGCGTAGCGAGGGGCGGGGGCGGGGGACTGATTAGTTTAAATGGTCCAATTCTGAACTATATTAATGATAATGAGTAGGAGAGTATAATTTGATTGTTAAGTGTTCAAGAACAGTGGGTAACTCATTCATTTAATGATTAAGGGGTCCTGCACTTTTGCTGAAGATCATCCATTTATGTAAGGGTTCATTCCCTTTTGCTAAATATCATCCATTTATGTTAATATTTGAAGTGTGCACTTGTCCCTTGAGTTTATGCTTAATCATTTCAACACAATTTTATTCAACAATGCTTTCACTTATATAATAGTTCAAGTTCATTTGTTTTATTTTTACTTCATTACATTATTAGATTTTTTTTTACTGATAAATGAGAATTTGTTAATCTTATTGCATATAAATAATTCAGCATTGTAAACATGTATAGACCCCATTTGTTAGCTTTAAAAGCAATCCCTTCCTTCTTTATCATTTCCAAATCATTCTTTTGTATTATTTTGTCTAAAGTATTATTTTTTTAAAAGGTCAAACTAATTTTTCATTAGTTTTCAGATGTGTCCACTAAAAATTACAGAGCGTACATTCACCAGCTGCAAGTGGGATGACGATTTCTTGTTAGGATTTTATGAGATCAAGATCACTATAGAAAATACTGAAAGAAATGAGAAAATAAATTCAACTCGATGGATTAATACAAATGATATAGGTACTTTTTTTCTTCCTTTCCATCTTTCATTGACATCTTGAGAAAAACTGGTTGATGTCTTGTAGTGTTTGATTCTGTCACACAATGAACTGTTTCAGTGAAACCTGCTCAGGTAGTTGAACTAACTGCTCAACTTTTACCTGCTCCAACTGCTCACCCTCCTATAAAACAATGCTGCCTGCTCCAATGGAAACATCACAAAACATGGAACAAAATCTTTAGAATATCTCATCAAAGAGAGGGAGATAGCTTTAGGGTAATTATTTTTTCCCCAGATAAGATTAAGAAACGGACCAATTTTTAATGGTAGTTAGTTATTTTTCACAGTTAAGATTAAGTACCTTAAACCAATTTTAGAAATTTTCCTGTTTAAATTTCTGTTGTGTTAAGAAATTTGGATATAAAGACCATGGATACCAACATTAAATGTGTTTTTATTACTCAAGCTGTAATAAGTTATCATGATTTTATGTATAAATTTTTATACCCTAAAAGTTGGTTTCTGGAAAGTTATATCTGTAAAAGTAGACTGTAGTATCACCTGAGCTCAACTCAATCATATAGATCTATACATATTTATTTATGCGAGTTTTAACTAGTAAAGTCATAAAACTTATGGTAAAAAAATATCAAGGTAAGTGCACAAATGCTTATATTAATATATAGATCAAGTAGAAATTAGAATCTATACAGCATTATGTAATAAATAGGTGCAATCTTTGTATACTTTTCTTGAGAAAACTGAGTACCTTTATCTTAATCGTTATAGGCCTACTTGTGTCTAATAATGGCACAATTATAGAACCTCCTTAAAAATTGTATGTTAGGTTATTTAGTAGAAAACTAAATACAAATACAAGTTGACAATGCCAACAATATAACCAAGACTAACTTACCCCAAGCAGATTCTGTGTCTAGAAGTTTTCCATCACTCAATGAGTTGGTTAAAATGTCTTTCAGGTTGTCAGAACAAATCACACGGAGCAAACATATAAAGCTTGCGACCTCGAGCCAAATTCATACCACAACTTTTCTGTGGAGTGTTTGCCCGCTAATCCATTTTCTGGCAACTGGAGTGATCCTGTGTATGTGAACTTTTATGTGGAGGAATCAGGTGACACTTCAGGGTTTTGTCATTCATTGGATGTTTGTTTACATTGTGCTAGTTTGTTTACATTGGGCTACTTTGTTTACATTGGGCTAGTTTGTTTTACATTAATTGAGCTATTTTGTTTACATTGGGTTAGTTTGTTTACATTGGGCTAGTTTGTTTACATTCATTTGGCTAGTTTGTTTACATTCATTGGATGTTTGTTTACATTGGGCTAGTTTGTTTACATTCATTGGGCTAGTTAGTTTGTTTACATTCATTGGATGTTTGTTTACATTGGGTTAGTTTGTTTACATTGGGCTAGCTTGTTTACATTGGGCTAGTTTGTTTACATTCATTGGGCTAGTTTGTTTACATTTTACATTCATTGGGCTAGTTTGTTTACATTCATTGGGCTAGTTTGTTTACATTGGGCTAGTTTGTTTGCATTGGGCTAGTTTGTTTACATTGGGTTAGTTTGTTTACATTGGGCTAGTTTGTTTACACTGGGCTAGTTTGGTGCTCAGATGTTTTACCTAGTCTGTTTACTGTGGTAAAAAAATTCCCACACTCAACACATCAGATTAGAAGCAAAATCACCTTGTCCCACCACTTACATTTAGAAACAAATGTGTCAATTTTTAAAAATTTCCCAACTTCAGCTCCAGAATTGGGACCTGAAACAACTAAAGGAAGTTATGTGACGTCTGAGTGTCAGGACGGTCAACAGAACATCACTCTCTACTGGCAGGTAACATCAAGTACTGTCTCAACATCAGTGTCTCATTAGCTGTTAGATATGACTTAAAGAACTGTCTCAACACATTCTTTAGCGGTTACACATCACTTAACCATCTATATCTGTAAAAATAATGACATAAGCTCCCTAAACTTTCCCCCTAACAAGAGACCGTAGGCTAGTATTGCCTGACCAACGAACCCATTGACTTTCTGACCACAGGAAGTGCCATTGAATGCTAGAAATGGAAGAATTACGTCATACCAGGTGCTGTCTGACAGATTTTGTAAAGATGAAGTGGTGGATGCTTCTGTGTTAACAGCTCAACTTCAGTGTTCATGTAATGTTACAGCCATTCACATTTTTGCTCTCAATAAAAAAGGAAATTATTCATCTGTTGTGCAAATTTCTTCTTTAAAAGGTAATTAACTCACTCTGAAAATTTTGTAAGTTTTTTTCCAGTACTGGAATAAGAATGTTTCAGTCTAGGCATACAAAGTTATCTGTGACATTCTTTATTTGAATGTTTCAGTCTAGGCATACAAAGTTATCTGTGACATTCTTTATTTGAATGTTTCAGTCTAGGCATACAAAGTTATCTGTGACATTCTTTATTTGAATGTTTCAGTCTAGGCATACAAAGTTATCTGTGACATTCTTTATTTGAATGTTTCAGTCTAGGCATACAAAGTTATCTGTGACATTCTTTATTTGAATGTTTCAGTCTAGGCATACAAAGTTATCTGTGACATTCTTTATTTGAATGTTTCAGTCTAGGCATACAAAGTTATCTGTGACATTCTTTATTTGAATGTTTCAGTCTAGGCATACAAAGTTATCTGTGACATTCTTTATTTGAATGTTTCAGTCTAGGCATACAAAGTTATCTGTGCTATTCTTTATTTCAAGTTCCTAAGGTGGTCCAAAACTCTCTGACTGTCCACTGGGATGTAGAGAACTCTTCTGTGGAGTTTTCATGGACGTCCATTGACACATTGAGCTACAGCCTTTACTGGTGTCAAAGACGGCCGCCATATTACTTCAGCTGTCAGGTAAAATAAAAATAAGAAGTGATAAAAAATTGATACATTGGGTACAGACTGGTTATAACTACTGTAGACCTATAACTGAACCTTATCTTAAATTTACATTAACTTATATACTATTTAGATAGACTTACTGAGCCAAAGTTTAGCTTGCAATAAACATAAAGAAGAGTTTGGTAGTTTCTGGATTCTTTGATTAGTGTGAAAAATAGGTTTTAGAACTTGAACTAAGCTTCAATTAAATATTGAATGAAATGAACCTATAAAAAGTCAATAACAATAGGTACAATAGAAAGTTTTATTTGGTATTATAATAAACTAACTTGAGTAAAGTATGAATGTAGCCTACTTATGTGTGTGTGTGTGTGTGAATGTATTTCTGTGTGTCAGTGTGGTGCTGTGTAATAGAATGTAATGTACACCTGGTAAGTTCTGCCTTTACCCCAGGTAAGTTCTGCCTTTACACCAGGTAAGTTCTGCCTTTACCCCAGGTAAGTTCTGCCTTTACACCAGGTAAGTTCTGCCTTTACACCAGGTAAGTTCTGCCTTTACCCCAGGTAAGTTCTGCCTTTACACCAGGTAAGTTCTGCCTTTACCCCAGGTAAGTTCTGCCTTTACACCAGGTAAGTTCTGCCTTTACACCAGGTAAGTTCTGCCTTTACCCCAGGTAAGTTCTGCCTTTACACCAGGTAAGTTCTGCCTTTACACCAGGTAAGTTCTGCCTTTACACAGGTAAGTTCTGCCTTTACACAGGTAAGTTCTGCCTTTACGCCAGGTAACTTCTGCCCTTACATTGTGAAATTACCTGGTAATGTGTAACCTTTAATCCACAGAGCAACATATCTTGGTCTGTATCCGCCCAGCCACCCACTGTTATTAAAATATCTGGACCTGGACAAAACTTTATCTTTGGTATCTCAGTTACTAACCTCACACAAAATATGGCCTCTGGAATTTTCTGGGCTGCCTGCTTGCTCAAGCGACATGCAGGTGATTTCAGTTGATGTTTTCAAATACAGCGCTCAAAACACATGATTGCTTAAATGAAAATTGGGAAGTCTTTGCTGGAAATACGACATCAGTTTAAAAACTATTGCTAGTAATAACAAATGTAATCAGTTTAAAAATTATTGCTAATAAAAACAAATCAAATCAGTTTAAAAATTATTGCTGGTAACAAAATGTAACATTTCACATTGCAGCCATCCCTGCCCCAACAATACGGTACGTAGGGCAAGACAGCGATAGTGTTATTGTAGCCTGGTCACCGGTGGATTGTATGGCGACGTATGTGCAAGTCACACACTACATAGTCATATACTGTCACAGTAGCAGTTGTAAACGTAAGTCTTACAAACTCTTGTAGTCAGGAGCAGACTAAGCCACACCCCCAGATAAAATTATATATATATATATATATATATATATATATATATATATATATATATATATATATATATATATATATATATATGTATTGATTTAAATTGATTAAATACTAAGCTAATGCAAATAAAAATGTGTAAATAAAATGTGAGCTAGCAGGAGAGTTAAAGCCAGAGGCGTAGCGACCCCTCCTGGCGCCCGGGGACAAACTTTTAATTTGGCGCCCCCCCCCATATATTTTTTATATTTATAATTCAATATAGCAGCTAAAATGAGCTTATTTACGCGCCCCTAGGGTCGGCATCCGGAGACATATGTACCCTCGCCCCCCCCCCCCCCCCCCCTCAACCTATCCGGAACAATCATCAAGGCAATCAAACAATAGCATAGTATAGCTTTTCTTGCAGTGTTAAAACTGCTCACCCCCAATCTTGCTGTGTTGCCTATGGCACAGACTACCCCCACCCCCCAATCTTGTTGTGTTACCTATGGCACAGACTACCCCCACCCCCCAATCTTGCTGTGTTGCCTATGGCACAGACTACCCCCACCCCCCAATCTTGCTGTGTTGCCTATGGCACAGACTACCCCCACCCCCCAATCTTGCTGTGTTGCCTATGGCACAGACTACCCCCACCCCCCAATCTTGCTGTGTTGCCTATGGCACAGACTAGCCCCACCCCCCAATCTTGCTGTGTTGCCTATGGCACAGACTACCCCCACCCCCCCCCCCAATCTTGCTGTGTTGCCTATGGCACCGTTGTGGCCTTGTCATGTGCAGATACAATAGATCCATGTATCCACATATTTCATATGACAATAGATCCATGTATCCACATATTTCATATGACAATATATCCATGTATCCACATATTTCAGATGACAATAGATCCATGTGTCCACATATTTCAGATGACAATAGATCCATGTATCCACATATTTCAGATGACAATAGATCCATGTGTCCACATATTTCAGATGACAATAGATCCATGTATCCACATATTTCAGATGACAATAGATCCATGTATCCACATATTTCAGATGACAATAGATCCATGTGTCCACATATTTCAGATGACAATAGATCCATGTATCCACATATTTCAGATGACTATAGATCCATGTATCCACATATTTCAGATGACAATAGATCCATGTGTCCACATATTTCAGATGACAATAGATCCATGTATCCACATATTTCAGATGACAATAGATCCATGTATCCACATATTTCAGATGACAATAGATCCATGTATCGACATATTTCAGATGACAATAGATCCATGTATCCACATATTTCAGATGACAATAGATCCATGTATCCACATATTTCAGATGACAATAGATCCATGTATCCACATATTTCAGATGACAATAGATCCATGTATCCACATATTTCAGATGACAATAGATCTATGTATCCACATATTTCAGATGACAATAGATCTATGTATCCACATATTTCAGATGACAATAGATCCATGTATCCACATATTTCAGATGACAATAGATCTATGTATCCACATATTTCAGATGACAATAGATCCATGTATCCACATATTTCAGATGACAATAGATCCATGTATCCACATATTTCAGATGACAATAGATCCATGTATCCACATATTTCAGATGACAATAGATCCATGTATCCACATATTTCAGATGACAATAGATCCATGTATCCACATATTTCAGATGACAATAGATCCATGTGTCCACATATTTCAGATGACAATAGATCCATGTATCCACATATTTCAGATGACAATAGATCCATGTATCCACATATTTCAGATGCCAATAGATCTCTTGAAGTTCCATGGAACTCCACCAGTGTGAGGCTAGCAGACTTGGAACCTGACGATTATAATTTGACTGTACTGAGCAGGTCACAGGATGGAGTCAGCAATCAGAGCACTTGGCATCATGTGAAGGTCAGACCCGTGGGTGAGTTCACTGGATGGTATGGTGGGTCAGTGAGTTCACTGGATGGTATGGTGGGTCAGTTGGTGAGTTCACTGGATGGTATGGTGGGTCAGTTGGTGAGTTCACTGGATGGTATGGTGGGTCAGTTGGTGAGTTCACTGGATGGTATGGTGGGTCAGTTGGTGAGTTCACTGGATGGTATGGTGGGTCAGTTGGTGAGTTCACTGGATGGTATGGTGGGTCAGTGAGTTCACTGGATGGTATGGTGGGTCAGTTGGTGAGTTCACTGGATGGTATGGTGGCTCAGTGAGTTCACTGGATGGTATGGTGGGTCAGTTGGTGAGTTCACTGGATGGTATGGTGGCTCAGTGAGTTCACTGGATGGTATGGTGGGTCAGTTGGTGAGTTCACTGGATGGTATGGTGGCTCAGTGAGTTCACTGGATGGTATGGTGGGTCAGTTGGTGAGTTCACTGGATGGTATGGTGGGTCAATGAGTTCACTGGATGGTATGGTGGGTCAGTTGGTGAGTTCACTGGATGGTATGGTGGGTCAGTTGGTGAGTTCACTGGATGGTATGGTGGGTCAGTGAGTTCACTGGATGGTATGGTGGGTCAATGAGTTCACTGGATGGTATGGTGGGTCAGTGAGTTCACTGGATGGTATGGTGGGTCAGTTGGTGAGTTCACTGGATGGTATGGTGGGTCAGTTGGTGAGTTCACTGGATGGTATGGTGGGTCAGTTGGTGAGTTCACTGGATGGTATGGTGGGTCAGTTGGTGAGTTCACTGGATGGTATGGTGGGTCAGTGAGTTCACTGGATGGTATGGTGGGTCAGTGAGTTCACTGGATGGTATGGTGGGTCAGTTGGTGAGTTCACTGGATGGTATGGTGGGTCAGTGAGTTCACTGGATGGTATGGTGGGTCAGTTGGTGAGTTCACTGGATGGTATGGTGGGTCAGTTGGTGAGTTCACTGGATGGTATGGTGGGTCAGTGAGTTCACTGGATGGTATGGTGGGTCAGTGAGTTCACTGGATGGTATGGTGGGTCAGTTGGTGAGTTCACTGGATGGTATGGTGGGTCAATGAGTTCACTGGATGGTATGGTGGGTCAATGAGTTCACTGGATGGTATGGTGGGTCAATGAGTTCACTGGATGGTATGGTGGGTCAGTTGGTGAGTTCACTGGATGGTATGGTGGGTCAATGAGTTCACTGGATGGTATGGTGGGTCAGTTGGTGAGTTCACTGGATGGTATGGTGGGTCAGTTGGTGAGTTCACTGGATGGTATGGTGGGTCAGTTGGTGAGTTCACTGGATGGTATGGTGGGTCAGTTGGTGAGTTCACTGGATGGTATGGTGGGTCAGTTGGTGAGTTCACTGGATGGTATGGTGGGTCAATGAGTTCACTGGATGGTATGGTGGGTCAGTGAGTTCACTGGATGGTATGGTGGGTCAGTGAGTTCACTGGATGGTATGGTGGGTCAGTGAGTTCACTGGATGGTATGGTGGGTCAGTGAGTTCACTGGATGGTATGGTGGGTCAGTTGGTGAGTTCACTGGATGGTATGGTGGGTCAATGAGTTCACTGGATGGTATGGTGGGTCAGTTGGTGAGTTCACTGGATGGTATGGTGGGTCAGTTGGTGAGTTCACTGGATGGTATGGTGGGTCAGTTGGTGAGTTCACTGGATGGTATGGTGGGTCAGTTGGTGAGTTCACTGGATGGTATGGTGGGTCAATGAGTTCACTGGATGGTATGGTGGGTCAGTGAGTTCACTGGATGGTATGGTGGGTCAGTTGGTGAGTTCACTGGATGGTATGGTGGGTCAGTTGGTGAGTTCACTGGATGGTATGGTGGGTCAGTTGGTGAGTTCACTGGATGGTATGGTGGGTCAGTTGGTGAGTTCACTGGATGGTATGGTGGGTCAGTGAGTTCACTGGATGGTATGGTGGGTCAGTTGGTGAGTTCACTGGATGGTATGGTGGGTCAGTTGGTGAGTTCACTGGATGGTATGGTGGGTCAGTTGGTGAGTTCACTGGATGGTATGGTGGGTCAGTTGGTGAGTTCACTGGATGGTATGGTGGGTCAGTTGGTGAGTTCACTGGATGGTATGGTGGGTCAGTGAGTTCACTGGATGGTATGGTGGGTCAGTTGGTGAGTTCACTGGATGGTATGCTTTGGATGTCTAGGCTTTGGATGTCTAGGCTTTGGATGTCTAGGCTTTGGATGTCTAGGCTTAGGATGTCTAGGCTTAGGATGTCTAGGCTTAGGATGTCTAGGCTTTGGATGTCTAGGCTTTGGATGTCTAGGCTTTAGATGTCTAGGCTTTGGATGTCTAGGCTTAGGATGTCTAGGCTTAGGATGTCTAGGCTTTGGATGTCTAGGCTTTGGATGTCTAGGCTTTGGATGTCTAGGCTTTGGATGTCTAGGCTTAGGATGTCTAGGCTTTGGATGTCTAGGCTTTGGATGTCTAGGCTTTAGATGTCTAGGCTTTGGATGTCTAGGCTTTGGATGTCTAGGCTTTGGATGTCTAGGCTTTGGATGTCTAGGCTTTGGATGTCTAGGCTTTGGATGTCTAGGCTTTGGATGTCTAGGCTTTGGATGTCTAGGCTTTGGATGTCTAGGCTTAGGATGTCTATGCTTTGGATGTCTAGGCTTAGGATGTCCATGAGCCTACTCAGTTATAATGAGTACTGGACTAGTCAGGGAACAAAATGTTGCTAGCATGTTACTCTATGACCACTCTGGTTTAAAAAGTTTATTTCTTTAATGGGTACATGGTACCATGGCCAGTTAAAGAAATAATGATTCAATTTTCCAAATCTTCTCGCCAAACTCAATTACTCTAAACGGTCATTATCTACGTATGTATTATCCAAATTTTAAATTTTCAGCTGGACCAATGTATTATGTACAGATCATTATCTACGTGTGTATTATCCTTGGATGCGTTGGGATATCATTCAAATTTTACAGGTACATTTTTGTGGTCATTCAAATTGATTTGAAATAATTTGTAAATATAAATAAACTTTCAGCCAACTGAAGAAAAATCTTGGGATATCTGGTTTACCCCCTCCCCCTCCACACTCACACAATCCCCCCCCCCCACCCTTAAAATACTGGGGATATGTATTTCTATCAAAACTTCTCATTTTTGTATCTTTTGTTTTAACAAGAAATAGTTTTTTCCTTGTCTATATTTGTATAATTATAGTGTAAAAAAATGTATTCAGTCCTGTTCCTGCCTCCTCCCTACGATTAAATTTGCTTATGTGAAAAGTTAGTTTTTAAACTTTCATATTTATTGCAGAGACATGAAAAACTCAAAAAACAAATTTCTGTCATTACATTTATTTAAGGTATTACATTTTTATTTCATTTCAATACTGATTCACATTTATTTGACACATTGCATAAGCTATTACATTTTTATTTTTATTCAGTATTAAATTTATTTGACCTATTACATAAGGTATTACATTATATTTTATTACAGAATGACATTTATTGGACCCATCACATTAGGTATTACATTTTAATTTCAATTTAGTATGACAAATTAAAGTGAATGAAAAGTTAGCAACAATTTGGAATATTTTCCTTTCAAGTAGGAAGAAAATAAGTTTTAACTGTCTCTTAGTCACAGGTTTAACAGTGAACCTGAGACACCCTGCCACAGGTTTAACAGTGAGCCTGAGACACCCTGCCACAGGTTTGACAGTGAGCCTGAGACACCCTGCCACAGGTTTAACAGTGAGCCTGAGACACCCTGCCACAGGTTTAACATTGAGCCTGAGACACCCTGCCACAGGTTTGACAGTGAGCCTGAGACACCCTGCCACAGGTTTAACATTGAGCCTGAGACACCCTGCCACAGGTTTAACAGTGAGCCTGAGACACCCTGCCACAGGAATGACAGTGAGACACCCTGCCACAGGTTTGACAGTGAGCCTGAGACACCCTGCCACAGGTTTAACAGTGAGCCTGAGACACCCTGCCACAGGAATGACAGTGAGACACCCTGCCACAGGTTTGACAGTGAGCCTGAGACACCCTACCACAGGTTTAACAGTGCACCTGACAGTGTATTGTCTTGTGCTGTGTCAGATCAGAGCTGTGTCACACAGTGGACCATGCTGGACACATGTCAGGACATGAGACCAGAGTCTCACCTGTCTCTGAATGACACACACATTGTCGCTGGAGATGTCATGACATATGTCAGTTCAGATATCATGACATATGTCAGTTCAGATGTCATGACATATGTCAGTTCAGATGTCACCTCCAACCAATGGAGTTCACGTGTTACCATTGCAGATGATCTACCAGAACTCACAGAGACAAAAAGATGTGTCACACATAAACCTGCACCTGCCACACATATACCTACACCTGCCACACATATACCTACACCTGCCACACAGGTACCTACACCTGCCACACATATACCTACACCTGCCACACAGGTACCTACACCTGCCAAACAGGTACCTACACCTGCCACACAGGTACCTACACCTGCCACACAGGTACCTACACCTGCCACACATATACCTACACCTGCCACACAGGTACCTACACCTGCCAAACAGGTACCTACACCTGCCACACATATACCTACACCTGCCACACAGGTACCTACACCTGCCAAACAGGTACCTACACCTGCCACACAGGTACCTACACCTGCCACACAGGTACCTACACCTGCCACACAGGTACCTACACCTGCCACACAGGTACCTACACCTGCCACACAGGTACCTACACCTGCCACACAGGTACCTGCACCTGCCTTACAGGTACCTACACCTGCCACACAGGTACCTACACCTGCCACACAGGTACCTGCACCTGTGACACAGTCCCCACCTACACAGATACAAACACCACTGTTAGATTACCTGCCCATTACATCTATCTTTCCATTAGGCCTAGCAACCACCATTCACTGTACTAACAGTTTCAACTCAGCAAGTTCATCTGATTGGCTAGCTCCAACTTCCAACCCTGATTTGCTAGATCCATCTTCTGCCCCTGATTAGCTGGATGCAAATTTAAGCAATCAAATCACTGCAGGTTATGTTATGCGACATTAAAGTTGACCCCCCCACCCCCGAATGTAGGAAAAAAAGTCACAGGAAAAAAAACACAGGAAAAAAAACACAGAAAAAAGTCACGGGAAATAAAGTCACAGGAAAAAAAGTCACAGGAAAAATTCTCACAAATATATATTTGCATGATATTTGTTAATACTTTTGTGTATTAAATATTTAGAGAGTGCAAAGTTAACTTAGGATTAATTAAATGTAATGTAATGTGTGTAGGCTGTTTACGAATAGTAATTTTTATAATTTATTTTAAAATATTTAATATGAAGTATTTAGATTGTAATTATGTTAAACTTAAGATTAGTAGCATTTAATAGAATGCTCCAAAGTCCACTATTTTCATCGTGTTTTTTTTTAAATACCAACATTAAGGGGGGACCTGTAGTCAAAACACATTTTGCTACAAGCTATACAATACATGCTTTTTTTTGGAATTGTATTAACTTTAAAATACTTCAAACAATATAATATTTTATTTTTTTGGGGACAATTTATACATTTTTTGACTATCTGATTGAAGGAAATTTTGATATCTTACAAAAGGAATTTTTCGTTAAATTTTTAAAATGTATAGTTTTTTTTTCATATGATTTTCTATGAAAGCAATTCTAAAAACGTTCAGTTTTTAAAAAAAAATTAAAGTTCAGCCAAACCCTTCTACTACTTTATAGATACATATGTTAGCAACATACAGTGGCAGTTTGAAGTATTTCTGATAGACGCTTTTTGAGTTAAATTCATTCCCGTGAGATCTATATAGTAAAATTTACAAAACTGAGAAAACTCAAAACTAAGCATTATTGACTAAATATTTTGTCATGTAAGGGTATGCATTAGCAAAATAATGAATAACTTTGACAAATAATTACTTTTTCCGATAACATTATTGGGGAAAACAACAATTTACTCAATTTACAAAAAAAATAAAATAAAATTCGATACCAATCTTCACTAGATGTCAAAATCCCCAAAAAATAAGATAAACAAAACTGATTTTAGACAAGAAAATTGAAATTTTTCAAGAAAGTCGACTACAGGTCCCTCCCTTAAATTACCGCGCAATGGTAAGTTCATCTGACTTGCTGCCCTCAACTCATGGCAACAATAGTTATGTTTAGTTCAACCACCTTAACTGCCCACATTTATCACGCTCATTACGGTGCCCTGTCAAAACGGCCCGGGACAAATCGGCCCCGTCAAAACGGCCCCGTTAATACGACCCCGTCAAATCGACTCCCGACAAACCGACCCCGTCAAAATAGCCCCGTCAAAAGGGCCCCGACTTATTGGCTCCCGTCAAATGGGCTCCCGTCATATTGACTTGCGACATATAGGCTCCCGACAAATGGGCTCCCGATATTTAGGCTCCCGACAAATGGACTCCCGACATATTAACCCCTGACAAATAGGCTCAGGACATATTGGCTCCCGACAAAGCGGCTCCCGTCATATTGGCTCCCGACATAAGGGCTCACGACATTTTGGCTACCGACAAATGGGCTCCCGACATATTGGCTCCCGGCAATTGGGCTCCCGACATATTGGCTTTTGACAAAATGACTCCCGACATATTGGCTCCAGAAAAATGAATGATATGACCACTATTGGCATAAAAGTAACCATTGTGTCCTACCTCCAATACCACCATAACCTATTTTTAATGCCCGAATGAAATTATTTTTTCATGAACCAACATTAATTCACAAACGAATCGAGCCCTTAACAGCTAAATTCCACCAATTCTAAAGTTTTGATAATGTTTAATTTACAACAGAAAAGATCTGTTGCTTAAAATCGAGCACAGAAGTGTAAATGTATGATATACATGATGTTAACATAACAGCATTTTGTTTCGATAACCTACAAGCACAGTGGCGTAGCGAGGTCGGGTGTCACCCGGTGCGGCACTTAATGGTGTCACCCCCCCAGAGGCGTTGCGACCCTTCCCGGGGACAAACTTTCAAGTTTTCGATTTGCACCCCCCCCCCCCAACTTTCGATTTGCACCCCCACCCCCTCAACTTTTTCTCTATATATTTTGCTATTTTTTGCCTTGGTGTCACCCCCCTAAATGGTGTCACCCGGTGCGTTCCGCACCCCCGCCCCCCCCCCCTCGCTACGCCCCTGTACAAGCATATTGCAGTTAGGAAGGTACAGCGTGGACCCTTCTCCCCACACAATGAGTTGGAACAGCCTATAACCGACTCAATTATGGATGTCATAGATAGATGACCTTTAAATTAAAACATACTATATTTTATAATAGATAAACGAATATAAAAATAAGGCCTGCCGAACAAGAGATGCATACGTTGTATTACATAAGAGTGTTGGATAAGCTAACTCTAAAGAATATTGATGAAGGGGTCCCACTGGCAGATGTCATATTCAATGAGACCACTTTGCCGGGAGACTTAGTCTCTACAGAAACAGTATTGTCAGTGCAGTGGCGTAGCTAGGATTTTGGGGAACCTATGCAAAAATTATCAGTGGGCCCCTTCGTCAGCCGTTAGGCCAGTGGCGTCGCTAGGTCGGGTCTCACCCGGTGCGGCACTTCGTTTTGTCACCCCCTCCCAGGAAATAAAAGCATATATATATATATATATATATATATATATATATATATATGTGTGTGTGTGTGTGTGTGTGTAGGCCTACATAGGCCTAAAATTTATATATATGCCACATACTGGTACACGTACGTGTTTAAGCTTTAATCACTGCTGACTTAATAGTAACGATGTTTATCTACAGTCTGTTTATAATACAGTTGGATGTAGCATTGTTTTCTTTATAGTTTACGTTTACGTCGTGGTGTCACACCCCCCCCCCCCCCCCCCCCCCCTCTTGATATAATTTTCGATTTGTACTTAGAAGACTATTTAACTTTAACTAATGGATCTGGAAAATGGCATTTCATTCTATAAATGTTACAATTTTTTGCCTTTGGTGTCACCCCCCCCCCCCCTAAATGGTGTCACCCGTTGCGGTCCGCACCCCCCGCCTCGCCTTCGCTACGCCTCTGCGTTAGGCTACAGAGGAGTTAAACGAAGATATCAACTTCTACTTACGATGGATATTTTTTAATATATAAATATTCTGAAGGCAACATTTTGTATTTTATATGTCCTGATTTTGTATTTATACTATATTATTATGCTTGCCTACTACTGCTAAAAAGTTTATTTATGGGCTGATTCTCTCAATGTCTTGCACGACAAAGTGATATAGCCTGTAGTGTTATTATAACGATTGGGCTCTGTTTGACCCACAAACACTGAATCCCACTGCCGAAACGGTGGGGGGGGGGGCTTTTTGGAACTTTTAACCTTTTTCTTTTTTAAAATTATTTAAATGTAACAAATATTAAAATTCCATTGTAAAAGTTTTAATTTTTATGAGGGAAAAGGGCCCCTATGTGCCTTGGGCCCCCATGCCTTGCTTACGCTAGCTTTACGGCAGCTACGCCACTGTGTCAGTGGTCCTTTTGTCTGGAGCCAAATTGACAGGAGCCTTTTTGTCGGGAGCCAAAATGACGCTAGCCTATTTGTCGGGAGTCGTAATGACGGGGGCCGTTTTGTGGAGAAACTAAATGGCGGGAGCCTATTTGTCGGGAGTCGTAATGACGGGGGCCGTTTTGTGGAAAAAACTAAATGACGGGAGACTATATGTCGGGAGCCAAAATGACGGGAGCCTATTTGTCAGGAGCCTTATTGACTGGAGCCCTTTTGTCGGGAGCCTATATAACGGGAGCCTATTTGTCGGTAGCCTAAATGACGGGAGCCTATTTGTCGGGAGCCTATATGACGGGGTCCATATGTCGCTGGCCCTTTTGACGGGGCCAATTTGACGGGGTCGTTTTGACGGGGTCGTTTTGTCGGGGTCGTTTTGACGGGGCCGTTTCGTCATTGGCCGAATTGACGCCGCACGGCTCATTACATAACAAAACTTAGGATCAAAACAGAAAGCCGACAAGGTTCAAAGGCTGTCATTGACGCAAAACGTCAAGAACACAAAATATGTTCGGACAATGCCTACTGAGGAGATGCCGACCAGAGAATAGCCTACGGCAAAATTTGCCTAAATTTCTTTTATAATTAAATTTTCTACCGCGTATTTAAATACGTAACACAAGTTGAGATTGTTGTGTTAATTATCATAGAGTATTTTTACTTACAATTGTTATAAATCATAATGCTTTTAACGTCTATAAATAATTAATGCTATCAAAAAATACAACCCACAAGAATAAACATACAAAGTGTGACAATTCTTAACAAATTAATAAAAATAATCCTAAAAACATTTCTGTTACTGTTTTCCGTGACTTTTTTTCTGATAAAATTTTTCCACTGTGACTTTTTTTCCTAGCAAAAACTGTGATTTTTTTCTGTTTTTTTTTCCTGTGACTTTTTTTCCGTTCACCCCCCCCCCCCCCCCCCCACACACACACGTATTCATAAAAATCTTTTTTAAAAATTCAGAATGGTGATATGCACTTTTCTTGTCATTTTTTAAGAATAAAGTTTCCTTCTAGGCCTAGTTGTGTCATGGTTCATTTTTGTTGTTGATAAATCAAATAATAATTGTCTCACTAATAATAATTGTCTCACTAATAATAATTGTCTCACTAATAATACTTGTCTCACTGCCTGCCAACTGGTCTGTGGTTGTCTCACTACCTGCCAACAGGTCTGTGGTTGTCTCACTACCTGCTAGGCAATGTGAGAATTATCGAGATTGTATGTGAGCTAGGCAATGTTAGATAAAACAAAAAAAAAGTAGGCTATCCAAGTAGGTAGATATCTCATGGTTGGGGGGGGGGGTGTTCAAACACCAATATCCATTTACATCTTAAAACGCAGACGACCACTTAATGGATGTTACCAGGATTTATAAACCCTGATCACGTGACGAGACAGAAAGGTCAGAGAGAAAAAACTCAAGTGCTGAGAATAAAGAAACCGGTAGCCATAGTGAGTAAATGAGTCATCTGTTCAAGAGCTCTACAGAGGATGGTTACTTAGGGCAAGTGGCCATTATATTGAGAAATTAGGGTCAGGGTCAAATTTCAATGGGGCACACAAAAGTGAGTCAAAGTGAACCAAATCTACATCAAATGATCATCCACATCACACTAAATAGTTAGCTCTAAAGGTCATCCACATGACACCAAATAGATCAAAATATCTGTCAGATCAGTGGTTTGTAGGGGTCTGCGTGGTCGAGTCGGTAAAGCTCATGGTTGCTAAACCGAAAAGTCTCGAGTTCGAACCCTCGGGCAGATGAGGCTCGTTAGCTGGGGATAGCCTCTCTTCTATGAGAGACAACTCCAAAAATTCAACAACTGCTGCCTTGTAGTTTGTTCTTGGTTGGACAAAGGCTATGGAAGCAAATCCAAAAAGAAAAGCAGGCTGAAATCGGAGTCAATGGCCTCAATGGCGCATAACCAGTTGACACGTAACGCTTAATTGTGTTGGAGGCGTGGTCGAGTCGGCAAAAAGGTTGATAAATTCGCACATTGTCTCGAGTTCAAACCCACTGGCAGATAAATCTCGATCCCCTTCAACACTAATAATTAAGAACGAAGAAGAAGTGGTTTGTGACAGCTAAATTATCTGTCAGATTGATATCAACCTTTGGTAGCAAGTTGGCCAGCCTCGTTGGATTAAAATGAGCAAGACTGGCACCTGAATTGTCTAACATTAGACACAAAAAGATGGAGCCCACATCACTAGTCTCAAATACCTAGTGATTGGTGGCACTGTTAAAGAACAATAACTGTGAATATGGTTTTTGTTTTTAAAAAATGGATTATCTAACCTGAGATTTTATTTCATTAAGATAGTCACAAGGAAAGTAGAGACATAGCTTGACATCACAAGCCTTTACTGTAGACTGTAGATCAAGGGTCTCCCAACTTTTCAGCCAGAGGGCCGCATTAACTATAAGTTCGGGGGCCAGTTTCTTCCCCCAACGGAATTATATATATATATGCCTATATTTATATTTCAAAAAGGTCTGAAAGAAAAAGTTGGGGACCGACAACACACTCGAGGTCCAAGTTTGTTCTCAAATTGTTCTTCACGTAGGCCTACTTCATTCTATTTTTGATAGTTTGCATGTTGTTCCAAAATTTGAAAGGTACTTTGGTGAAAAAGTTTTAATATTAGGAAAGTCTACGTTGGGCAAATACTTATAAAACCCACCCACCCTTATTTAAACATGTCTTTAAGGAGGTCATTTGCTGGGAAACTGGCCACATTTACTTCAATGGTATTTGCACTCATTGCTACATTTTCAGTTTGTTTTGAATTTTTCCTCAGCCACCTCCAGCAAACAATTTTTTTTCCATGGGCAAAAAGATCTCCGAGGGCCGGATGAGAGGAGCTCGCGGGCCGCATCCAACCTACGGGCCATAGTTTGGAGACCCCTGCTGTAGATGATCAGATAGTACTGTACATTCTATTTTAAAATTCAAGAGACTGGGCATGGAAAACTGCTGCAAATCAAGGGTTTACACTAGCTGAAACACAAATCAAGGGTGTACAGCTAAAACACAAATCAAGAATTTACAGCTAAAACACAAATCAAGGGTTTACACTAGCTGAAACACAACAAACACTTCTAGAAAAATTCTTGTAAACTTTAATAAATTATCACATCTACATTCAACACAACAATCAGTGCTGGGATGTGTGTTGTGTTGCACATCATGTGTGTTGTGTCGACAGTAAACACATCACATCTCTGCTGTAATGGAAGAGTCCAGTGCACTCAGCTGTTCTTCTGTCATGTCCTCATCAAAGTCTGCTGGTTCAGCCTTGACCTCTGCTGGTTCAGCCTTGACCTCTGCTGCAGAGGAGCTGTACTGTTGGCTGCTGACAACTTTCACTCCCCGGGGTACCAGAGGGGCTTTAGGTGGACCTGGAACCACATGAAACCTTTCAGCTCAAATGGTTTCTATCATTAGACTCTCCCAGTTACAGCATAGAATCAAAACATTACTGCCAACTCTAGTACAGTTATCATTATCAAATGCTGCTCAATTTAAGTTGGATTTTTCTTTTAATTAGCAGGAAAACCAAATGTTTGTGGACAACACTATTCTAACTCAGTCACAATCAACAACACAATTCTATGTCATTCACAACAAACAACACAATTCACAACAAACACAATTTTAAGTCATTCATAACGAACAACAACACAATCATTCACAAGGAACAAGCTGGTATAAAATACCAAAGAAAAAAAAGAAGTATCACCATTGAGAAGCTTTTGGCTGTGTTCGAAGTATTGGTTGGGATGTTGTATGACCATCTCCACCTCACTGTTGCTGTCACTGATCCCATGAGACAACTCAAAAAACTTGGCGCAGGCTATCTGGTAGTGGCCTCCCTTGGTGTACTTCATTATCTGCGGATAGGGTCGGAAACCATTTGACTTATCAACACCAGAAAATAAAACAATAATGTACAGAATCAATGTCAGCATAACAACAATTCAATGTCTAGACCTTTACATTTCTAAACTTGAAACACCATGGCAACCAGTGACGATCATTCAATGGAAAGTTTTGGCCAGCAGTTTGGGTTGGTTAGATTTTAGTTAGAAAATAAAATCTAAAACTTACAACTTCTGCTCCAACTTTAGTTAGAAAATAAAATCTAAAACTTACAATTTCTGCTTCAACTTTAGTTAGAAAATAAAATCTAAAACTTACAACTTCTGCTTCAACTTTAGTTAGAAAATAAAATCTAAAACTTACAATTTCTGCTTCAACTTTAGTTAGAAAATACTAAAACTTACAACTTCTGCTCCAACTTTAGTTAGAAAATAAAATCTAAAACTTACAACTTCTGCTTCAACTTTAGTTAGAAAATAAAATCTAAAACTTACAACTTCTGCTCCAACTTTTGGTAGAAAATAAAATCTAAAACTTACAACTTCTGCTCCAACTTTAGTTAGAAAATAAAATCTAAAACTTACAACTTCTGCTTCAACTTTAGTTAGAAAATAAAATCTAAAACTTACAACTTCTGCTCCAACTTTTGGTAGAAAATAAAATCTAAAACTTACAACTTCTGCTCCATCTTTAGTTAGAAAATAAAATCTAAAACTTACAACTTCTGCCCCATCTTTAGTTAGAAAATAAAATCTAAAACTTACAACTTCTGCTCCATCTTTAGTTAGAAAATAAAATCTAAAACTTACAACTTCTGCTCCATCTTTAGAGATTCCTTGTGTTGTGAGTCTCTGCTTTAGAAATTCTGGGTCAAAATGTCTGAAAGGACAACCTGGAAAATATTTACAACAAAAGACTAAAATATTTGTAACAAAAGACTAAAATTGCTTTATGGTGAAAATTCTAACAAAACACTATAACTACTTGTGATGTAAAAAAAACTAAAATTACTAGTGTTATAAGCAGTGGCATCAACCAGTGCCGTAACTGGGGGTGTCACCCCACCCCACTTCAATTTTGCATTTTAGGTTTGGTGTCCGCCCTCTTCCCCTACTATTTTGTTTCTGTAACTGGATAAACCATTATTTAGACTAAATTTTACAATTTATAATCTGTGGTGGGGCTGCCCCCCCCCCCTCTTCACCTAACGGTGTCACCTAGTACTGACTGCAACAACACCCCCCCCCCCCCTATTGCAAGACGCCACTGGTTGTAAGAAAACTCTAAAACTATTGAAACTATTTGTATGAAAACTGACCATGACTGTCTTGAGCAGCTGGGGGGTTGTTCAAAATGATCTTCATACACCCGTAGGCGGTGTAGTCTGTTTTCTTGCCTTCTTTTCCATAGTTGTAGCGTATGTTGTACGTATAATTCTTGTCAAACTTTTAGATATATAAAGTAAATACTAAATTAACTTCAACAAATATTTGGAGAAGATAGCTTGCACAGCCCAGGAGAAAACAACCCACTTAAGAAACTTTCAGAGATGTAACTGACTTCCTCAGAAAAAAGCAGAAAGAAAGAAAGACGGCGGCAGTAAAAAAATTCAAGGTTTTCAGGGTTTTTTTTTTTTTTTACTTGAGTTTAAAAACTATTACAACTAGGACCTGTTGGATTGTGTTACCACATCATCAGGGTTTTTTTGTGTTTTAAATTTAGTAATATACTAAAAAAATAACCACGTTAAATTGGATCATTAAATAAAAGCACTTGTGGAATGTGCTCACGCGGCTTGCGCTGTAGGCCCTACAGTCAGCGTGACCATGATAGGTCGGTGAGGTAAAAGCAATATATTGAGAATAGTGCATTTCCGTTTCATACTTCATAGCTTTCAAACCTATTTGCCTTTTCTTTTTGTCAATACAAAACAGATAGAGAAACAAATAGTCTAGGTTGGCACAAAGGCTTTCCGCAATTTAATTTTTTAAGGAAAAGTTACATCTCTGCTGGAGATAATCCTATAAAGAACAATGCTGGAGAAGTTATATATAACTTTAAGTTATTGAGCAGAATTTTACTCTTACCCATATCATGATTAATAGCTAGACAGCCACAAAACAAATGGCATCAAAAAGTTCAGTCTACGGCCCCAACAATTTTTTTTTCAAGACTGCAACTTCTGACCAGCTTTATACAAATTATGAATAATAATGCGTAAAAACTGAGAGTGAACAGCAATCTTCTGAAAACCAACCAAACAGTCATAAAGTAGGAGGGGAAGTTGCGACTATTAGAATATGGGTATCAATATGGAAAAATGGTTCGGCCTACTTGAGAAGAAGAAGACAGCCCACTAAGCCCACAACTCACTGAGTCAAAAAGACAGCCCACAGCTCAGTGAGTCAAAAGACAGCCTACTAAGCCCACAAGACTCAAAGAGTCAAGAAGACAGCCCACTAAACCCACAACTCACGGTGTCAACATCCATAGCTTTAGTGAACTCTGTCCTAAAGAACTTGATAGCCTCCTCCAGAGTCAGGCCGATGCCTTTCAAGAAGAGACCATACTGCAGCCTGCTGCCGTGCTTCAGGTGGTGGTTCTGCTTCAAGGCCACATGGATGTTCTGCATGCACAGTGGGAAGGACTTCTTGGACAGCTGAAAAACATCAAGATATTGACACAGCTGAAAACATCAAGATATTGACACACACAGCTGAAAACATCAAGATATTAACACAACTGAAAACATCAAGATATTGACACAGCTGAAAACATCAAGATATTGACACACACAGCTGAAAACATCAAGGTATTGACACAGGCAGCTGAAAACATCAAGATATTGACACACACAGCTGAAAACATCAAGATATTGACACAGCTGAAAACATCAAGATATTGACACAGCTGAAAACATCAAGATATTGACACACACAGGTGAAAACATCAAGATATTGACACACACAGCTGAAAACATCAAGATATTGACACAGCTGAAAACATCAAGATATTGACACAGCTGAAAACATCAAGATATTGACACAGCTGAAAACATCAAGATATTGACACACACAGCTGAAAACATCAAGATATTGACACAGCTGAAAACATCAAGATATTGACACACACAGGTGAAAACATCAAGATATTGACACAGCTGAAAACATCAAGATATTGACACAGCTGAAAACATCAAGATATTGACACACACAGGTGAAAACATCAAGATATTGACACAGCTGAAAACATCAAGATATTGACACAGCTGAAAACATCAAGATATTGACACACACAGCTGAAAACATCAAGGTATTGACACAGGCAGCTGAAAACATCAAGATATTGACACACACAGCTGAAAACATCAAGATATTGACACAGCTGAAAACATCAAGATATTGACACAGCTGAAAACATCAAGATATTGACACACACAGGTGAAAACATCAAGATATTGACACACACAGCTGAAAACATCAAGATATTGACACAGCTGAAAACATCAAGATATTGACACAGCTGAAAACATCAAGATATTGACACAGCTGAAAACATCAAGATATTGACACACACAGCTGAAAACATCAAGATATTGACACAGCTGAAAACATCAAGATATTGACACACACAGGTGAAAACATCAAGATATTGACACAGCTGAAAACATCAAGATATTGACACAGCTGAAAACATCAAGATATTGACACACACAGGTGAAAACATCAAGATATTGACACAGCTGAAAACATCAAGATATTGACACAGCTGAAAACATCAAGATATTGACACAGCTGAAAACATCAAGATATTGACACAGCTGAAAACATCAAGATATTGACACAGCTGAAAACATCAAGATATTGACACACACAGCTGAAAACATCAAGATATTGACACAGCTGAAAACATCAAGATATTGACACACACAGGTGAAAACATCAAGATATTGACACAGCTGAAAACATCAAGATATTGACACAGCTGAAAACATCAAGATATTGACACACACAGGTGAAAACATCAAGATATTGACACAGCTGAAAACATCAAGATATTGACACAGCTGAAAACATCAAGATATTGACACAGCTGAAAACATCAAGATATTGACACACACAGGTGAAAACATCAAGATATTGACACAGCTGAAAACATCAAGATATTGACACAGCTGAAAACATTTAGGGTAGTATCAGACAGAAAAAGAACAATTCAGGGTGTGTCAGACAGACAAAAAACCATTTGGGGTAGTATCACGCACACAAAGAACCACAAGAGCGACTCACAAAGTCAATCATGTCAGCGGTGACCACACCAACGTTGTGTTTCTTGGAGCTGTAGTCCTGGCCCAGGTAGCGCTTGCTCAACCCACACAACATCGGCAGCAGACGGCCATCTTCTTCCATGCTAGGCAGCGCACGGGACGTCAGCTACAGATGACAAGATACAATCTTTTAGTCATTTAGGACCAGTCTAAAAGCTGAGCAATGCATGAACAATCTATAAATCTGACCAAATGAACACTTCATCAATCTATAAATCTGTCCAAATGAACACTTCATCAATCTATAAATCTGACCAAATGAACAGTTCATCAATCTATAAATCTGACCAAATGAACACTTCATCAATCTATAAATCTGACCAAACTTCATCAGCAACTTACGGTCAGTGCCTGGGACAGCTGCATTCTGTAGAGAGACAAGAGGATAGAGACCAGGTCATCCCGTGGAACATAAGCCAAACCTTTGGCCAGGTAAACTTTTCTGGTCCTGACCAGGTCCAGAGCTTCTGTGAATGGCACCTGATGAGAGAGGGTCAACAAAGGTCAACTAAACAGTTGGGCTGCTATCTTTAGATGAATATTATTTTACATACTACATTAAGAGATCTGAAGAAATTGACTTAATACAAAAACAATTAGCATTAAAACATTTAGAGCTCTCCCAACCCCTCAACAAAGAAAAATAAAGTGGGAGTGATCTCCCCTTAACTTTCTCTAATATACTTGTGTAACACTACAGAGGATGGCAACTTGTGATAGAGACATGATTTTTAATAAAATTTTAATTACTTAAACTTTTAAAATGAGAATAGAATCTTGTAGAAAAAAGGATTATGCACCAAGTGAACAGCAAACAATGTGTGTATAATAGGGCAAAATTTTAGTACTTCATAAATTAACTTACATTTTTTGAGAAATCGGAAATAGCCTAATGTACTACTTCCAGTAAATGGAAATTACTCAAAATTTTAAAAAAGGCAGAGAATTAGCTCTTTTACTTAAATGTGTAATTTTTTTACTTTCTCGTATATACGAAGTATAGAGAAAGTCTTGTAATCGTGCAAAAAAAAAAAAAAATCGAGATTTTTACAAATCTCGACGTTTTACACCTCACTGATACGGAAAAACATAATTTTGCAATCTTGTCCGTATGTCTGTCTGTCTGTGTGTGTGTCCGTGTGTAAACACGATTACTTGAGTACCGTTACAGCTAGGTTGATGAAATTTCATATATAAGTATTTTATCAAAATCGTAGATCCGTATCAACTTTTGAGCGATTTCCGATAACCGGAAGTGGTACTTTTCCTACTTTGAATTTTTCAAGAGCCTATAACTTAAGTACTATTTCAGATAGATAAATGAAATTTCACATGTAAGTAAAAGATCTATTTCTCTACCTTCTGTTAAATTTTGAGTAATTTCCGTTGACCGGAAGTAGCGTAAATTACTACTTTTTTTCTCAAAAAACTATTGTAAATTTTAAAAGTACTAATAATATTGCGCACTATTATGCGCTTTTTTATTTGGCGTTCACTTGGTGTGCAATTAATTTGTCTACGAGATTTTATTCTATTTTTAAAACTTTAAGTATTTAAAATGAATTAAAAATCATATCTAAAGCCCGAGTTCCCATCCCCTGTTATTTTATATATGAATATTCGAGAAAGTTTAGGGGAGTTCACTCCCGGTTTATTCTATCTGAAACAGTACTCAAGTTAAAGGCTTTTGAAATACTCAAAAGTAAATTAAATTCCACTTCGGGTTACTGAAAAGTTGATTCAGAACTACAAACTTAATATAATACATACATATGAAATTTCATCAACCTAGCTGTAACGGTACTCAAGTTATCATGTTCACAGACATATGGACAAAATTGCAAAGTTTTTCCGACCAAGGGAGGTGTCAAATGTCTAGATTTGTGAAAACTCAAATTCGATTTTTTTTTCACAATTACAATACTTCCTCTTTCCTCCTTATACTACAGTAAAAAAAGCCAGCATTTTAAATGAAATCTTTGAATACACAATCTCACTTTACCTCATAGTACTCCGTGTCGTTAGCATTGGTCATGTGATCTGCCCCATCCAATTGTTTTGTTACAAGTTCTTGTTTTTCTTTACTGACCTAAAACAAATAAACATCAGTAGCGGAACAAGTCAAGCCAACATCCTGTCTGGTTCAACACTGCTGATTGTTGTATTGTGAGAAAAATATCACAGGATCAAAGCGGCTCTTGCTATTGTATTGTGAGAAAAATATCACAGGATCAAAGCAGCTCTTGCTATTGTATTGTGAGAAAAATATCACAGGATTAAAGCAGCTCTTGCTATTGTATTGTGAGAAAAATATCACAGGATTAAAGCAGCTCTTGCTATTGTATTGTGAGAAAAATATCACAGGATTAGAGCAGCTCTTGCTATTGTATTGTGAGAAAAATATCACAGGATCAAGGCAGCTCTTGCTATCAGCGAGTGAATACAATATTTAAAAAATCGTTGGGCAAGACTTACTGGTTTGTACTTGAGAGAGCTGGACTGAAGAAACTGCACTCTACTCTCTGCGTCTTCTATTTGAAATCTGAAGCGGAACAAATCAAGTTCTTGTAACAGGAACCATCTGCGTAGATCCTCTCTGGAGAAATTCAAATCATAATGAAAGAGATAATGGCACATAAAGAAAAGGTCAAATGTTTGGATGAGATGCGGTCAAGTAAACAAGGAATGAAAAATCTATTAAAACAGTTCATTTTGTGAACAGATTAATTAAGCCCGATAAATTAGGAAATTAATACTTCAAGCACAAAACATAGAGAGCCACTCATCAAAAATAACTTTATTTGTTGTCAAGTTAAAAACACTTTATTTTTATCTCTTCCATGTAAGGAATTGCTTTATTTATTCTATGTAAGGAAATGTTTTATCAATTTCTTGTAAGGAACTAGCACTCACGATCTGCAGTAGGCGAGCCTGAGGATGAAGTGGGAAAGGTGATCTCGTTTCCTGTTGGCTATTTCATCCTCCTGGACAAACATAGATAAGTGACGTTAACAGTTAAATATTGGGTTAAATCTACCACATCTACTTGTCCACCTTACTCCTACCCCCCAATTGTAAAATGCTGTATGTATTTGCAGATGTCTTGATTACAAAAAACAAAATCAAAACTAAAACAAATGTTTACTACAGAAAAAAAGGATGCAAAAAAAAAAACCTATAGATTTAGGCCTATTTAATTGGAAAAATGAAGTTACTGGAGGTAAATTTCTTTTCCTAAGGAAACAATCTTTCAATTTGGTAGCTGCTATTTCTTTTTCCAATAGTTCTTGGTATTTTGCTGTCCCCTTTTGATGAGTGATGCCAATGTTTTCAATAGCTTTTAAAACTGAAATGTTGAGAAAATGTTTTAGAAAATTAAGAAAGAACACAGCCTGCTCTAAGTCCATTAAAACACACCAACATTTTAACTTGATCAGGTACCACCAGGTAGCTGTTATTTGTAGGCCTAATAAAGTTATTTAGTATCGTTCGCAGCTATGGGCCACTAACATGAACACAATTTAATTCTAGTTAAGGCAGGGGTTCCCAACCCTGTGCCCGCGGGCGCCATGGCGCCCGCTGAACAATTCGTATGTGCCCGCCTCTCACTATTCGACAGAGATAGAATTTTTTTCATAAACATTATTTTAAAATATGATTTATTTTTATTCATTTGATACAGTTTTAATTTTTTTTCGACTGCCTAGGTTTATTAAATATGTTCGATACTTGTCCCAACTTGTCTAGCCAGACTGCACTATTTACGTTTTGTAAATACATTTCTCTGTGTGTATGCAATTTGAAAAAAATGCCAAATAATTTTATTATTTTGAAACATTTTTGTTTATTATTTATTAATACATTATGACTATAAGAAAATAAATTAGGGGAAAATGACAAGTTATGGAAGGAGTTTGCCAATTTAAAATAGGTGGTGCCCGCCACCTTACCGATATTTTAGAATGTGCTCTAGAGTAAAAAAAGGTTGGGGACCCCTGAGTTAAGGTGTTAGGCATACATATTTAACTACATAATTTACCTACTGTTTTACATAACTGATAGCCTATGATCAAAACATTCATTACTTTACAGAAGCTTTAGTGACAGTATTAATTAGTATTAGATAAGCCCAATGCCAATCCAATAGTTATAGACCTTCTAGTAATTAATAGTGATTTAGATTTTAGAGTCTTAGAGTATCCTATAGGGCCTAGAGTCTAGTAAATTTTTAAAAAAGAAAAAAAGGTGTTAGGCCTAACTTATTATAACTAAGTGTTAAGAAATCTTCCTCCACTACTATACTCTAATAATATAAATAATATAATAAGTTAATCTATCGTTTTAGGTTATTATTCTGGAATGGTACAGCAGTAAAAAACAGTAAAACTATGGCGTAGTTTGTAGAGCCGTTCCGGAAACCACCGGAAATACTGTAAACCATCATTTATTTGCCGCCATATTATTTTTACTACATAATGTTTAAAAATGTGCAAGGATTGATTTTAGTTGCATTTTAAATACTGTTTAGCTAATTATTGTGTATTTCTAATTACTTTAAGTGTAGGCCTATGATATGTGCTAATTATTGCAGCTACTAACATTGTTCTAGTTCTTCTTACTACTATACTTTTAACTTTAGTAGGAAATCTAATCGTTTTATTTTACTAACAGATCTAGTCTAGTTGTCGCAAATCTTCTGCAAGTTGTTTTTTCAGTGTATCTTAAAAATACATTAATTACTACACTCGACTTTATTAATAATATTTAGATTTACTAGGGTTTTTATTTCCACTGCCAAGTAATTATAAACTATGGTTTACGGCTTTACGGTAACGAATGTTAGGCCTACTGAAACTCAACAAACATTACCAGATAATTTCCGACGCTATATCGTGAGATTACCGAGTCTAGTACAAGGTGGTATTCTAAAATGAAACAAAAGATGGGGAAGTTGACGTAAAATCTGAAATTTTAACAATGTAAACGAAACGTCTTTGAAGTCTGAATCAAATACCACTGTAAATCGGGTGCGGTAAATTTTTCACAGAAATCTTCACCAGCCAGCGTATCAGGTGGTGGTAATAAGCGAGTCAAAAATGTCCCATGACTGACCGTTTTCGCGCCCTTCTCGCAGTTTACTGCCTCGCCATTTCGAGCCTCGCTATTTTCCCAACACCCAGAAATTAATTAGGGCAGGGTTAGGTGTATGGCGTATGCTTATGGTAGGCCTATTGGGAAATTTTTCCTTATTATCATAGAATGATAAAATGGACCCAGATTAATCCTATAATATACCCCATTGATAAAAATATCAAATTTATCATTCTAGGCCTAATAGTTTTTTTTATATGAATTTTCAAAGTTATGTGTTTAACTTGTTATGTTTCATTGTAACCTGCATTCCAGACGTGTGATTGGCTTTAAACTTGCATACCAATGTTGCTATTAAAGATATAATGATAAAACTTTGCACATTTGTACTCAATGATATAGGCAATAGAAGTCTACAAATAAAATAAAAATTAGAAAAGAGGTAACTAGAAATAATGAAGTTAAATTAAGGGGTGTGGCACTGTTCTATAGTGACTGCCATAAGAGGATTTCCAGACTGCACAGCTAGGTTGCTATTCCATATACCATCATGAAACTTTATATATTAGGACTAGAGCATGTAAAAAATACAATCATGCAAGTAAAATAAACATAGCTAGAGGAAAACTATAAATAGTGAACTTGAATATGGTACAGCGCAATTAGACTATGATGATTAACTACAGGCTAATATGTTGCACTTCTTTGTTGCTACTATAAAAATAAAGATTAAACTTTACATATTGATTCTGGTGTTAGTAATAAGAATGCTAGTATACATATTGTACAGGTAATGTATAGAGTTAGAACTTACAAGTCAAATACAGCACAATATGATCAAGATACTTAACGATTTGCATAAACATTGGATTTGAGTCCGTGTATAACATGGTAAAAATGTTATTATTAATTTAGAAAATTTTGGTTCTTGTAATGTTTCTGATGAAAAGTGTTGAGGTGTGCTAAAACTCAAAGATTGACATTTCACAGTATTCTTATTTATAAAATGTTTAGTGAAGTTGACGTATCCTTTGATAAATTCTTAAATGACATTAATTAAAGTGTTTTCTTTCTATTATAGTTGCCTATAACTAAAACTGTAATGCAGTGCAGCTTATAAAATTGGGCATTATTATTTTTAATTTAGGCCCTTTATAGTACTTTATAGATCTAGATACTACAGATAGGCCTGTCAGTATTTACATTAAGGCCTAATAGTTTATATATAGGCCCTAGGCCTATATAATATATTATTACACATCTCTAGACCCATTATTGTTTTAGTGTTTTCATTTCCATTTAGATCTAGATCTAGATTCTATTTTTTTTGTTTAAAACTGTTTACAATAAATATAGATTTTTCTACTTGAAAATGCCTTTATAATCTATTTAGATCTAGATCTATCTGCAATTCATTAATGCTAGTTTGCTAGATCTAGTTAACCTGGTATTAAGAAGGTTAATAAAAATCTGGCTAATTAAAATTTTATAATTTCTTTGGGCAGCAATTAGGCCTAATTACATTCTTTCCATTTTAAATCTAATAATTTAGATCTAAAGTATATTTATTTTAAAGCCCATTTTAAATGATTTTATTGTAACAGTACATTTAAAAACAAACAGCTATTAAAAAACATCGTATGCGCATATCTATTAATATCTCGTAACCCGGCCGCCATTATGAAATTACGCACGCTTTCTCGTTCCTACCCCTACGAGTTTTATCGCGCTACTCCTCATTGGCCCGTGCTTAAAAACCCTTCAAATCGACATTTCTATTTATCCAAATGGTTGGCATGCTATTTAAGCCTATTTTCATGCAACTTAAAGGATTATTTATATCTGAAATGTAGTTGTCAATGCGCCAGTTCGGTAGCGTCGGCATTTCGACAAATATTTGCTATTATCGGTGATCGCTTTCGGTATCGGACAATGTAAAACGGGAGCTAATTCATTTATTAGTATGTATAAAAGATGAAATTCAACTCAAATATTCACATCGAATACATTTTATTCTTCGATTCCGATGGCGAGAATTAACATGTTAAAAAATGGCGAATTTCAACAAGTACGATGAAAAAGTCAGGATGTGGTCGTACCGAATCGAAACAGCGGAAGTCGAAATGCCTAATAACTTATGGTAGGGGTTAGGGACAGGGTTACTGTTAGCATTGACAGCAATGTATGTATTTAGTAAACAACCAGTAACCTAACACCCCTTTTTTAAAGAAGATTCTATTATCGGACACTGGTATAAAAATTCCCCCAAACCTTTCAATCTTTCCACAGCTAACTCTTCGAATTCCTGCAGAGAAACTGTGTCTGTTGGTGGTTGCGTGTACAGTTGAAGCCGATGTGGATAACGATCATCAAGGAGTTTTTTGGGAACATTTTTAGACTTTATCTTGTTTCCGAAATCCATAATGTAATAAAATTACTTAAGAATATTAAATAAATAAGTATCAATGTTCGGTTTTCTTTTTTCCCCGCTGGTGTAGGTCTACCGTATTATTCACTTTGTTTACTCCCGCCACATTTAATTCGCTTTCTTACAAATACTATTTCATGTTTTTAATTTTAGAAAAAGCAGGATTCGCAATAATACTAATTAATTTATTACTATTGACTTAGGTGGTCATTAATGATGAGGGGGGGGGGGGGGGGGGGAAGAGATATCATAATATATGACGTTACATTTTGAAAAAAATTTAAAAATAGTTTTCAAAATTTTGCCTTAATTTGTTAATAAAAATCTTTTTAAAGATAAAATTAATCTAACTATTTTATTGTTATAGATTCTGTATCTACATAAATATGAACCCCCTCAGAGATTAATTTAATAATATTTTACAAAAAAATCGGAGTTTAAAAAATACAACGTGGAGGGGTGTAAGATATTAAAGTGTGTCGGGGGGGGGGGGGGGTGTCTAGGATAGTTGTGACGATGCGGGCGGGGAGGTAAGATCGTTTACAAAGTAAAATGTTATATGTATGGAAGGCCCTTCATTACTTATATACAGTGGCGTAGGCAGCGGGATTAGGGGGTGTTACAACCCCCCATGGACCCCCACTGTAAAAAGAATTTTACTGTCATAATACCATTGCTACTTATTTAAATCTATTTCTGAATCAGTATATATATATATATATATATATATATATATATATATATATATATATATATATATATATATGTATATATATATATATATGTATATATATATATATATATATATATATATATATATATATATATATATATATATATATATATATATATATATATATATATATAATTGTATATGTATGTATATGTATGTTTAGAAGTCATCTAAAAACTGACGCTATGTTCAGTCTGAGTTGGTTATTTCCCCCCCCCCCCCCCCCCCACCTCACCACCTTTAAACGGGACAGGTTGTTGTTGTGTAGAGTGACATTAATGTCACACCAAGGTATACGCTGGGTAGGATAATTGACCTAAAGTGAAGGGTCAGTGGTGAATGAAGTTGAACCCCCTCCCCCCCCCCCCCCACCCACCCACCCCGAACTGATCTGTTAACTACATTTGGAAAAAAAAGCGTAATGAGGTACCATGCCGCCAGAATCATAGCTTTTGAAACAGGTAAAACTCTGTAAATATTGTTTTTGCAATTACTAGTAAAAAGGTGTGTGATCATTTTATTTTACATCATAGCTAAGCTATGACCAGTAGCGAACGCAGATGGGGGGAGCATTTTTACTTTCTCGCATATACGAATTTTAGAGAAAGTCTTGTAATTGTGCATGGTAAAAATAAATCGAGATATTTGCAAATCTCGACGTTTTACACCTCACTGATACGGAAAAACATAATTTTGCAATCTTGTCCGTATGTCTGTGTGTATGTGTGTGTGTCGGTCTATCTGTGTGTCTTTAAACACGATAACTTGAGTACCGTTACAGCTAGGTTGATGAAATTTCATATATAAATATTTTATCAAAATCGTAGATCCGTATCAACTTTTGAGCGATTTCCGATAACAGGAAGTGGTACTTTTTTTTATTTTGGATTTTTCAAAGCCTATAACTTGACTACTATTTCAGATAGACAAATTAATTGCACACCAAGTGAACGCCAAATAAAAAAGCGCATAATAGTGCGCAATATTATTAGTACTTCTAAAATTTACATTAGTTTTTTGAGAAATCGAAAGTAGCGTAAATTACTACTTCCGGTCAACGGAAATTACTCAAAATTTAACAGAAGGTAGAGAATTAGATCTTTTACTTACATGTAAAATTTCATGTATCTATCTGAAATAGTACTCAAGTTATAGGCTTTTGAAAAATTCAAAGTAGGAAAAGTACCACTTCCGGTTATCGAAAATCGCTCAAAAGTTGATACGGATCTACAATTTTGATATAATACTTATATATGAAATTTCATCAACCTAGCTGTAACGGTACTCGAGTAATCGTGTTTACACACGGACACACAGACACACACACAGACACACAGACATACGGACAAGATTGCAAAATTATGTTTTTCCGTATCAGTGAGGTGTAAAACGTCGAGATTTGTAAAAATCTCGATTTTTTTTTTGCACGATTACAATACTTTCTCTATACTTCGTATATACGAGAAAGTAAAAAGGAGTTTTAAGTATTTTAAATTCAGCTCGAAAATGATCTGTTGTACTTGATGATACGACTAAGTTTTAATCTTATTATGTCGTGATTTCAGAGAAAACACATAAAATGTATAGATGTATTTTTAAAAAAAAAATAGTTTAAAAATAGTTTTCGTTATTGAAATGTCTAAAAGGGTACCCATTTAACAGAAAACTCCTTTAGATAATAGCGCGGGACCACATTTAAAAACTACATAATAATTAATTGTATATTGATGAAACATTGCATACACATACTGAGGGGAGGAATCCTTTGGGGTTTGTAGAAGCTTGTTGCATAATACAAGCAATGGACGGAAATCTGCTTGTAAAAACTATATGTAGACGTGTACAGTTGAATCATTCATACGTTAATAAAGTTATAAA